GCTGGGGAAGGAGCCAGTTAGTGTTTCTGTGAGTTTGTGTCATGATGCAATGAAAGATAGGTGATGCAGAGAGAAATGAACCATGGAAACTAAAAACACTGGTGGTGATTCCTCTGCAAAGATAAAAAGAACCAATAAGTCACATAATCTTCATGTGCACTCCATGCATATTTCTTAGTAGTGGTGCCATTGATCCTCTTACCCTTTTTACTCCATTGATAATAATTATTATAAATTTTGCTAAGGACCAAAACATCCAAGAAAGGAATAACTGCTAAAGCATCTAAGGTTCTCCTAAACTATAAAATCAACAGGAAATGGCCACTGGGAGAGAAGGATTTGGTATTGGCAAGGGGCTTTCTCCTTTTAGCTGCCTCTTCTTGCTTGCTAATAATAGTAAGTTCTTCATGCACCTTCCACCCCTTCGGAGGCACTACTTTTCAAGCACAGATTTGGCCCAACACTGCAACCCTTTCCTAAGTAGTTTATATGGCCCTGCATTTTGTTCCATGCTCACAATGTGAAGTGTCTAGTGTATGTTCCAGTCAGAAAATAATATATTTAAGGTGTATAAGTGTGAATCTCCTATAATGATGGAAGAGGAGGCTCTTATTTCTTAGAAAACTGCTTTCTCTAAGGAACAAATCTAAAACTTGGGCTGTCATCTTGGAGCTGCTTACCAAAATACAGATCCTTATTAAAGAGAAACAAATTCTCTGTTTTCCCTCATCTATCATGATAGTGCCCCCCAACCAGGTTGTAGCATTGCCTATTAAAAGGCACTCACTTACTCTTAGTTGTTAAGAACTGGAAATTTTCCATCCTCAGATTCCTTAAAGGATGAAGAGTGTGCTGTACACTTAGCAGACTTGCCTCTTGTATGCAAGGACTACTGATTGAAGTCTATTTTGCTGTGTGTCTGGTTATGTTGTCTGCACTTTTATTAAATCACTACAGTAAGTCTACATTGGAAGTGACTTAATTTGTAAAGAAGTTTTATTAAACACTGTCTAGAAAAAGAAAGTGAAGCTGAGAACTCTTCCTTTATTGTGCATTTATATTTTCTACTGAATTCTGGTAGCCCCCTTTAAAGTCACATTAACTAATTCTTCCCTTGTTTATATTCAGATTTCCAAAATTTCACTCATGCAAGGGAAGAGAATCTATTTGGCCTAATGGTAGTCTTCAGATCATAAGAAATATGTAAATTAGCATGCACCTTATCTGCCTGTTGTGGGTTTCTTAAACTTGCACTTCCCTCTCACGCACCCCAAAATAGATATCCTTTAAAGAAAATAAAGGCAGAGAATTAAAACTGGGGAGCCATTTACTATGTCACCATCACTGTTAACTGTTACCCAGCAATCAGAACTTTTTGAAGTTTCAGAGCTTGTGTGTGTGTATGTGTCTGTGTGTATGTGTTTATGTTTGATTGTGTTGGGTTTGTTTTGTTTTTAAATGTACAAGAGAGTCTTTAAATAGAGAAAAAGGTTAATCCTCTCTGAAACAGGATGCCCATTGGATATACTAATCTGGACATCTGTAGGTAGTTTACCATGAAAAAGTAGAGAGAAGATGAGACTTGTGAATGAATGAAAAGGGTATCTTGATACCCCAGAATTCCCCCTAAATTACGGGTAATTCAACCTGCACAGTTTCCTTTTCACTCATAGTTTTTAGCAATTGTGAGTGAAGAAATCATGTAATTATCTGTAAATATTTAGCTAACAAATTGACCTAGTTTCTGTATTTTTTTGTTTTTGTACTAAAGTTTATAAGTCTGTGCCAGCTAGAGAGGAGTTGCTGTCATTGCCAGTTGTGGTCCTAGCATCTAACCCTGAAACCATCCTAGGTAACATTTTTAGAATTAATGCTTCAGTGTTGTTAAACAGGGAGAAATTAAGCTCAACCATTGGTCAGGTTTAAAATCTTTTGAAGCAAAGTCATTTTATTTAATACAATGATTACATGTCCTCAATCATGAATGAGGTAGGGAACCTCCCTCCCCCAGTGGCCATGTTTACAGAAGTGTGTTTTGTCTATAAAGTGCAAGGGTTTTAATGTTTATGTAAATTATGCAGGTGATAACATTATGGCTTGGAATTGTTTATTGGGCTCTCGCTGAATTTTCAAATGAAATGAACTATGCTTATTACTGGCACATTGATCCCATTTCTGGAGCATTTTCCTATTTCCAGAATTACATGTATTCCTTTGTCAATCCTTTGACCATTTCTTTGTCATTAAAGCTGGTAAACATAGATGAGGGAATTGCATTTTTTTTAATCCATGAACCTTCATTTGTGTGCCTTCATTACTCATGTTTCTTTGGCAACTCTGAGGTCAGTGAAGTTTAGAAATGAGATACCAGTGTTAATGAAAAGTGTGTACTCTTCGCTTTTGCATGGCTTGGCTTAGCATCAAGGGTATATTTGGGCCACTTGAAAGCATGAAGACCAGTTGTATGGGAACAGGTTTCTCTCAGTGGCACAGTTTGCTTTTTCTGAGCCCTCAAATACATTGCCTCAGCATGAACATTATTGTTTCTATAAATTACACATGGTCATGGAATGAATTATGTGATTTGAAAGGATGGAACTGCTTAATGTTTGCAGATTCCAGCTGGCCATGTGACTATTGGGCACATATCAAACAAACCTGGGGGGAAATATTGGAACCCTTCTAACCCTTTTTTGGTCATAGACAAGTATATTTAGTTTATTAAGATGTTGGCTGCCCCTGGTATGTTGCCAGAAAGCTCTTTTTTGGTGCCTATTCCAAATGTGCTTTCTTGCATTTCATAGTATCAAAGAAACCACCACCCCTTCTTCCCAGCAGCATTTTATGTCAGACCTTTTATTCCACATTAAATGGGAGTTGTGCCTACTTAGAGTGCCCCTCCAATTAATTACATACACGTGTCCTAAAATAATCCAATCAGGAGACACAGGTAGGAAAATTTTTTTTAGGAAGTCCACTCGAGGCCAGTAATCTATCTGACAAGGTATTTTACCACGTTATCTTGCCACTTGATAAATGAGCCTATTAGGAATTGCAGGTGGTTTCATAGGGCAAAATCCAAGTAGAGAGGGATATGTGGGATTTCTATTAAGAGATAATTTTGTTATTGTTTTACCTCTCCTTTTATGATCCTTCTCTGCTAGGTTAGAGTGGGTTAATTCTCCAAATTTATTTTGTTTTTTATTTTTTAGGGAAATTTTTACAAAAGTGATGGTCTGATGTAAATAACATTTTGAAGTATAGTGCACATAAGTTCCCGAGACTATTTCAACCTGATAATTTGTAAGTGCTTTAGAGTTTTTTTATTAACACTTGTGTTGCTAAATCCTATTTATGTAGGTCTGCTAAAAATTTTAACCCATTTAAAACTTAAACATTTAAATAATGGATGAGTTACTCTGAGCAATTTAGCTTTCAAAACCCCCTTGTTTTAGTACATGAAAAAGATAGCCTAATGCGCATTAATGAGGTTGGAGAGACTATGAGAAATATGTATAGTGTATATTTTAAAACAGCTTTGCTTGTATTGTGAAGATTTAAAAACAAACTTGAGATTTTTAACGTAACTATTAACACAGTTTTAACATAAGTTATCCCACTGGGTTTAAGAGCATCTTGAATGTATAATCCTTTTTGTAACCCAGGTTGGTTTCTGCTTTTACCAGTCATCCAAACATATTATTTATGATTTTAGTTTTATATACTCATTTACTTTTGTTTTTCTCAACCAGCATGATTTTTTTGCACATGTATTGTAGAAATTTTTAAAAAGAAAAATCAGTACATCATTTTCTCTGGATTTTCTTCACTTCTCTTCCTTTCTACTAACCCATTACCTTAAAGGCCATATCGCTCCATTTGCATTATTTGTGCAAATGCCAGGGTTGGTTTTTATTTTTATTTTTGCTATTTACCTAAAAAAAGAAAAATGCTTCAGTCAATTGCTTTTTTATTTAAAAAAAGAAAAAAGAAAAGAAAAAAAGCTGTAACCTTATCATTTCTGAGTAGACCATTGAGAGATGAATGCACACCTGTAATAGCCCAGGACCAGCTTTGGTGGCTAAAGGGAATATTTTAACTAAGCAAGAGGTTCTTTTCTAAAAGTGGTATATATTATTCACAATCTCTTTCAGTTATTCCCACAAGTCAGGGGTCCAGATAAAATGAGGGTTATCAGCTAACTGATATGTTATCATTGAGGTTCATCAATGAATTTGTACATTTCTAGTTCCCTTTGGTGAAGGGAAGAAAAATGATGATTTTGCAAGACCTAGATTTTGGCTTGGTTTCTTGCCTCCTTTTTTGGCAGCCTTCATCTTCTCATCTCCTAAAGCCCTTGAGCCTGTAGGGTTTTCATGGTGGACAAAGGACCTGTGGTCTTTTAAAACTAGGACTGATTTTTTTGGCAAGAGATTATCATGTTGAAAGTGATGTTCTGCCACTTTACCGGAGACTAATTTTAAATATACACAGTCCTCTTAATTTTCGGACCAAACAGACACCCACAGGGGAGGCTTATCAAGGGTTGCAATGGGGAAGAAGCCTCTCCCTCACTGTCAGCACCAGCTGGTAAAGGTGACTGTACAGATGTGCATTTTCCTTTTGGTAGAAATGGTCCGCAGCACTAATTGGTAAGGCTTATTGTACAGTATATTGTCAGTATTCTTCTGGTTCAACATACCTTATAGTTCATATATAACCTGTATTAATTGTATAGATTGTGCATTTAAAGCTGTTACCAAGTTGTCAGAACATAAGAGCGAAAACAAGGTCATATGTAATATTTTGTTTGTAAGTATCCTTTGTATCATAGCAAAGGAAATGTTTAAAAAAAATCAACTGTAATAAAGTAATTTTAGTACACAGAGTGTCTGCTCAGTTTTTTTAAGTAATTGTATTCCCATAAAGATAAAGTATATTTCAGTTCAGTGACTATTTACTAGGTAATTACTGAATCTCAGGCACTGTGCTGTACATTGGGGGGTTACAAAAATGAGTAAGATATGGGTAAGAATGAGCTCCCTAGTGTAGACTAAAACCCTCTAGACTAATTGCCTCGAATTCTGTGTGCCCAGACAGTGAAGCAGCCTACTGTGCTGTGGATGTGAGATGATTCTACTTTAGCTTCTAATGGCTTGTTGCAGGTTCTTAAGTTTTATATAGACATATGTTGTGGTCTGTGTAACTACAGTTCCTCCCAGACACATGGACACATAGATGTATGCAGTTCTTGGACCTTGTACAAAGCTTCACAAGGTGGTTTCACCTGAGTTCGTTTTCCCAGATTTGAAAATCATCACATTTCAGCCCTGAATGGGGTAGAGTATCTAATCCAGTCCTGTTAAAATGACTTTGTCAGAAGGCTTAATTTGGAGGGAAGGAGTTTCTTGGGCTGGGGTTTATATGTTTTTTCTATTAGAAAATAGTTTTAAGTGTTGTCATTTTAAAAAGTATAGTTGAGATTACCTACTTTATTGAATAGAAGACTATCAGAAAAATGGCACTTTTAACTTTTTAACATAGCTTCTAAACTCCTAGAATGTTGATGCTGAGCTATTTTGAGATTAATTAGCATTTATGTAGTGTTTAATTTGCCTGGGTCAAACAACTACGTGGCAGAGCCAAGATTTGATTCCAGGTGTTCTATCTCCAGCATTTCCCAACATCCCACCTTGAATTTGGTTGAGTTAAAAGGGGGTTTAAAAAACAAGAGTTCTTTCTGCTTTATCCCCACAACTGAGCAGTTCAAACTACAGTGGATGGAGAGTTAGGTGCTTCTACCATGTCAGCAACCCAAAACAAATGCTGTCATTGACTAAACACATCAGAGATGCTCTGAGTTATGCTTAGGGTTTAAAGCCCATCCTGCCTGACTATAAAAGAAATTTTTTTTTTATAGAAGAAATTTTAACATAAATTAAAAAATCACCACAGTGATAAACTAAACAGCCCCAGGGTTATAAGTTAGTGCTATCATCTACATGACTATATCTATACTATATCTACCTGACTATAAAAGAAATTTTTTTTTATAAAAGAAATTTTAACATAAATTAAAAAATCACCACAGTGATAAACTCCACAGCCCCAGGGTTATAAGTTAGTGCTATCATCTACATCTCAGTGATGCCAGCTGCCAAACCAGGGTTTTCCTATATATGTCCTAGGCAATTAGTGACTTTAATTATACTTTCAGATACTTGTTCTTACGGATAAGAGGGAGACAAGGCTGCTGAGGGTGTTGTTTATTGCAGGCTGTGTAATAACTTTAGGGGTGCCATTTATAGATTCATGTTGGCTCCGCCACAAGAGTTGTGCAGCAGCTCTGAAGACAAATTCTTTCTCCTTTTGTTAACACCCTTTACATTATGGAGTTTAAAATGAGCATTATTTACTGTCATCTTAGCCAGTGATTGAATAGGAAAAGGCAAAGTATGGCATAAAGAGCAGTGGTTTAGGGTTCTGGTATTTAGCCCCATCACTACTAACTGAGATCTTAAAAGTCACATCCTTTCTGACCATCACTTACAAGAAATAGGAAAGCAGATAGTTTTTGGCTGGAACAAATGAACCAATGTATAACCTGTTAGCCATAACATGGTTATCAGAGAGAGAGAGCATGTATGTGTGTGTGTGTGTGTTTGGGAAGGGGGTGGGGAGAGTTTGTCCTCAATTGGGCAACCCAGCACCCAGTTTGTAAGCCTCAAAGGTGCTGCTCTTCCAGGCCCTTCCCAACTTTGCAGTGGAATTAATAACTGGAAATCCTTGGCCTTACAAGAATCAGAATATAGACTCTGATCTGAAAGCAGATGCCACCTCATTGTAGAGGTCTTTGAGCTCTGGTTGAGGAATTAAATGGGCTTGAAGAATGGGATCCATCTGCTTTTACTATTTCATTATAGCCTAACAGACCTTAATTAAGGCCTATTCACAGTCTCAGTCTTTGCATATGGAATAACTCATAACTTGCCCAAACTCATATGAGTCACAAGTGAAGTAGAAACTAGAACCCACATCTCCAAACTATTTCAGTGCTCTATCCAACACACAAATTACTAATTGCCCACTGGAAGATATCTCTGTGTAGGTACCACTGATGATCAGGGAATTTTGAGCCTGCTGGGAAATTATTAGCCCAGAGCAGGAGGCCTGGTTGTTGATTAAACAGAGGTTCCGCTGGTTAGTGTTAGGGGACACAAGCCTAGATCTATAGAAGTGAAGCAACAACCAGCAAATAGAGAATGTGCAGTGAGGCTCCGTTAACTCCACAGGTAGGTAAGCACAGCTCAGTACATAGAGGACTTAAGAAGAAGACAAACAGCACATTTGTTTGTGGAGATTTAAAAAAGAATGACATTCCATTGTTGCAGGGAGACTGAAATTTATTATTCAGAGGCAAACAAGCTGAGAGAATTTTTTCTTCAATCTCACTAGTGATAGACACTAGAGCAAGATACCTTATTACACAGGAAGGCTGGAGGAGCCAGAGACATTTGTTTTTTAAGTGTTAATATCTTTTATTTTTTGTTTTAATGAAATTCTACTTTTCCTCTAAACTTTTAGCTCTTCCTGGATACTTCAAAGCATAATTATTAGATGTCTTAAAACATCCTCTGGTCACTTTGGTAGGGTTATTTTCATTAAAATCTTTATGTCATCTCCCAACTCCCAGAATTTGGATCAGGTCTATGATCTGATCCTCAAGCCCATAAACCAACCAGAAGTCTTTACAACCCACTGAGCTCGTTAGCATTATTTCCAGTCACCGACTCTCAGATGAGAAGAGACCTTATATCTAATGTAGGCCACCCTTATTTCTCAGCACATGTCCCCTCCATGATATGTGCCTAGGAGCAGTCTAGCTTGTGTATACCACCAATGATGTGGGACCTTCTGCTTCCTAAGGCATTCGTTCCATCCCTGGGCACTTGGACACTCCCTAGGTATAACTTCTTAATCTTAACTCTACAAACTGTCATAACTAGTGAAAACAGTTTCTGATGCCATCTTTTGTGGCTTGGCTGTAGGATCATTGGTATCATTGAATCATTGGTATCATTGGCAAGTTCTGCCAAAGTGGCCAAGTATCTCTGCCTGTTTAAGCAGGGTGGGAACTTTATACTAAAGTTCATTTCTAAAGGAAGAAACCATGGCATTACTGAGGGTGACTGACTGACAAAGGATCCTGCAGTCTGGGTGGAAGATGAGTACAGAGCAACTTCTGACTCTGGGGTGGTTTTGAGGTTATATATAAAGCTAAGATGACACTTCCTGTGTCAAGACCTCTTTCCTAACAGTACTCAAGTCTTAGCAAGGATATCTTCACTCAAAACAGAGATGACATCTCAGAATGAGGATTTGGTGCTGTGTTTTTTTATTATTGTCATCTCTGGCCAAGCCACCTTGGAGACCTATGCATAAATACATAAAATACTAAATCTTTAAGAGAATTAAGTTACAGCTTAGCACAGTCTTTGGTATCAGAGGTCAGAACTTAGTAGGACTCAAGAAAACCTTGAGAAGCAGTTGTCTGCTTCCTGCATTCTGATCCAGTGGGTGGAGACAGATAACTCAGGTCTGAGATTATGCCTCCTTTATTGTAATTGGATTGTGTTTTCTTTTCCCCCTTTACCATTTGAAGGTGTTTATAAATAATGAAGAGACCAAAAGGGAGGCAAGCAAGTGATTGAGACCTGAGAGGATCGCTAAAGACTTGCTACCTGGAAAACTCCCAACTCAGTGGTACTTCTTTGGGTTTTGTTTGTTTTGTTGTTTGTTTCTTGCTTCCCCAAACTCATAATTTGTCACTTCGTTTTTAGGGCCATGCCTTCTCTCAGAATGTGTGCCTGGGGTTCCTCCATCTGGTTTCATATAATTAGCTATTAACCAAAGCAGAGCCAATTTGGGTGATTCCTTCATTGTTAGACTGAAGGACAGGGTCACCCAAACCTGCTTGAACAGGAACTACGCTTTCTTGGCAAAAATGGCTTGAAAAGCAGCGATGTCACCAAATGGTGATGAGAAGATGAGAGAGAGGTAGCTTCCTGAGAATGGCTATGAGTACCTCTGGCACAGGGGCATGGAGGAGAAATACTTTAGGGTTTAGGTCATTAGGGCTGTGGATCCAAGGGGATCCAAGGGACAAGGGCTGTTCTGCTGTTCACAGAGCTTTAAGACTATAACTGGAAAAAAAAATTTTATATATATATATATATATCTATATATATATATATCTCCTCCCCCACCCCACCCCACAAGCTGGCTTTCCTGTAAAAAAGGAACCATGATTTCTCCCAAAGCTATTATCTTAACCAGAGTCCCGTGGTATCTGGCCTAGAGAAACAATCTGGATTTTAGCCCTTAGGGGCCCTTTAATCCTGGGTGGTGAGGGTGGGGGTGGTTAAAAACCACTGGACTGCTCCCCATTTTGCAGTGAGTTCTGAATGGTTATAGGGTCCTGCATATGGGACTGCAAAACCTAATAAGCTGAAATCCCCACTGTACCAGATGCTGGGGGAGGGGGCTGGCCAGATGTCAGTAATTCTTCTTTGCCAAGCCTTATACCCAGGCGTTAACCAGAAGTAGAACAGCTTCTTTAGGGGTCACTTCCTTATTATCTCTCCTGCTCAGAAATGGTGAGAGAATGTTAGATGAGGAACATAGAGGAGGAGGAACAAGAAGTGGGGAAAGGAGGGAGGGAATTTTTTCATGACAGGATAATGTGCCTTAGACAATTGAATGTTGTCTGCGTTTCAGTTTAGATTCTTGGATAGTTCAGAGTTTCTTTTTATTTGATCCAGAGGAACAAGAATGGGCTAAAATTATCCAAACCTAAAATCATGGCCCCAGAAGTTCCTCATACCAAGCCTTAGGATATGGCTTTTGGTAAACATCTCTCCTTCTTCAAATTGCTTTGCTATTTGTGAGGCCAGTATGGAGCTTCCTGTCAAAACAGGTGCCTTCTTTCTTGATGACCAATTAAAATTTCAGGGCAAGGATTTTCTGGGAGGAACTGGATGTCCTATTGTATTGCTTAATGGCCTAATCCAAACCAAGGTGTGGGTCAATCTGTACAATGCCTTATTTTACTCTGATCTTAAGCATTAGTCCTCATAAAACCAAACAGCCTATCAGTCACTGAGTGGTCAGATCCAGGAGGAAGCTTTTCCTGCATCTACATGGATGGCCTTTTGAATAACTGAGCAGAAAAAGCATGGTAATGTGAAATATTCATAAATCACTGAGTCAGTTCTAGCCAATCTCTTGGAAATTTTGTTTGCTTTCTCTGGTCCCAGATGTCTCTCCAGGGTCTGGAGAGGGAAAGGCTAGTAGTAGTGTCAGAAAAGAGGGCAACTAACCAAAAAAACACCTAAGATATGAGGTTTATACTTTTACCACTTAGAGAAAGCCCACATCTCAGGAGAAAAACACCTCTCGCTAGAACTCTCTGGAGTAATCCCCCGAAATGGTACTGGAGGGAGCAGCTAGAATGTCTGAGAGCCTGGCTCCTTGAGCCATGGTCAACCAGACCCTGCGAGGATTTCCTCTTCCTAAAATCATCCTTGGGATCTCTCTAGTGAGTCTTGAGGTCCTAGGCTGAAGCCCCAGATCAGCCCCACTCCCAGTCAGGACTTGCAGAACTCAACCGAAAGACTGGCCCTTGGTATTCCAGACACAGGCGTTCACGCTGTCTAGCTGGTTGCCCTCCCCAACCCAGTCTCAGCACAGCACTTACTGCCTCTGGGCCTATCTCACAGTCAACGCAAGACGCGTTAGCTCTGTGAGCCACTTCCACGTCTGCCACCACATGAAGTCAGCAGAGCGCCACAGCCGCAGAAAAAAACGAGGGAAGTAGCATCGAGACACAAACATCCTGTCCTCACTACATCAAGTGGCTCCAGCTTGAGAACCAGCGTCACAGAGCTGATTATTTATGTGGCACAGACCTGCCCAATGGCTCACAAAACTCATCTCCTTTGTATCTTTGCTGTGAGCGAGCATTTTCTCTTGAGTCCAGGGACGTACATGGAGATATTCTTTGGCTTATGAAGTCGGTGACAGGGGACAGTGACAGGGAATGCCCAGCTGCTGAACCAGGATGCGTTGGCATGTGTAGAGCAGGGCCTGGGCAGGAGTTCTGCTCAGGGGCAAATGAACGCTAGCTTGCTGAAGTTCCATCTCTTTCCACAGACCAGTTTAAGAGAGAAGGGGCTGAATCAGGGGCAAAGAGCTGAAGCTGCCTGCCCCATTCAGTCCTCAATGCCTTTTCAGGACACAGCCGTGCCCAGCTCTTTCTTCCTCGCAGGGCTGGCGGGTTCTTGGGTCAGGTCTCACCTTGTATACGATCTCTTCCAGCTAAAGATCTCCTCCAGGTTGGAAGAGGGAGAGACCTCCCGCTTTGGCAGGGTTCCCCAGCGACGCCGGCCCCCTAGGAACGAAACTCGGCGCCTGCTCAGCCCTTTCATCCTCTCCTCCGTTCGGAAGAACTCAGTCAAGGCCCGGAAGTACTCCAAGATGACCTCGTGGCTCCAGGCTGGCAAGGGCTCCTGGCGCAGGAAGCCACAGTGGCCTCCATGGCGGCTGAGCAGGAGGAAGAAGTAGGGGTTGCTGTGAAAGAGTTCAGTTGGCAGAAAGTGGTTTGGGGGCCCACACACAGGATCATCGGCGCTACAGATGCATAGCACAGGTACGGCTGCCTCGTCCACATCCCGGAGGGGGTCGTTGTGGTCCCAGTAGGTGTCCCAGCTGATGGGGAAGCTCTTGGTGTGGCAGAAGAGGGTCTCTTCAAACTCTCGCAGGGAGCGGCTCCTGAACAGTTTTCCAGTGTCCACTGTGTCCTCCAGGGCTGTGGCGTACCTGGCAGAAAGAAGTTGAATGGGGAAGGAAGGAAAGAGAGGAAAGAACTGGAAAATAAATTGACAGCAGAAGTTACAGAGTGGCAGCCCACAGGCCAGATTCTGACCACAGAGGCTTTCTTTGGCCATATAATGTATTAAAAAACTTCCATGTCATTGCCATCATTTAAAATCAGGAGATTTCATGTAAAATGCATCTATCTGGCTTCTCGAGGGGATTGGGGAGATCTGGCGACATGGGCTGGCATGGCAACAATCAGGGTATTTCCTCCCTCCTTCCCGTGTTACAGTTTCTACCAGGACAGTCATTCATGGCATTACCTCCCCAGCCCTGGGGCAGCATTTGACTTTACAGCCGCTGAGTTATTGCAACAGCTCTCCTCCAGACCTCATCTTCAGACCCTCTGTAGGGAACCTGCTATGAAATGTCACCTCCTGAACCTCTCTTGGAAGAACTCAGTGGCTCAGACTATCCAAACCAGCAAGTGACATCCCCCAACATTAACATCTTACTTTAAGTTGTATTAGTTTGTCTGCTTTTTAAAAAGATAATATGCTATCCAGCTGATGACAAATGAGTGTGTCCTCGATCAGTGGGGCAGGTATTCCTAGAGAGGACTGAGTGGCGGAGGAAGTAACTGGGAGTGTAATTAATTGGGTGAGGCCCCAAATGGGAGCCTGAGAGCAACTGCTCTGGGAAAGAGGGACATCTTTGCTGTTTCCACCTCCCTGGAGAGGGCTTGGCACCCTGATCAGGAGGCCAGGATGGGCAGCTCAGTCCTTTATTTGGATTAATTCAGCCTTAGCCAGCTGAATTTGGATAGGTGTTTCCTGCAAACATTCAAAGAGGCTTGCCCCAAGTTGGCAATCCCAAAATTCCATGGGCAGGGCAGTTCCTAAAGGCCCAGGTTTCCTCTCCACTTCCCTTACCTTATCCTCCAGCTGGAGCCCAGGGTCAGTACTGAGGGTGGTCATTTGGGGATGGAAACTGGCAGTTAAGCCACGTGAGAGTACCTTGCCCCTGGACTGTTCCAGCGGCTCTGGGTTGCCATGGTAGCACATGGGCTGTTGCTGAGCTCAGGGTTGACCTTCTTAGAACAGGAGGCAAAATAGGGCAAGGAAAGAAAGAGAAATCACAATTGTCACCATGTATTGGTGCCAGGCCCCTTACTTTCATTATCTTATTTCATGCTTATAACCACCTTGGGAAGTGGTTATTATAAACTCCATTTAACTGAAGAGGGAAGTGAGGCACAAAGGGGTTAGCTAACTTGCTGGAAATTCAGGATTTGAACCCAAGTGGGTCTGACCCCACATCCCAGGTCTTTCTGCCACACCACACTGCTGCCATCATGTCTTTGACCTCGTTCTTCCATCTCCTAGGAAAACAACAGTGTAAGCAGAGGCCTGGTTATTTGCTGTGGGAATGTCACTCAGGCCTTCTCAGTGGAAAATTCTCCCTTGTCACCCTGGTGGTAGATTCTTCTCTTTTTGGAGATTAAAAAAAATGTTTAAATACTCTTAAAATTTTTGCATTAAATATTGAGTATATACCTGGGAATATGCAAAACATCTGTCAGGTCTAAAGAATTTTAATCAATCAAATACCACCAAATTTCTGATTCCTGTCACCTCCAGGCTCAGAGGAAACATTCTGGACAGATAACCAGTCACAACTGCTTCCAGAGCCCTCTTTGCTGATTTGACAAGCTATGGACTAAGCGACGTCCGTGTCAGGTGCTGCCTCTTGTGGCGGGTGGGGCAGGTGCTCAGGTTGCTAGGACACGGTGGGGCTGAGGTGAGTGAGGCCAGGGGGCCCCAGGTCAGGAGTCCCTGCTCTAGCTAATGATGCTGAGTCCGTCTGTGGCTTTTAAACCTGCTTCCCTGATTCTGTCCAGACTAGAGGGTTTGGACGCTTCAGGAAGTGTGTGAGGAAAACTTTGCCCAAATTGCTCTAAACCTGTTTGATTCAAAACCAGGCAGAGCCGTTTCTCAGCCCCAAACCTCTATTCCCCCATTGCTCGTCTGCAGCCGCCGTTACCCACCTGCTGAGGGCGATCTTCTGGTGGAGCAGAAAGCCCCGCTCGTAGGGCCAGGGCAGGCCGGCCTCAAACCACTCGCGGCAGCATAGCACCGGCGAGATGCAGGCTGCACCGGTCATGTAGCTGGAGGAGCCACACTCGCCCAGGTAGGACAGCAGCAGCGCCGAGCCTGAGCCCTCGCTCACCGCGAACAGCAGGGCTGCGGGGTGTCGGAAGCGGATGTAAGTGATGGCCTCTTTGAGATCAGACGGGTCCCCGAAAGGCTGCAGCCGGGGGCTGACCAGTGGGCAGCCGTGGTGGCCGCGACGGTGGAAGATGACCGGGTAGTAGCCGCGCTCCAGGGCCAGCAGGCAGAGGCCGAGCACGTTGCGGGTGAGGCGTCCCCAGGCATTGGGAATCACCAGCAGCACCGCCGGGAGGCCCCCGGCATTGGTGACCCGGCGGCCCCGGGCGCAAGGTCCCACGACCCAGTCCAGGGCCACCAGCCCGTCGTCCGCCAACTGCAGGTACTCCCGGGCCAGATCGGACCCCGGCCCCACCGGCAGCACGAAATGGCAGAGGGTCTGCAGGTGGGGCCCGGAGAGCCAGGAGCGCGGGCCCGGCTCCAGCGCTGTCGAGCGTCGCAAGGCGCGCAGCAGGCACTGGGCCAGCGCCGACGGCTTACAGATGAGCCTGCACCCGCCGGGCAGAGGCTCACGCCCGTCGCTGAACTGGTCCGCGGGGCCTGCGCCGTCCACCTCCTCCTCGTGGTCTTGGCCCTGCGCCCCCGGCAGGGTCCTCGCTCCGACGGCGCGCCTCCCGGAGCGCCGCAGCAGCGCGGCGAGCAGGCCAAGCAGGGCGAGCGCGGCCAGGAGCAGGGCGAGGGCGGCGCCCCACGGCGGCATGGCGAGGCCGGAGAGCCCCCGGCGGGCGGCAGCGGCGGGGAGGTCCCCTTGGCGAGCTCCCCGCTCTGGCCGCGGCTCCGCCGGGCCGCGGCGGCTGCCCAGGGCCCTCCCGCGGGGAGGGAGGGGGTGCACTCCGGATTGGCCGCGGCCCCGCAGAGACAGCCAGTTCGGGCCCGGCTCCCCTCACCCGCCCCCCACTCCCGCCCACGGCCCTTTGTACAGTGATTGCGACAAGCAGGAGCAAGAGGTGAAAGGAGCGGAGGCCACGGGGAGGGAGCGAGGACGCGCCGGCGAGACGGAAGGGAGTGGGGAGGGCAGCAAGCCGAGGAGTAGGGTGTGGGGGGCAGAAAAGTGGGGAGACTTGGAGACCGAGGCTTGGGGGACGGGGATGAGTCTCAGAATCCCCGTGGTGTGTAGGGTGTGCAGCTACCGGGGAGACCTGCGTCGCTGCGCCCTCAGGGGCCGCTGTTGAGAAGTAGCAAAAGGGAGAAGTGAATAAACCGCAGCTCCCGGCGCGGGCTCCCGGGCTCCCGCGGGGCGGCTGCAGTGCAGCCGGAGCCACCACCCGCACCTCCGTCGCCAGGCTCGGCTGTGCTCTCTGACCTCGGTGTTTGTCTCGGCCCCGCGGGCACCCGCAACTGCGCAATAACCCGGCCGGGCGGGGGTCCGGCTCAGGGCCAGCGAGGGCCAGGGCCGGCGTCGTGCCCCGACCGCGGGTTAGCAGCAGGAGGCTGGAGTGCCGGGGAATGCTCGTTCCCTTGCCTGCATTAGTGCGCTGTGCCGATACCCCGGGAGCGTGGGGCTCCCCTGGAACCTGGCTTCAGGTAGAGGAAATCCTCACCACCGCTCCCCAGGAAGGACTTCCCCAAAAGGAACAGCCCCAAACCTCCGAGAATAGGCTGGAGGAAAAGACGCACTCAGGTGCCCTTGGAGGGGGATGCCTATCATCCCGCGACCCGGCCGTGGCAGGGGATAGATGGCAGTCCCTTCATCAGCTCAATAACTGGCAATTACCGGGGAATGGGGGAAGGGTAAGAAATACCCCTTGCAAGTCACAGCTATGTGGGAGACGGTCTTCCTCTATTTCAAAGGTTTGGGCTGGGCATTTCAACTCTCATCCTCCACCCACTTTCCTGAGCCGGGCCGAGGAGAAGGGCACCGGGGAGAGGGCGGCAGAGCGGGCACCCGCTGCAGGTGACGTCTGGCCAGCGCTCCCTGCTGGGGGCGAGGCCTGTGACTCCACCTCACGGTGACCAAAGTCTCCTTGGGCATCTGCTTGTCCCCGCTGGGCTAATTACGAAAGCGGAGGCGGACGTGGGCAAGAAAGCAGCCCCCAGCCCGGCTCCAGCTTCCTGGGACTTCTGGGTCTGGGGAGCGTGGAGGCCTGAGACCCTTGGAGACTCCTCCGTGTTCGGGCGCTATTTGCGAGGGCAAGAGTGGGATGGGATGAAGGTGTAGCTCTAGAGTGGGGACCCTCTTCCTTCTGCAGTTCGGACTTCAGGCTTCGGTCCCTCTTCTAGATGCAGGTCACATTGATAAGTCTGAAGCGGGTTTGCCGAAGGAGCGGACCCGTCTCCCCTCCTGGGCCACCCAGTCCACAGTGGAATCCCAATTCCCGCCCTCCTCCCCGCTCCAAGATCCACCCAGGAGCTGCAGCTGCTCCCTGCAGGCCGCGGAGACCCGCTGAGACGAGTGCCCGGGCGAAGGAGGTGGTCCCGCCTGCCTCGCAGCGCTGCGCGCAGAAGACCGGCTTCCGAGCAATTTTTCCGGCTTGGGGTTGAGGACGCTTGCGCGCACTGTCCCGGGCTGTGGGCGGGCACTGGGGCGGGGCGAGGCGAGGCGAGGGGAGGGGCGCGCGAGCCTGGAGAGTCGCGGCGCGCGGTCTGGGGTCGGGGCGGGACGGCGCGCGCGAGCCCGGGGTCTACGTGGGCACGCGGGCGGCGTGGGTGCGCGGGGGCAGGGCCAGGCGGCGCGCGCTCCCTGGCTTGCTGGGCTGCGGGCAGTGCTGGGGCGGGCCGGGATGGCGCCTCCTCCGCCTCCGCCCCAACTGCTGCTCCTGGCGGCCCTAGCGGGGCTCCTGGGTCCCAGTGAGGTAAGGCGACCCGCTCCCGAGAAGGCTTCGGCCCGGGATCTCAAAGCGCTTTGCCAAAAGTTCGTGCTGGAAGGAGTGGCGCGCGCAGAGGGGACTAGGAGTTCTCCCCTTGGAGGGCTGGGCCTGGGAGGGAGAGGGCAGAGCCCGCGCCGAGGCCAAACGCCCCAGCTCTTCTGCGTCTTGAACCCACAGGTGGTGGCTGAGCCGGCGGAGGAGGCGGGAGCCCGTTGTCCCGAGGGCCTGTGGCCTCTGCCCCCACAGGTGGGTGCCTGGAGGGCGGTGGGAGAGTGGGAGAGAGGAGTGTGAAGGGGCAGCCCAGTCCCGCCCGGGCCTCGCGGCACCTTCCACAGCCGCCCTCTGAGCACCTCTGACGGTTCCTCCGGCCCTCAAGCCACCAACGTCTCCATTCCAACGTGACGGCACGGGCCTGCTGTTCTCTCCCCACCCCACCCCCCCAGAGTCCCCCATGGGCTCTAAGCTCTCTTCTCTCCCCCTGTATAGGTGTCGCCAAGAGTGACCTACACACGGGTGAGTCCACGGCAGGTAAGTACAAGCAGGAGGCATCCTCAGTGTCTGCACTGGAAACAGCGAGCTCCTCGCAGGCTTTCTCCACCTTTTCTGCTCACCAGCTCCATTCTTTACCACTCCCCCCAGTAAGAGGCAATGTTCTTAGTCCCAGGACAGTGAGCCACAGGCCTTGGTCCTCTGCAGTGCTTGTCAGGCATCCTGTTGAGTAGCTGTCTGTGTGGGCAGGAGGCTGCAAGGGAAACTCTGAGGGTAGTAGGAAAAAACAACCTGTGCTCCAGCTCTGCTGTGTGACTTTGGAAGTCTCCTGACTTCTCTGGGCCTCATTTTTCTGTAAGAGAGGTTATTAGTAACGTCCCTCCCCATGAGGAGTTAACAAATAGTGTGGGACAGCACTTTGGAAAATAGGAAGCTGTAAGGAGTGTGTGTACCCCAGGTTACCAACCAAACTGTGGGTTCACCTTGTGTGGCTGCCTATTTTCATTGCCAGTGGTTGGATAGCTTCTCTGTCCCTTTGGTTTTCCTTCTGAAATGTCTATTTTTTTGATCCTTGTAATAGCTCCAGGCCGAAAGAGCTCATGCCACCCACCTGATTCCTTTTCCCAAACAGCCCTTTCATTCCACTGTTCAGAAACCAGTGGCTCCTTATTTCTCGCCTTATCATGGCCATACTCCCCTGTCTTGTTTTTCAGGCTCTACCTCGTTAAGTAAACCTCATCCAACCTCCCCACGTCTTTGGTTCCTCTCGTTTTGTTGGTCTGCTCACCACACGTGTGAGTTCGAGGCTTATTCCCACCCCTGTACTTTTGCACCTGCTTATTCCCCTCAACACCTGGCGTATCCTGACTTGAAGGGGGCAGCTCCCTGCCCTCCTGCCATCCATCCCCATCCATCTTCAAAACCCAGCATAGGAGTCAGCTCTCTCCTGAGACCTTGCCTGATCATATTAGCCCTTATTTATTCATCACCTTCTCCAAATTTGTGTAATGCTTATAACCTATCTCTTGTAACTTAACAACTAGTCACTTTGAGTTTTATTAGTTTGCGCTTTCATTTGCATTAGTTCTGTTCCCCTGAGTTTCCTTTGCGTTCCCTGCAAGCGGAGTCCAGGAGTTCTCTTTTGGCATCTCCTCCAGCGTCTGGCACAAGTGCTGAGCGTTAGGTCAGCTCAATCAAAGAATAATTCATAATTGATGAAGTGTTTCCATCCTGAGATTGTGCACCTGCTGCCTTTGTGCCCTGTATTTGGATGCGTTGGGGAGATGAGATTGAATATATAGATGGGGCAGTACATAGAAGAGCTGGTCTCTATTTGGGGGGCGCTTACAGTCTAGACTGGGAACCTGTAGAGCCACCGTGGCAGGTCCAGAGAAATACAGCTAAAGAGTGTGGTCTGAGTCTGGCAGGGTTAACCACGCATGCTGTCACAGAAGTTGTGAGCTTTGAGGGGTGGCAGTGCATGGAGAGGACGGATGAAAGGAATGCTCAGAGGCAAGAGGGGGTGCACGCCAGTATCCAGGGCCCTTTGTCCTTTCCTGAGCCCTGAAGGTGGAAGGGTCATCTGGCCATCCTGGGAGTCCCTTTAAGTTGGCTCCCCAGGATGGGAGAACTTGGGATTCTTAGGGAGGGACCTGGCTTGATGTCTCCATGCCTTTCCTCCAGGCTGAGGATGTCAGCTTCCTCTACCATCCCTGTGCCCACCCCTGGCTGAAGCTCCAGCTTGCCTTCCTGGCCCACATTTGCATGGCCCAGCCCTTACTGGCCCCTGACTCCAGCCTCACCCAGGATCGGGTGAGTGGTTGCTGAAAGGTGGTTGTCTGGCACTGGCAGGGGCTGCAGCCCCACGTGCAGGGCAAGGGGAATTCAGGGCCTTCTCTTGCTTGCTCCCCATCTTTGTCTTAGCTCTAACAGTTATCTCCTTTCATAGCCCCTGGTACTGGCAGCATGGGGGGTGGCGCTGGAGATGGCATGGGTAGAGCCAGCCTGGGCTGCCCACTGGCTGAAGAGGAGGAGGCGGCGGAAGCAAAAGAAGGAGAAAGCATGGTTTCGCTCTGACAGTTTTTCTGGGCCCTATCCCTTGGTGCCAACACCGGGCAGAGGGAGGCTGTGCCGGAGAGGGTGTGTGCAGGTGAGGGGTGCTGGCCAGGCTTGATGGTCATTGGGTTGGTGACCCAGGGTGGTGGTGTCATTGGGTAATCTGGGCAGGGAAAGGGTGACTGCTGTCTCTTCTCCTCCTAGGCCACGGCTTTGGCCTTTACTCTGCGGAGCTGGAGGCCCCCAGGCGTAGAGGTGGCATCTAGAGGGCCTAGGCAGCTCTTCCTTAGTGGTGCCAAGAGGCGTGGGCTGCGGGCTGCCCTTGGTCTCCAGCCCACCCCCTCAGCCCTGAGGTTCCGCTCTGTTTCCCCACGGAGCATGGAGGCCAAGCAGCCTGTGTTGGGACCCCAGGGTGCAAGGGATAATGCCCCATCTGTGCCCACTGGCCCACTGCTGCCTGGGGGGCCTGGAAGCAGTGTCAGCTCCAGGCTAGAGGCTCAGGTGCCCAAAGGGCAAAGCAGCCCAGGGGCCTGTGCCTGTCCAAGTCAGGCTTCCCCGGCCGCTCGGGCAGCAGCGCCTCCGCGGGCAGCCCGGGGCCCCACCCCGCGCACGGAGGAGGCCGCCTGGGCTGCCATGGCCCTGACCTTCCTGTTGGTGCTGCTCACCCTGGCCACGCTCTGCACGCGGCTGCACCGAAACTTCAGGCGTGGGGAGAGCATCTACTGGGAGCCCACAGTGGACAGCCAGGACACAGTGGCTGGTGAGAAGCTCCCCTCCTCACCTGCCCCGCCCCGCCCCGCTCCCGATGGCTTCCCTGCCCTTGACAGCTCCCCACCCTGCCCATAGCGGTGCTGAAGCGGAGGCTGCAGATGCCCCCTCGCCGGGTCAAGCGCTCCCGCCGGAGACCCCTCCTCCCGCCCACGCCGGACAGCGGCCCGGATGGGGACAGCTCCGAGTGACCTGCCCCAGCCCTGCCACTGTGGCAGGTCCGGCTCCTCCTCCCGCCGGGAGGCTGCGCCACGTGGACCGCGCACAGGGCCGCCCCCTGGTGGCCAGATGGCGCAGTCCTGCCTAAGCGTTGTAAAAGGGCTGGTCCTTAGTGTGTGGTTTGCTGGGAGGGATGGAGAAGGGGAAAGGGAGGAGAGAAAAAGGAGCTGTCTCAGCCTCCGTTGCAAAAACTCCGTTTTTCTTATTAAATTATTTTAGTAGAGCCTGGAGTTGAGCTTGTGCATCTGCCACACAGACTCCCTCCCACCCAGAACACTGTCCTAGGCCATTTGGGTCGTGTTTGATGTAGGGGGTTGCTAGTATCAAGTTGGGCACTCACTGGCCTGTCTCGTCTTGCCAGCCTGGCCTCAGACACTGGGGTTTAGTAGCGTGATAGACCCCTCCCACCACCAGGGGTGAGCAGGTGGTGGGGATGGTGGTGGTATTTACTGAAACATTGTTATTTCCAGGACTCCTCTAAGAGATGACAGGGGCTTCCCTTCCCTCAAGTACAGGGGCTGGAAGAGTCGTGGTCTTCACTTGCTTCATACTTTTGCCAGGTTGGTCTTTCTCCGTTTCACGTCTGCCACCTCCCCAATCCCTCCCACAGTTCCCTAAGCATCAGAAAGGGCACATGGTCACTTATTTATTTTTGATACAAATGTACATGACACACATCTTGACACTCAGCCCACCACCACCACCACCACACAGGTAGAGCCTGGCCCCCGGGGACAGAGGCGGGACGGGGAGAGGAGCTGGTGGGCGCTGCCATCTGCCTCTCAGCCTTCCCAGGCTGCAGCCCAGGCTCCAGGGACCCAGATACTGCAGGCACTGGCCTCTCAGAGGTTACAGGGAGGGGACTCTCAGCTGAGTCAGGGACCCCGGGGAGCCAGCCCCAGGCTCAGGTGCTCAGTTCTCTGCCCCAACCAGCACAATCCCCCTCCACAAGGGAGGGGAAGAGAGATGGAGCCAAGTGGTTTTCCTTTTATGTTCATAGTGAAAGGGTATGAGTGGGGGGAACAATGAGGGGAGGCAGAGGGCAGGACCCCAGCTGGTTACCCAGCAGTCCCTGGCCCCAGGATGGGGGGGAGGGGCCAACGCCCAACACGGGTCCCGCTGCTCTGGTCCCCTCACCCCCTCACAAAACTCCAGTCGGGCCAGGCCTCCGGAACGGCACTGCCGCCCCGCACACTCACACGCAGGCACGCAGGGACACTCAGTTACCACAACGTTAAAATTAAGGGGTGGGAGAGAGGAGAGAGAGAAAAAAGACTTTTCCAGTGTTTGCTGCTGGGGACCCCAGGAGCACAGGTTGGGGCCTGTGCCCTAGGCTGGGGCCGTTTGGCATTGAAGGAGAGCAGCAGGGGGCTGGTGGCTACAGGGTGGGGACATCCACAGGTATTATGTACAAGGGGGGATGCCCCCGCTCAGCCCCCAATAGGGCTGGACTGGCTCATGGGGGTGGGGTGCATGTAAGGGAACCACCCCATTTGGAGTGTCCCCCCCCCGACCCTTTGCTGAGGGTGCCCTAGAGGGCAAGGGGCTGGGAGTGACGCCTTGTAGGCCCCGGCACACTAGAGGGGGAGGGGATGCTATGTACAGGGAGAGGTGCATGGAATGTAGGGGACAGAAGCTCCTGCCACCTCACCTCCCCATCCTTGGGGGCTTGAGGGGGACAGGCACCAGGGCACCTGGCTGCCAGGTGAGAGTGGCAGCACTAAGGGCACTTGTGCCAGCGGCTCTGTTGGGGTGGGGATTAGTGTCTGGAGTGGCCCAGCTCCCATGGCCAGTGAGGTCCCAGGGTGCGGGTGAGGGTGCAGGGAGAGTGGTCACTGCTTCTTCTCTCGGGTGGTGATGGTGACCAGCTGCTTGGCAGCCTTGGCGATGTCGTAGGCGCACTGGATCACCTGCTGAGTCAGCAGCTGGAAGTCCACAGGGGCGCCGGGCTCCGGGGGCACCGTCTTCCGGCACTCGCTCTGCAGCCGGTAGGCGCTGGCGTTGAGCAGCCGCAGGGAGCTGCGCACTGGCTCCAGGGCTGGCCTCTGGAGGGAGGGCAGAGGGAGCTGGGCCTTGGATTTCAAACCATGAGCCACGATACGGCCCCATGTGTCCATGGCTCTACTCAGGTAGCTGTCAGATCCTCTACACCTGCCCGCCCTGAGGCCCTGCCCCACCCTGAGGTGCCGCCCAGTCCTGCTCCCCTCTCTGGCCCCTGTACCTTTGGGAAGAGAGAGGCCATCTCAGTCACAGCCAAGTGGATCTTTTCTGAGCACGGCACAAAGCTATGGGGGGGAGGGGAGGGTAAATTAGGAGGGCTCTCAGGGAAGGTTCCCAGGGACAGTGGAACACTGGTCCCTCTCTTACCCTCTGCAACACCCCAGAAGTCCATACGAGCCTCCGCCCACCTCCATACCTGTCATGCTTGAATTCCTGGGCAGCCCGCAGTAATTCCTGAATGTTCTTGGTGACCTGCTCCGTCTTCAGGATGACATCCTCTGTGCTGGGAAGCCCAGGGTCGAGGTCTCCATCCAGGCTTTCCAGCTCCGGGTGGAAGTCCTCTTCCTTGCCCAGCTCTAGAAACCTCTTCCCTTCCAGGCTGGGTTAGAGAGGAGAGAGAGGGAGGCATTCCAGCTGTGAGGCCGCTTGCCTACACCCTCACAGACGCTCAGGGGCCACTCACCCCCCCTCCCCCGGATGCCTCACCCCAGCAGCGGGTCCCCACTTTGCGTGTTCTCATAGTCACTGTCCGCGCCGCTACCATGGCGGGAAAGCTTGCTCTGGAGGGGTACAGGGAAGGGGTGGCAGGTAAGGTGCACGTTCACAGACCCCCCCCCCCCCCGCCCACCACCCCCCAAGCACACATCTCACTCAGCCCATCCGTCTGGCCCTGGGGATGCACATTACCGAGTGGCGGCTTCCTTCCTGGGAGCACGACAGCAGTGGGGAGGAGGGAGTGAAGGGCACAGCTGAGGCCGACACCCCCTTCCGGACCTGAAACCCAGGCAGGGCTGGAGTCAGTCTCCTCCTCCCCACCACCCACCTTGCGGCTTCCCTGCAGTGAGGCTGGGACCATGTGTGTCTAGTCATCCCTGTGCCCAGCGTCCAGCATAGAGCCTGGCACCTGCTGGGGCTCACAACCTATTTGTGGGAACGGACCCACCTCCCTCAGGCCCTGCTTACCCGGTAAAGGCCAGCAGGGACGTGCACTGAATAGATGGCGTCATCCTCCAGCTCCTGGGGGTGGCACAGTGGGCGTCATGGAGGGCCCTGCAGTGGTCCCAGCCCCGTCTCCACCCCCCACCCTGAGGCCCGTAGGCAGCTCACGGTGCTGTGGAAAGGCTGGAGCCGGGTGGTGAGTTCATCCCCAGGTGGGCCTCCAAAGGGCTTCAGGGCAGAGCCCGGTTCATACATGGAGAAGGCCTGGCGGTCTCTGCGGTGGGTGCTCCCGCCAGGCCCCATGGGCGCGTGCTCCGCTCGTTCGCTGGGGAGTGGGGCTGTGGGCACTGGCCCTGGCGGCTGCCGGATCTGCAAGTTCTCGGCCTGCAGCTTGTGGATCTGAGAGTGAGAGTGGTGTCAAGACACTCCGGATGGTCCAGGCAGCTCCACCACCTCCAGGAGGGGGTAACTCCTCCCGGCACTGGGGCCCTGGGAGGCCCCCATCCTCACCTCCCGCTGCAGCCTCCGGAGCTCATCACTCAAGCTGCTGTTGACTTTCATGAGCTGCTGCACCTTTGCCTCGGAGGCAGCCAGGGCCTTCTTGAGCTCCAGGTACTCCTGCAGCGTCACGGCCCCATCCGACAGGTCTGAGGAGTCCATGCTCTGCAGAAGGAGACGTGAGCCCGTCAGTCCCCTTGTCCCCGAGGCCCGAGCTACGAGAGGATGGAGCAGGGCCTTGGTGGAGGTGTGGGGAGGGGCAGCGCTCAGACCCGAGCACGGTTGTTCCGAGTGGCACCGGCGCTGCGCAGGGGCTCCTGGTCTGTGTCCTCGTCCGAGGCCACGCTGTCGTAGTCGTGCTGGTCGTCCAGGTCACTCTGGCTCCGCACAGACAGCTCGAGGTTGTCTGAGGGCACAGGCCTGTCACTCAGGGCTCACACGGCCCATCTATCATGCCACCCCCAGAAGAGAGCCATGAGAGAGAATATCCTGGAACAGTGCCCACCACCGCACCCCCATCCACGCCCTTCCCACCTGTGGGGCTGCTCAGGCTCTTGCCCTGCTGTCTCCGCTTGGCCTCACTGAGAATGTCGATGATCAAGGTGGCAAACTCTCGGGCATTAAAGCGGGCCAACTTCTGTCGCCCCTGAGAGGCAGAAAGGGCCAGGCTGGTGTGAGAAGGCCCTTAGGGCTGACACACAGAGATGGGGACAAAGCAGCCAGGCCGTCAGACAGTTGACTTAACCACAGCTAAAACGTGCCAGACCAGCTCGCCGGGCCAGGGCAGGGGGTGGGGAATGACACAGATTCGGGGTGCCTAGGGGAGCTCTCAGGAAGAGGCTGGAACACCTCCCCAGGGGGCTGCTCACCAAATGCTCCAAAGAACAGCCTCCTCCCCATTCCCAAATCCCAGAGCCAGCAGGGCCAGGGAGAGGCCGCAGCCAGGAGTGGGGAAGACTCGGCCCAGACAGCAGGCTGCCAGGAAGGGCAGGACCCATAGAGCTGGTGACCCCAGGAGGGGAGATCATCGCCCCAGCCCCCCCCCCCGCCCCCGGTCCAGCCCACTCACCTGATTCCGCGTGGCTGAGTATTCAGGGTTAACGGGCAGGAAGGGTACGGCACTGCGCTCCGTCACCAGGGTGCTGTGGTTTTGGGTTGCCAGCCACACTGGGGGGGAGGGGCAGGGAGCGGATGGTCCGCGGTGGCCAGGCCCACGGGGTGGAGGTGGGAAAGCGAGGAGCACAGCCTTCCGAGCTCCTCCCCATGCCCACCGAGTGTTGGTGTTCAAGAAAGGGGTGGTCTCCGGACAGGGGAAGTAAGGCTGGGTCAGGGAGAGGCCGGTTGGGGACTGACAAACAGAACGAGGCGACTCCCTCCCACCAGCCCCTGCCAACCAGGAGTTTGGGCTGGAATCTGGCTGTGGCCAGGAAGAAGGGATGTAGGGGGCGGAGTGGGACTGGGGAGAGAGCCAAAGTGGGAGGCAGCCAGAGCAGAGGAGCCCCAGTCCAGGGCGCTGGGGGGAGGAGCAGGCTGGCCGCGTCCAGCTCAGCATGCTCTGCCTGCTGGGCTGGGCTCACAGCTGGCCGGGGCTTCCGTTCAGGCCTGCCGAGCAGACCAGCCCCTGGTACCTCTTCCTAGTCCCAGTAAAAGGACCCCAGAGCCACACCAGGTCCCAGCCTCTCCCCAGCAGGCAGACGCGCTGTCCCCTCTGCCCAAGACTTCGATCCCCTCCCGGCTCACCAGCGTCATTTTCTCTTCGATCCACCTCGTCATACACGTCCATGGCAAGTTCCTCAAAAAGCCGGTTGCTGAGCTGGAGGCGGAGGCGGGGACCCAGGCTTTGTCAGATCAACTGGCCCCCCCAGTGCCAAGCAAGCCAGCTCACCAGGATCTTAGAAGATGTCGAAAACGATTTGTGTGTCCCTTGTGCCGCCCAGCCCTCCCCCCAGTCTCAGAACTGGCAACTGGGGTGGGGTCTGCCTGCCAAGCTCCGAGGTGGGAGAGGCAGAGGGAGACCAAAGCAGACTGGTTAGTGCCCAGGTAGCTAGAGATGCGCCTCGTGCCCTGGGAGCCTTAGGAGGGCAGAGCCAGGGTCAAAGGCGAGGGGTGCGGAGGTGGAGGACAGGTGACTGAGGAGACTAGAGTGAGGGGCAGGTCCAAGACTTGGAAGAGGGCACCAGGTCAGAGAAGGGGGAAGCCGTCACAGGGACAGCCGTCGCAGCGACGGGGGCAGGTCAGAGATGGAGGGCAGCTCCAAGCCTTAGGGGCCCGAGGAGACTCACCGCCTGCAGCTTCTTCTTGGCAGCTTTGGCCAACTCGGACAGGTCTAGGCTGTGGACGAAGGAGGGAGACGGGAATGGGGAAGAGGGGAGGGGCCAGATGTGAGCGAGCGGTGGCCAGGCCCCTGCCAGTGACCTCCCAAACATGCAGGGATCCCAGGGAGACGACACCCCAGGTGCTGCACACCGAATGCCTCCCTGCCCCACCAAACCTCCAGAGCCTGTCCCCGAGCAGGCACCATATACCTCTGAGACATGCACTTTTGCCGAGATCTAAGTCCAGAGGAAGGCAGCAGAGGGAAGAACAGGACAGAGGCAGCAATTACCCAGGAGCAGGGCAGCAAACGCCTTCCCATGTCAAGCTCAGACCCGTCGCCGTGCACACGCCAGACCCAGAGTGTACCAAGCCCAACTCATCTTCCCCCCAGCCCTTCCTCGGCCGGCTCGCTCTTCCTCTCAGTGACCCACCACACCAGCGGCAGCTCCTGGGGGTCACCTGCAACCTCCCTCAGCCTCAAGCCCTAGCCAGGCTTTCCCCAGGTTCTGCCATTCCATCCTCCTGCCTGGTCTTTTGCAACATTTCTTCACCCATCTTCCCGCTTCCAGTCTTGCCCCTGCACCCCTTTATTCACCCAGAAGCCAAAGTATTTTTGACACATCTGGCTGCGCTACCCCTCGCCTTCAGAACTTTTCAATAGTAACAGGTTATGTATGGCACACTTCAACAAAAAGCTCACTTAAAAATATGCTAGGGAATTCCCTGGCGGTCCAGTGGTTAGGACTCGGTGCTTTCACTGCTGGGGGCCCAGGTTGGGGAACTAAGATCTCGCAAGCCACGCGGTGCAGCCAAAAAAATAAACGAAATAAAAACGCTAAATGCTTTGCAGGCACTATCTTATTTAACCCTCTCAGAAGCCCAAAAAGATAGGTACAGTCACTCTTATTTCCAGGAGCAGTAACTAAGGCTCAGAGAGGTTAAGGAGCCTGCCTGAAGCCACACAGCCAGTAAGCGGCAGAGCAGACTCCACACAACCGTGTTGGAACCTCTCTGCTCTTGGGGTGGTCTCAGCTCTGGTTGGGGCTCAGGACCGGCCACTCTCTTGCCCCGTCTCTCTTCCAGTCTTGCTCCTGGGATTCCCTGCCTCTCACATGCTTCAGCTATACAGTCTGCCTGTAGTTCCTGGCACAGCATTTCTGACGTCTATGCCTTTGCCTCTTTTGCTGCACTCCCCACAATGGACTACAACTGACTAGGGTGCCTCTCCTCTTGGCTGTGACCTCCTTAAGGGTAGGGATCACGCCTGAGTTACCTCTGGGTCCAGCGGCAAGAACAGCTGGCACTGGGAAGGTGGTCGGTTAACATTTCATTGAGAACACGTTTACAACACACACGCAAGCAGGCAGACACATCAGGCAAAATCAGACCAGAAAAGTAGCGGGGTGTCTTGGGGTCTCAGCAGAGAGAAGATCTGGGCGTTCAGGGATCCGAGGTGCCCAGGTCTGACCATCCCCATCTGGCCACACTGGCTTCTGGAGAGGGAGGGAGCCTCCTCTCCAGATCCAGGCCAGCAGGCACAGCTTGGCCATCGCGGGCAGCCACCAGGTGGCGCTAGCATCCATCTTGTGAGCTGGGTGAGCATCCCCCCCACCCCACCCCACCCCCCACCCCCACCCCGAGCCTGAGCTCCTGGGGCCTCTTGGATAAGAGGCAGAAACACCTCTACTGGCCTTGGGCCCGCAGCCCCTGCCCAATTTTGGCCTGGCAGAATCCCAAAGTTAGTCGAACTCCCGGGGCCCACCACCTTTTCACTGAAGAGCAAAAATTTGTCTAAAGATTTTACAGTTGGGGTCAGTGCCACTGGGAACAGAACTCAGTGATCCGCTGCTCCTAGGGGGGCTGTTTCTGGTACTCAAACCCCATGTGCTTGACAGCCATGGGGGTTAGGCTGTGCTGGCCGTGTGCTGAGTCAACATCTCTTACCTGCTGCTGGGGCCCAGCATTAGGGAGTGAGGACTGGACTGCGATATGCTTGTGACTCCAGCCCCGAAGGGGAATGGGGGTGGGGGTCCCAGGCCCCTAAAGCTGAAGAGTTGGGGGGTGGGGGCGGCTCTGGGGGTCTGGCACCCACAGGGCATCCAGCCGCCTCTGGGAAGGGGTGTCAGGTGGGCACTCACCTGTCTGCCATCTGTGGGATGATGTAATGCCCATTCCTGTGATCTGAATAAAAATAAAAATGCCAAGTCACTGGTGCTGGGTGGCCTTAGCAGCTGGGAGCCCACCTCACTGCCACGAGCAGGGCTTGGCACCCAGAAGTGACAGGGGAAGGGAGGAGGGCAGGCCACCCCCAAGAGCCCTGGGAACTGGCTGGAAGTTATGCCCACCCCCACTCCCTACCCCAACACGCTGCAGCCCAGAGCCTGCAGCAATTTCACAGGAGCCAGTTGCCTAGCAACGTTGTTCCCCAGCCGGCTTTGTCACCATGGCACCTGCTGCTGGGGTGTGTCTGGGTCCCACCTGCCTGGCCCAACCGAGCCTGCCCCACACACTGCTCACCCGGCTTGCGTCCACAGAGGTAGAAGGCCAACCGGTCAGTGAGCTCATACTGGCACTCGACTAGCCTTTCCGCCAGCTCATGGTGCCCCGCCTGCCTGTGGGGAGGGGGCATGGCTCAGCCCTACAGCCGCAGCCCGCTCCCCACACCCACCTGAGCCTCACCCTTCAGCGGACCCTCACCTGGCATAGTCAATGGGTGTGCGGCCGTTAACATCAGGGGAGCCAGGGTCAGCCCCGTACACTACGAGAAGCTCGGCCTGCAGCGTCTGCCCTGCCTTGGCAGCCACATGCAGCGGTGTGGTGCCCTTCTCTGGGTGGAAGAAGTTGGCCTGGGCACCCAGGGACAGCAGGCGCAGGCACGTCTCCAGGTTTCCCGTCCGCACGCTCGAGTGGAGTTGCTGTGAGGAGCAGAGTGTGCCACAAACGGGGGGGGGGGGGGGGCCCCTCCCACCTCCAGCGGCCCCTGGTCCAGGCCCGCCTGGGACTCCTACCAACTCCAAGGGGCCCAGCTGAAGTTAGGTTGTCGAGGAGACAGAGGGCTTCCCACTAGGAGTTCATGCCAATTAATCACAGCTGCAGTCAGTCACCACCTACCACAGCTGTTAACTCCGTGGTAGATGCTATTTCTTTCCCATTTTACAGATAAGGAAACCGAGGCTCTGGGAGGCTCAGAAACTGCCCAGAGTTTTCTGCCTTTCGGGCGGCAGCTGAAGAATTTTAGCCTCGTGTGTCCACTTGGGAGCGGAGGGGCCTTATTCACACGCGGCCTGACCACGCAATCTCGTCCCTCCACCGTGCCCACCATGCTTGCCTGACCTGGCTGCCTTGGGGGCCTAGGGCTCAGTGGTGATGGCACTGTGGGTGAGGAGAGGAGAGGCCCAGCCCTCTGCTGTGGGGCCCCGCAAACCTTGCTGAGGTCCTTGGCGGTGACTCCGTCGTCGTCCCGGCAGGGCAGCTTGTGCACAAAAGCCAGCATCTGGTACTTGGCTCTGATGAACTCTGACTTGATGGGGCTGCATGGAGCACGCAGGAGGAAATGGGGAGCAGAGCGGGAGAGGCCAGTTGCCCAGCGACCTCCCAGGCTCCTGCCCCTGAGCGCACAACCTCAGCCACCACCCCTCGAGCCCGACTCACTGGACTTTGTCTTGGGGGTTGGCTTTGCGCCGGCCGCTCTGCACCTGCGCGGGGTCCAGCAGGGAATGCTCCCAGATGGAGTTGGCCCCGTTGCTGGCGAGTGTGTGCACCATCTGTAGGGAAGAGGTGCCAGAGTGAGAATGCCCACTGCGCGCTGGGGAACACCTCCGAGCACCAGGCTGGACACAGTACTAAAAGGCCTACTGTGTGCCTGGCACCGCTGCACCCCTACCCAGTCAGGCCTTCCCAGCCAAGGATGCGGGTCCTGCTTAGCACTTCGGGTGACATGGTGGGCACACCAAGGCTCTGAGACGTTAAACTCAACACCACATGGCCGAGCTACTAGGTGGCAGAGCTGGGGTGAGAGCCCAGGTCTGTGTGACTCCGGTCCTGGAAGCCTCCTCTCCGTGTGGGCCGGCGCCCGGGTGGAGAGGGTCAGGATTGGGTTCTGCCCTGGGTGGGTGCTGCCCCCGGAAGCTGCGGGATCCAGACAGCTGTGTACGTGGGTGTGGGGGGGAAACGTGCCAGCGCTCAGCACACGCTACGGGGAAGGAAGCACGGCCCAGCACAGCCCGTACCTGCAGCAGAGTGGGGGGCCAGGCGCTGTGGCGAAGGTGCTTGACGATGGAGATGTGGCGTCCCAGGCTCCGGTGCACACTGCAGCACTCGTCACACACCAGCACACCCCTGCTGATGGAGGCCCAGCCGGGGTCTGCCGGGGTGGGGGGAAGGGTCAGCCACAGCCAGACACGGGCGAGGCCTCCTGAACACTGCCCTGGGCCCGCACTACGCTTAGAACTCCACACACATTTGCTCACTCAGTCCCCCAAGGCTCTGGGAGCTGGACCAGCGATGAGGACGCTGAGCTCTGGAGGTGGGAGGGACTCCCATCAGAGCCAAGCCCTTTCCTACAGGTCTTTGCCCCTCTGGGGAGGTGTGGTCCCCAGGGCCTACTCAGCGGGCAAAGCTTCCTGTCCTGCAGCCACTGTGACCAGTTCCACAGCCTTTCCCCAGGGAACAAGGCTGCCACCCTAGCCCTGCCCCAGGGAGGCAGAAGTCCCCAAGGACTGCACGCCACACATCTCTAGGCACTCCTGTGTCCGGATCAGTGCCACATTTCTCCTACACTCAGGCTTCTTTTAGAACCACTAGCTCACCTGCCTGACCCATCACACCCCTCTGAGGGCTCCCGCCTCTGTCCTCATCCTGGCAGGTAAGAGCCCCTTTCATGACCGAGTCTCCTGACACCACCAGTGATGGGGTGAGCTGGAGCCCCTCTTAAGGGGGATGGAGAGCGCAAAGGAACTAACACTGACTGAGTACCCACTGTGTACCAGTTGGGTGCCGTAAGTATGGTACCTCTAATGACTGTCAGGCAAGGTGGGAAATGCTACCCCTGCTTTACCAATGAGGAAGCAGTGTCTCAGAGAGGTTAGGGTGCTTATTCAAAGCCACACAGCTAATGAGTGGGATTGCTGGGATGTGAACCCAGGCATTTAGACGCTGGAGACCATGCCATGTCCACACCAGCTGCTGCTGCAGCCCCAAGTGGGCGAGGGCCATGGGAGCCACTCTCTACTCCTTGGGGAGAAGTGAACTTTAGAAGCAACAAGGGGGACCAAAGCAGGATGGGAACTCCTGGGGTCCTTCTACAGGGCAGGGGAGATGCCACCCATCCCAGGCCCCTTGGGAGAGGGGGAGGAGACAGCTGCATACAGCTCAGGCTGCAGAAAGGTCACGGGGGAGAAAGCAGCCATTGTGTGCCACTGGAGAGTGGGGGCAGGGAGCCTCTCTCGCAGGACACTGTGCTCTGCCCAGGCCCCCGGCCTGTCTCACGAAGCCCCGTCCTGGCGGGGGGTGAGGGGGTGGGGACTGGCTCTCTGCCTCGCCCCTAGTGCTCATGTTGTCCAGAGTGGCCCCCACCAGGGGAGGGGACAGGCTTGGGGTAATGAGAGCCTCTCCAACCAGAAGGCAATTCTCATACCCTTCCCTGCAAGGACTTCTACCAGTGTTCGCCAGAGAACTGTGAGGAAACTGAGTCAGGATACAGCCTGAGCTCTGCCGTGGTGAGTGTCCCCTCCGTGGCATGGAAACAGGAGGTGAAAGGAGGAGGGCTCAGTTCTTTGGGTCTGGACTTCTTTAGGGATCCCCCCAAAACAGGGCAGAGGGATGCAGGAGGTACCGGCCATACACCTTCCTCGGAGGCGAGGGGCCCACGAGGAAAGGACCCGCCATCTGTGCCAAGAGGGGGAGCCCTAGAGCAAACTTTAGTGTTGGCTTTACCCAAGCGGTGAGGGCCCCCCAGGCATGTAAAGCTCCTTTCCCCCCGACCCCCAAACACCACTGGGTCAGGGGTCTGCCTGCCAGCCCCCTCCGCCAGCCCAGGCAGGAAGCTGGAAATGACGCAGCCTGAATTCCTCTTGTTGAAATGGTGGGGTTTCCTGTCAGGAGGGAGCCGCCCAGGCCAGGATCATAAATGGGCAGCTCTAAGGCCTCCACCCCAAGCCCGTGGCCCTACCGGAGAAGCCAGACCTGGGAAGGCTGGCCAGATATCCAGGGCCAGACCAGACATGGTGAGCCCCTGAATGAGGCAGTGACCAGGATCTGGGGAAAGGGGTCCAAGGCTCTGCTCGGCACTCACCCAGCCTGGGGGAGGGGTTCTCCCTCTCTTCCACGGTGACCTGAAATAGGAAGGGTGGGCAGGGGACACTGTCCTGGTCTGGGGCACACTGGTGCCAGCTCAGTTCTGGATGACACAGATGGGTCACCTTACTACATACTCCCTATGTCCAAGGGGCCTGGGCCTACCCAAGCAGGAGCCCCCAAGGCCCACCTAGGCCAGTTCCTAAGCCAAAGGGCCAGGAAGGGTTTCTGAAAGTCAAATGGCTACTGTAATTTAAGGTTAAGGGACCCTTGCCCCCAAACAGGCTTCCAGGACCAAACTCAGGGCAGAAGGGTAGGGGGCAGAAGGGTTAGGGGATGTGGTCTCCTCCTCAGTACCCTGCCAACCTTCCCCCTGGGCTTCTGCCTCAGTCGTGGGGTGGGGGGGCATCTGGTACGTATGAGCAAGTGGCAGGAGGGGTCCTGGGATAATGTTCACCAGCACCAACCCCATGGAGGCCTCTATTAAGGTGAATACATGTCACCACCCAAAGCCACTGGTGACCTCCAGGGCCCGGAGCCAGCCTCTTCTTATCTAGGGACCAGATCCTCACTAGACAAGAAGGAGAAGCCCACCATCTTGAAATCAGGCAAGAGTAATCCATGGGGATAGAGGTCAGAATGGCGGCTGCCTCTGGGGGGCGTTGACACAAGAAAGCCCTATGAGGTGATAAGAATGCTCTACCTCTTGATCGGAGCTGTGGTCACACAAGTATATAGGCAGGTAAAAACTTATCAGGCTGAACAATAAGATAAAGGCACTTTGCTGTACATAAGTTATACCTCAGTAAAAGAGGAAGCCCATCGCTCACCCCACCCCATAATCTACATTATGAAGACAAATGAGCCTGCAGGTTCCCAAATGTCCCTAGCTGGTGGCCAGCCTTGCTCACTCAAGGTGCCTGCAGGATGGGCATCTTGAGGTCTTCACGCCTGTGCCTGGGGCTGCCAAAGTGGGAAGGCTGCCTGAAGGCCTGTGGTGTGAGGCGCAGGCCCGTGACAGAGAAGCCAGGACTGTGCGGCAGGGTGAGTGGAGGGGCAGGAAACATTCTCCAGGGTTCCCCGACCCCTGGCCCTCTCCTGGATTCCCAAGGCAGGCAGGGACACAGACGGTGCCTAATGAGGTGGCACCAGCTGCCAGAGCAGCCAGGCTATGCCCAGCCGTCTCACAGCATACTCACACTTGTCCCGTGTGCCCAGGCCTGTGAGCAGAGGGAGGACAGGGCCCTTCTGGGTCAGGCTGCATCTTACCTTTCACCTCCATGACCCTGCAAATTAACCAACCACAAAAAGGCCACGACCCCATTCCTAGGGCTGGGACTGCAGGGCTCCTATCACAATGAGAAGCCTACGACTTTGGGTAGGAAGCATACACCAAGGAGGTGGCTCTGGGCCTGGGCTCCAAACTGCTGGTTTCCCTCAAGCCTCTTACCTGGGCTGCTACAGGTCCCAAACTGAAAATGCCACGCCATGCATCATAGGGTCGGGGTGTGGGGTAGCCCCAAAGAGTCAGCTGGGGTCCTGAGAAGCATCCAGACACTTGAAGAATGCCTGCGATGTGCCAGACACCATGCTAGGTGCCGGGGTGGGGGGATGAGCAAGACTTCATCAGCACCCTGCACGCCCCACCATCCTGACCTCACCACCTGCCTCTTCCTGATCTGTATTCTGGATCAGGGGAAAAGGAGATTCCAGGGGGACACAAATGGCTCTGTGGGATGAGGACTGGGGGTGGGAGCTGGGCACCCCAACACAACAGATACACACCACTCCTGCCCATGCCCACTGGACATCCAGAGGCTTCCAGCCAAACAGTCAAATGCAGCAGAGAAAGGACAACTGCCTTGCTAATGCTGCCCAGTGTCCCCCTGGCCCAGAATCAGGACCACAGACTTGGAGGTGGAACAGTCCTCAAAAACCATTTCTACTCCAACTTCTTTGCCTCAGAGTTGAGGAAACTGAGACCCAGAGTGAGGAAAGTCTTGCCATGAGTCACAGAGTAATCTGGAAACAAAGACAACACCAAAATCCAGGCTTCCCTGATAAAGTGTTTACTAAGCAACCCCCTCCCAGTCCTACCTGCCCTCCCCCACTGCTACGTCTGCCCAGCAGAGGTGCAGAACAGCCTCGGACAGACAGACAGAAGGCAAGCTCTCCTCCCAGCCCGTCCATCCCCAGACCTGCCTGCAGCTGGGGTAAGGAGAGAGTTTCTAACTAATCAGGGGTAGGGACACCCCTTCTCTCCTCCCCTCGCCCCCCCCCCCAGATAGTTTCTTCAAGGTCCTCTAGACCATGACATGCCCTGAGAGGAGGCCTCAGGGTCAAAACCACCCAGATCACCGTGCCTCTGCCAGGCACCCACAGTTCCCTGTTGGGGTCCTGGTCCTGTCCAAAGGGTGGCTGCAAGTTACGGGCCCACAAAACAGCACCCCACACTCTCACACTTATTTTGTGCCCAGAGGTTCACAGACAACCCCACCCTCCCCCAAGCCTGCCCAGAGGTCTCCCAGGGAGATGGCGCCTTTTCTAAAAAGAAGCCGGTCAAGGGCCAGGGCTTTCCTTTCCCCAGGCCAGCTGCTGAGCCCCATCACTGGCAGTGTCCTCCCACATCAGAACGGAGCAGCCTCTCTGGGTCACTGATCCTCACTTCCTCAGTAGGTGGGGGGGGGGGGGTTTACATCAGCCTGGACCTGACTCTGCTGGGAAGGAGAAGGGAAACACCATGGTAAATATAGCCAAGAGGCAGGCCAGGAAGCCAGGTGGATCCCAGGAATCTAGGCACCCCTCGGCACTGCTCCCTACCCATTTCTGGCCAGACTGGGCTAGGGGATGGGGAGGGGTCTGTGCCCAGGCTAGGGTAACGCCAAACCCACCTTCCAAGTAGGCCTTACTGGAACCCAGTAAAAGCTGTCTCGTTGCTCCCAGTCACCAGGCCTGGGGACGCCTCGGGGGAAGATGCCCAGGCTCGTGGTGGCCCTGAACACCAGGCCCTGCGAGGAGCCTTGGAACCCGGGGCAGGGAGTCCTAGGAGTAGCCACCCCGTCATCTGCTCCCGAGGAAACAGTATCCAGGCCCCCCTGGCCCATCTGCCCAGCTCTCTGCCCCTTGCCCTCCGCCACCCCAGCGGGCGCGCAGACCATGCGAGCAGCAGGTGCAAGACGCGGGGGTGGCACTGAGATGACACAAAACCACACTCGCCCCCACCTCCTAAACCCGGCCGGCCTCTGCCACAGCCCTCCTGCCACCCCAGGCTGGCGCTTCCGTTTGGATACCGAGATGGAAGGGGGGGCAGCCAGCTGCCCTCCTCCCTCATACTGAGGGGTGGGAGGCGGCGCCGGTAATGTCCTTCCTCGCCGGTCCACGGACGCGAGGAAACAGCGGCCCCCCAGGCCTCCCTCCCGCCAAGGACGCGGCTCCGCAGTGGCCCGGGCGGGGGCCGAGGCCGGAGGCCGCAGCCCCCGGCCCGGCCCCGCCCCGCCCTCCGGCCCCGCAAAGCGCTCCCGCCAGGCCCCGGCGCCCGCCCGGCGGTGCCTCGGTGAGCGGTCCCGCCCCCGGCCCGGCCCCGCTTACCCGGGGCACTGCAGTCCGCACACACCTCCGCTCGCGGCCCCTTCCGGGACATCCTCAGCGGCGACGCGGCCGCAGCCCTCTGGGCCAGCGTGGGGGGCGCGGGCGGCGGGCCCGGGCGGCGACGGCCCCTGCAGCCCGGCCCAGCTCCGGCAAGGCCTCGGCTAGGCTCCGCGAGCCCGGCCAACTGTCCGCCCCCGAGGCTGGCCCGGAACCCGCCGTGCCCGCCCGCCCGCTCGCCCTCGGGCGCCCTCCGCCCCGCACCGCCCCGCGCCGCCCCGCGCAGCCCCTCCGCCGCTCGCCGCTCTCTCTCTCCGCCCCCTGCGCGGCTCCCGGCCGCTCCTGCAGGAAGCGGCGCAGGCCCGTCCCACCGGGGGAGGGGCAGACTGCACACCCGCCCCGCCGCCAGGCCCTGCCTGCCGCGCCTCCAGGAGAAAGGAAGCCGAGAGCGCGGGCGGGAGGGGGCGGGGGCGCTTAAAGGGGCCACGGCCGCCGCAAGGCCAGAGCCGGCAGTGCCTCCTACGGCCCAGGCCTCGGCTCCGGCGCACCCCTGTCCCCAGACGGTGTGAGTTTGCCTCACAGCCCCATCCCCTTCATTTTCGGGGACAGTGACCCCTGGGGATCAGAGAAGAGAGTAAGGAGCTGGAGGCCCGGGCTCCCCTTCCTCATCAAGGGGCTGTGGTTCAGGGTACCTGTCTCTGTTTGGGGTGAGTTGTGCATCCTGGTCCCCCATGAGTCCGCCTGTGTGTCCAGGTGTATGTGTGGTCACACTCTTGCTGACTACGCACACCGCCAGCAATATGGACGCCCAGGTGCCAGAGGTCATGTATCCCCTGCCACCGGGCTAAAAAGACATTTATCCCTCCTCCATGCTTTCATCCAGAGAGGAAAGAATCTGGGCAATTTTTTTTGAAGACCTCCTGAGGAGTGACCACTGTGCCTGTGTGCAGTAATATCCACTTCGCATCGGTCTTGTATATATCAACGGTGTTTCTGAGCCACCAGGGGTGTGTGTGTCCAGGGCGTGTGCATATAACATACAGGGACCTTTTTTGTGGTGGCCTTTCTTCCTGGACTTCACACTGAGACTCATTGGAGGTGGGCGGGAGTGGACAGGGAGAGAAGGCGCAGGCCGCACGTGGGTGCACCCCTGGACTGAGCATGCTCCCCCATACACGTGTGCCCCACGTGCACCCAACCCCCATCCCTGCAGCAGCAAAAGGCCAGAGCTCTGTGAGGAGAGGGCAGGGGTGCCCAGGCCCAGGCCCAAGGGCCAGGTCAGTGGTGACACGATTAAGGGACGGTTCCCCAGATTAGGGGAGGGTTCCCCATCGGCATGTAGTCCTGCTGTGTAACAAGGGAGCAGGAGGGGAGTCCTTGGGCAGGGGTGCAGGAGTTGGTTCATTTTATCCCAGCGGTGCCAGAGCAGCAGTGACTTGTGGGTGGCAGGCTGCTTCCCTGGGGGAGACAAGTAATGTTCATGAGTCACACCACCCGAAATATATGCAAAGCTGCCTCCATCGCCTTTCGCTGCAGCCCAGATTGACAAGTTTGTTTGAGATTGCGATCCACGAGGTATATTTATAATCGCACCTTAGAAAAAAATCTTCTTGCAGGCACCCCCTCCCCCCATAGCCAGCAGCTCCTCTGGCAGGGTTTCTGCGAGCTAAGATACCTCGCGGGGGGGGGGGGGCGGGGGAGGGAGAACACCACCTGCCGCCCTGTGCTGCACTCCACCGAGGAGTCTGTCCATGGGCTTGGTGGCCCCATCCCTGGCGATGGGAGGAGCGGCCTGTCCGCTCTTCCTGGGCGCACAGCCCACGAGCTGTGGCCGCCCGTTCACCCCCGATCGACCCCCAGCTACGGAATTTCATTTATTAGAAGTCGAGGCGGCTGCTGGCAACCCCATTGCTTGGCTGTCTTTGTTTCTCTGCTGTGTGGGCGCGTCTCGAGCACGTGGCAGCTGGAGCGCGCAGGCCGGAGGAAAAGCGACCTGAGTTTAGAGTCCAGGGCCGCTTGGCAAAAAGAGAAACTCCGGCTGCCCAGAGGATAGCACCCCCCCCCCCCGCCCGCCCAATCCAGGCTGAGCTCCCCGCCTCCTTAAGCCCCAAGCCTTTTCAGGGGAGGAAGGATAAGTCACCCCGTTCCCCCCACCCCGCTAGCCCCATCTCCTGGTTGGCCCTGGGACTACCTGGGAGTGGCCGAAGCAGGGCTCCACTCTCCAAACTTTGTTCCCGAAGCCCCCAGCCCCGCCACAGACGAGCTTCTGGGTCTGGGGCTAGGGATAAAAGGGTTTCAGAATTTCCCTTTGGAGACTTTGCCACCTCAGGAAGCAGGACAGTTAAAGAGAGATCACAAAAAGACTCTAAAAACAATTTAATGAGGAAATGTACAGGCATTCTCCCAGCCACTCCTAGCCGTCCCTTCTCCGCTCCAGCCTCCTCCCCAACTCTGGCAGCAGCCACGACACTCTGCTGACCCCTCGTGGTGGAGGTGGGCAGCGGTCTCCGGCTGCGGGAGACGCCAGCTGGCTCCTCCCAGCCTGGAGAAAGGGGCGAGGCTGTCCACTCCTCCCTCATCCTTTCCCGCCGGGGCCTGGCACTGCAGGGTGTGGAGGAGGAAGGACCGAAGACCACACAAAGAAACCTGATAGAGGCTCGGAGAGTTTGCAAACTTTTGCTAGCACCTCTCACAAAAATGCTTCCTGGATTGTTCTAAGTAGGGCTGGTATGGAATCCCTTATTCCTGTCTTGTTATAAGGTGGGCTCAAGAAGGCTCTGTGCCTGGTCCCGCCACCTGTCCCAGTCCGCCTGGTTGGGGGAGGGATGCGCCATTTCCAGGGCAGTCACTATCCTTAGCTCACCCGAGGAGGTAGTATTTAGTGTCACATTTTAGAGGTGAGTGGTCCGAGAAACCAGGAAATTTAAGCAATCTGCTTAAGGTCAGGCAGATAGTAAGGAGGAATTCAAACTCAGGTTCTCTCAGACACCCCAATCCCTATCCACTCCAGGTCCTACCAGCCCTTGCAATAGGCTGTCCCAGAGGGCAATTCCACTTTTATCACGGCATCTGCAGGCACCCTTCTGGAAAGACTTCTCTGCCCTAGGGTTATTCAGGAAGGAGTTAGTCTCTGGAATCAGTCACTTCCTCTCCAGAGGGGACCACATGGGGTGGAGGTGGGGAGCTGCCACCTGCTGCTGTCTCTGCCCAGCCCCACTCAGGTCCTTGCAGAGGACAGAGTATGGGGGGAGGGGTCTGTTCTCCCAGCCTTAATAGACATTCTCTTTCTAACGTCAAATGTGGAAGATGGAGTTGAATTTTGAAAGAAGGCAGGGAAGACTCCTACGCAATATTTCAGGTGCCAGATTCCTGGTTGCTCCAGTGACCCTTACTAACGCCCCGCACCTTTCTCAGGATTCCTTCCATCAGTCACTCTTTTCTTGGAATCTGGATCCTGCTCACGTTCCACTAGGACCCAAACTCAATCCTGAAGGCCACACCTTCCCGCGACCCCTAAGGCTTGAGCAAGGCCTTGTAACCCCCTCCTTCCCCAGCAAAAGGCAAGATGCCAGCGGGTGGCGGTGCGCCCCAGTCCAACTGGCGTCAGGACACTGCCTCCGTTCCGGCCAGGCCTGACTCCCTCCCCACTCTCTCAGTGAATCAGGGGGCCACTGAGGGACCTCCTCCGGTCACTCGCCACCCCCAGTTCCACGAGGCGGACTACAAGCCCCATGATGCCGCGGGGCCGAGTTATAACAAGCACTGCCCAGGGCACCCACGTCCCCCTCCTCTCTCCCCCGCATCCCCGCATCCCTAGCCGATCGCTCGGGCTGAGGGCCGGGCTATGCAGCTGCGGGCGCGCGTCCCTGCGGCGGCGGTGGCGGCGTCCCTGGGGCCCTCGCCCCGTGCGCCCCCGCGCCCGCTGCGGGCGCCTGCTCCCTCGGCCGAGCAGCGTCTTTGTACGCGGGGGTGTGGGAGGCGAGGCGCGAGTCCGCGCCGCGCCGCCGAGTGCCCGCGCCCTCTCCGGGCGGGTGGGGGCCTCTCCGCGCAGCCCGCCGCCTCGCGAGGACGCCCGCGGCCCGCGCCGCCCGCACCGTTCCGGGCGCGCCACCCCCGCCCGCCGGCGCCGCTAGCACATGCCCGAGCCGCAGCCCTGCGAGCAAGCAGCGCTGGCCCCCCGCCCCGCGGCTCCGGGCCCTGGCTCTGGCGCGGTCCCTCCTCCCGGGCCGGGCGCCGCGGCCCCGGCATGAGGAGCGGGCGATGATCCCCGCCAACGCCTCCGCCAGGAAGGGGCCCGAGGGCAAGTACCCGCTGCACTACCTCGTGTGGCACAACCGCCACCGCGAGCTGGAGAAAGAGGTCCGCGCCGGCCAGGTAAGAGCGCCGTCGGGGCGCCGCGAGGACCCCATGGCCGGGCACGCCCGCCCGGCTTGGGGAGGGGGCGCGGCGCGGGCTGTCCCGCCCCCCTGGCGAGTTTGCAGCGCTTCTTTGTTCGCAGCCGCCGCTTTTGTGCTGTTGACCCGGAGAGGGTGATGGGAGCGGCCCCCGCCCGCTTCCCTCCGGCCCGGACTGGCGGCCCACACGTGCTCCGGACCCTCCCAGATTGGGGTAGGGGACGCCGTGCCCCTCCTCCGCGGGGGCAGTGAGGGCTGCGGGGAGGGGCTGTCGGCTCCATCTGTGTTCCACGCGGTAGCAGAGTCCGCCCCACTCAGCTCGGCAGCAACACCTCCCGCGTGAGTGTGCGGAGGTGGGCAAGGCCTGCGTAGGGAGGGGGTCACGGGTCAAAGATCAAAGAGGCTGTGACACTCCCAGACATTCCAGCCCCACCCAGTGCCCTCTACCCTCACGATGAGCGCTTATCTGTTTGCTCAGACTGGGCAGAGCCCCTGGATCCCTCAGACCCGGCTCAGGAATGGGGAGTAAAGAGAGAGACCCTCTTGGCTTTAGCCCTGTAGGGCCTTGTCCAGGTGCTGAAAGGCGCTCTCCTGCCCTCTGGTGCTGGGGCCTGGCTTCTAGGCGCTGAGGCAGCGAGGGGCCCTTTGGACTCTGGCAGGATTCGAGGGTTTGCACACAGAGCAGGCTACCAGGTTCCTCTAGTCAGTGAGAATGGGTGGGTCAGCCAGCTTTGGCTGGGCGGTGGCCTCCAAGAAGATAAGGTAAGGGATGGGGTCTCCTGGCCGTTCTTTAGGACCAGGGCAGGCAGGCAGGCAGGCACAGGTCACAAGTAGTTCCCAACTCCGCCGTTGGCCTTCAGGCACAGGTAGGCACTCGTGGCATGGACGACTAACCCTCCAGGGTGGGGAGGCAGGAGCGAGGGCTGGGCCCAGCCTGCCCTGGTTTGTCTCCAGTTGAGGCCTGCAGACTTGGCCTAGATCTGAGATCCTGGGGCCCTGGGCTGGGAGTGGTTTGCTAAGGCTTTGTCCCTTTGGGAATATGCCTTTTGAGGGCCACTTCCTGAGTCACAGGAAGTTCAGTTTGAGGAGCTGTCTGCTTCCCAAGGGAAGAGTGAGGTGGAGAGCAGGACATCCCCAGATGGTGAGCAAAGTGAGGGTCAGAGTGTGTCTCTGAATTCCACCACTGAGCCCTCAGACCAGTGCAGCACCCAGCTCTGCATAGCAGTCCCAGGAAGTGTTGGGGTGACCTGAGCCTCCATCTCTGGTCGGGGTGTCCACTTCCATTCTACCTCTGCTTTCACAAGGATGCTCCAGGTTGCTCCTCAAACCACATCTCTGTTTATCCATCATAAAGGAAGTGGTTTGCAGCCACTGGTAACGGAAGCGAGGTCAGAGTGGTGGATCCTGCGGGACAGAGATGAACAAACCAGGCACAGCCCATGCCCTCCAGGAAACCCCGTTCTGGTGAAGCAAGTGTGAACAGGGAAGTACAGTGTGATGTGCAGGGTGCTAAAACAGTCCAGCCTCTTCTGGCTCATTCTCTGCTTTCCTCCCCTTGAGGGCAAGAGAAGACAAGCCTCTGATAGAGGTTACAGCTGGAGGGATTTAAGTATGATCTGAGAGGAACTTCCCAATGGGATGGTTGATGGTTGGTCGAAGAATTGTTAGGAAGAAGGCTAGTGGCTGAATGTCCGGATCACCTCAGTCACACTCCCTTGCCCAAGGGGTGGGTGGTCCTTTTCTTGCAGAGATTGGAGAGAGGCAGAATGCCTTAGAAGAAAAGGCTTTTTCACCCAGGCCTCTCTGATTGACAGTCCTCAGGTCAGCAGTCATCTTCCTGGGGTGAGGCTGCATGGGGAGCACTGGAACCCGCTGCAGGTAGGGGTGGTCTGGACCACTGAGTGTGTTCCTCTTTGCTCCCCTCAGGCTGCCACAGAAACCAGGGACCAGGTTCACCCCATCCCCACCCACTCATCCCCTCACCCTGGTGAGTTTTTGTCTTCCTGAAACGGATACTGCCTGCCCTGATCCAGGCCAGGGGGAATATAGGGCATTGGTTGAGATTAAACCCTTCTTCAACCATAAAGGAGTCAGGGGTGCCAAGAAGGGGAATGCCAGTCAGTCTGGGTGGGAGAGCCCCCTGGCTGTATTTCGACTCCAGGACTGACCCAGAGTGATGCTTGCATCCAGATGTGCACTGCTCAGTCCCCAGGGCCTCAGACTCCCAGGGAGAACTGAGGATGCCCACCCCAGCCATTTCCTGCAGTGATGGGTCTGGGGGCAGCCACTTAACATCATAATGAAACCCGGTAGACCCCAGGCATCTCATCTGGGGGTCCCTGATCTCTGGTCCTTCTGGCACCCACTGTCACAGAAAACAGCTGGGTTTTCCTCAAAAACACAGCAGCTGGGTTTCCCTGGTCTTCACTTGTCATAGCTGCCTCTTCTTCACTCCAAGAAAGCCCTGCAGAAGCCCTCCGTGGGCAGGCTTGGCAATGCTGGCCAAGGAGGAGGGGGATGGCACGGCAGGCTTCTGAGCAGGTTCATGGGGCCTGGAAGCAGGGAGTGGCGGGGAGATGGGAGGTGCTCAGCGGGTGTTTTTTGGTGAAGGGAAGAGTCCATGATCACCCCTAGCCAATGCCCAGCAATACAATGGTTGCTGGGTGCCCTGCTTCCTGCCACACACCTGCTCTGCCAGGTTGGGAGGGGGCAGGGGGTTGTAGGGTAGTGGATGTGCCAGTTCCCCCTTGGCTGGCACGAGGCCTGAGGTCCAGACAGCTGGGCATGGCCTAGGTTTTGGAGTCACGCGTCCCTGGTGTTCCCTGGGGGTGGGAGGTGGAGGTTAGACTGAATAGCTCCCTGTGGGAGGGCCAAGGAGAGCAGGATTCTTCCCAGGCAACAGGCACTCTGGAGGGGGCTGGACTGTGGTCCTAGAGAAACATTTTCTTTCTTCTGGCGGCTGCCTCCACCATGGTCCTCCTTCCTGCTTTCCCTGGTTCATCCTTCTGACCTAGAGGCAGGTGAGATGGGATCGTGGGGCCCCCGGATACTCAGACAGAGGCTGCCTCACCCTAAGTACCTGTTGTGCCAGGAGCACCTGTGATCCCTTCTCCTCGCAAAGTAGGCAGTCCTGGGTTTGGGCCGTCACCACAGCTGATGAGTCGGGAAGCTCAGGAGAGGGAGCCACAAACCCTAGAAACCAAATATCCATGTGTCTGGGATGAGGGGGAGGGGCTGTGTGGGGCAGGATGGAGGGCGTGGGTGGAGGGCGGGGGTGGAGGGGCAGGTGGAGGGGGCAGGGCGGAGAGGTGGGCGGAGGGGGCAGGGCGGAGGGGCGGGTGGAGGGCATGGGCAGAGGGGGAGTCAGCAGGTGCCACCCCCACTGGCCCGACTCCACTTGGGGAAGCATCTTGCCTCCCTCCCCCCGTTGAGTGAGCTCAGGCCTGCCTGGTGGGAGAGCAGAGGAGCAGTGGCCATACCAGACTCTGGCTGTCTTCCCTGGGGCTGGGGGATGGAGCGGGGCAAGGAAGGGAGACGCAGGCTGAGCAGGCAAGGGGCCCCAGGCTCTGGGCCCCTCACCTTACTTCTCCAGCACCTGTGTTTAGTCTGTACATTTGGAATGTTCTTATAAGATTTCACCTAACAAAAGGACTCTGCTAATGCTAAACAACTTTGAAAAATACCCTGCTAGCCCATGTGGGTTCAAGGAGTGTGCACGTGCAAATGTGCTGGCAAATACGTGTGTTACATGAGTAGAGGCCAGCTGGGCACACATGTGCTTGTACACTTAGGGGTGCACATGTACAGTGAGTGTGGAGGCAGGAGTAAGAGTGTGTGTCCTTATGGTACCTGTACGAGTGTGTGTGTGCAGGCAGGTGCCTGAGTGGAAGCAGGGAGACTCTGCTCAGAGAGCCCCAGCTCCTAAGCTCGAAAGACCCCTGCTTTGGGCTCCAGCTGAGGCCAGCTGGGGTGCAGTTTCCGCTCTCTTGGTGGGGAGGGCTGGCTATTGGGTTTCCTGGGAAACCTTTTCATTCCAGCAATTAAATAGCAGGCCTCTGCCGAGGAAGTTAATGAATTCTCCCGCCTGGGCCCCCAGCAAGGTGCTTCTGCCACTGCAGGCCCGGCTTGGGATGGGAGGGGGAACTCCTCTGGGGCTCGGCTGACAGTATGCAGGGCTGATGTTGGCCCTGGAAGACAGCGGTGTCTTGGGGACCCTGGGGAGTCGGGAGAGCTCCTGTGGAGTGGGGGTAGGGAGGGCACCCCTGCCTGGCAGGCAGTGCCAGCCTCTCTGTGGAGCCTGGAGCTGGGGCACCTGAGGGGGAAGGAGGCAGGCGGCATCTGGAGCCCTGGGACCGGGCCCTGCTGGCTCCCTGGGGCCTTGTTAGCGGCAGCAGCATCTGGGGCGGGGCTGGTGGGAGGCATGGGTGGCTGGGCTGCGGCCCCATGGGAAGGCCTCTTCCTGACACCCCCCATGACCCAGCCAGCTCAGGGTCTATGGATCCTGCATCACTCCCACCCCAGGACTCAGGACCCCACCCAGGTCGGACCCTGAGGGGCCCAGCTCAACCAGTAAGAGGCTCTCCTCCCCTCTGGGGAGCTCATGTAGAGCAGCAGCAGGGGGGCCGCTCACAGGGGCCACGCACAGTTTTGGGGTTTTTTTGAGGCTCCCAGTATATTTAGAAATGAAGAAATGCCAACACAGGGTTATACAAATTATATAAACCTGAATTATTTTAAATGTCTTATTTTTGACGAAGGAGTTCCCACTCATGTTTAAAATATGAAACTGTTGCTAGAAGGTAGCAGTCCTCACTACTTTCCCACTCCTCCCAGAGGCAACCACTTTGAACTCTTTAGGCTGTTCTGGTATTTGCCTCCATAATTATAAGCAATATACCTCTACAAGTATTTACCGGTTAATCAATTTTACACTTTACTGCCTTGCCTTCCTTCCCCATGTCCCTTAAAAAGTCATCTATGCATTTGTTTAATAAGCATTTATCAAGCACCAGTTATGTGCCAGAGGCTGTCCAGAGACTGGGGACGTAGCCCTGAACAAGACAGACCGTCCCTCTGTGGGGCTCACAGTCTAGGAGAGGGAGACAATGAAAAAATAAATAAGCACTTCAATGTTGGGAGAGAACTAGAGCAGGATAAGGGACAATAGATAGATAGATAGCAACTGACATTTGAGATGGGTTGTCAGGACCAGCCTTTCTAAGGAGGTGACATGTGAGCGGTGGCCTGAATGAAGTGAGAGAAGCAGCTTTGTGGCTGCTAGTACCCAGGAGAAGATGGTTCCGGAGAAGGCTGATATGCAGGAGTGGAGCTTGGAGAGATGGGAGAGCATGTGAGTTCAAAGAGATGTCCAGGATTCTTTTCTCAACTGGATGGGAAGCCATGGAGAGATTTTGAGCTAAGGGGCGTCAGGACCTGAGGAATATTTCACAGAATGACAGCACCTATGATGGGCCCTGTGAAGAACAGACCTGAGGAACCAAGAGAAGAATGGGCGGAATGAGGTGACAGATGGGTGGCCACGACCAGGAGGGTAGCCTGAAGGTGGTGAAAACTAAGATGACTTTGGATCTATTTTGAAGGTACAGCCTGTAAGGTCAAATTTTACTGATGGGTTAGATATGGAAGGTGAGAGAAAAAGAAGAGATAAAAACAGTCCTAATGTTTCTTACCTGGAAAGGGAGTGAACTGAGGTGCCGTTTACTGTGATGGGAGAACTGGGGCAGGTAAAGCTGTCCAGGTATGGCTGGCATAAAGAAAGCAAGGGAGGGCTTCCCTGGTGGCGCAGTGGTTGAGAATCTGCCTGCTAATGCAGGAGACATGGGTTCGAGCCCTGGTCTGGGAAGATCCCACATGCCGCGGAGCAACTGGGCCCGTGAGCCACAACTACTGAGCCTGTGTGTCTGGAGCCTGTGCTCCGCAACAAGAGAGGCCGCGACAGTGAGAGGCCCGCGCACCGCGATGAAGAGTGGCCCCCACTTGCCACAACTAGAGAAAGCCCTCGCACAGAAACGAAGACCCAACACAGCCAAAAATAAATAAATAAATAAATAAATTCATTCAAGTACCCTTAATTTAAAAAAAAAAGCAAGAGAAAGAAGTCACAGGTCAGAACGTCCCCTTTTGTTTCATGAATTCAATTTCCTTTCCATATTTTTCTCAGGGTGTAACTTACTGTCCCCCCCCCGCCCCAAATTTTTTTTCTTCTGTTTCCTGCATTGACAGTTGTTTCCTCTGGGTTTTTAGCATCTATTTGCATGTTTTGGTATCTTTCAGGTTGGCAGCTTTCCTCAAGTGTCCAGTCACCCTCGGCTCTTGGGGCATATTTAAGGATGGGAGGTGTGGAGCTTATTAACGGATGGGTGCTGCTCTAAGATGACTGGCCTGCTTATTGGTAGGATCCCCAGATTTCTGTACCCAGAGGTCTGTGGTGCCTCTGGTTCCTGCAAGAAAGAATTCTCCAGTCTCCTGCTAGGGGTAGGATAGGGGCAGTGTTATGTGCAGTCTGGCTGCCCGTGGTCCAGGACTTGAGGCAAGGAAGGGACTGGGCTTTCACTGTTCACCAGTTTTCAGTCCCGTGACCTCATCCTCAGACCAATGTCCGAGTTCAGTACATCTGAAGCTCAATTTCTATAAAGAATACACCCCTGGCATCCTGTGGAGAGGAAGGGGGGACATCTCCCAGCTTTACAAGATTGGGGAGGGGGTTCTGAATTTTAACCAGACCCCCCTGTATTCAGTCCTGAGCCTTTCTCCTACCCCTGCTGTTCCCACTGCCTGCATGTTCTGCACCTGTCAAGGGGGCTAAGGGGGGAATCTAGCTTGCTAATCACTGGGGTTTCCCTCTGTGAATGCTTGGGTTCTAGTACCTTCTGTTCCCTTAAGTCAACTGTGATGCCCCAGCCACTTTCTTGTGGGTTTTAAATATTTTATTGGCATTCTTATACTTACTCACACATTTACTTTTCTTTATTTTTTTAATGTGGTTGTGCCGGGTCTTAGTTGCAGCAGGCAGGCTCCTTAGTTGCAGCATGTGAACTCCTAGTTGCAGCATGCATGTGGGATCTAGCTCCCTGACCAGGGATCGAAGCTGGGCCCCCCACATTGGGAGTGCAGAGTCTTAACCACTGCACCACAAGGGAAGTCCATCACACATTTACCTTTTGAGGCAATCTTCATTACTTTGTATAGATCTAAGTTTCCATCTGGTATCATTTTCCTTCCACTTGAATAACTTCATGTAACATTTCTTTCATGTCTTCTGGTGATAAATTCTCTTAGCTCTTGTTTGTCCATAAAAGTCTTTATTCCCCCATTTCATTTTTGAAGTATATTTTTCACAGGATATAGCATTCTAGGTTGACAGTTGTTTCCCCAGCACTTCAAAGATTTCATTCTGTTGTCTTCTAGCTTGCATGGTTACTGGTGAAAAGTATGTAGTATTTCCTATATTTGTCCTTATATACATAGCGTGTCTCAATTCTCAAAATCCTTTCCACAACATTGTAAATCAACTATACTCCAATAAAAAAAATTTTTAAATACTTTTAAGATTTTCTTTTTATCATTAGTTTTCAGCATTTGATTATGATGGGCCTTGGCGTAGGTTTTTTGGTGTTTTTCTTCCTTGGGATTCATCGAGTTCCTTGGTTCTGTGGATTTATCATTGCATTAGTTTCTGCAACAAATTACCACAGACTGGGTGGCTTAAAACAACAAAAATGTATTCTCTCATCATGTTAGAAGCCCAGCTTCAAGGTATCAGCTCCACTCCTTCCAAAGTCTCTAGGGGAGAATCCTTCCTTGTCTCTTCAAGCTTCTGGCGGCTCCAAGCATTCCTTGGCTTGTGGTTGCGTAACTTCAGTCTCTGCCTGCATCTTCACATGGAACTTCTGTGTGTGTGTGTTTTATAAACTGGATTTAGGGCCTACCTGGATAATTCAGGCTGATCTCATTTTAAGATCCTTAACTTAATTATATCTGCAAAGACCCTTTTTCCAATTAAGGCCACATTCACAGGTTCTAGCAGTTAGGATGCAGACATATGTTTTGTGGGAGCACCACCATTCAACTTACTACAGTAGTTTTTTTAAAATCAAATTTGGAAATTTTTTGGCTATTTCTTTAAATTTGTCTTATTCCTCCACTTCCTTATCCTATCCTGTGGACTCCAATTATACATATGTTAGAATGCCTTATAGTGTCTCACAGATTGCTGAGGCTGTTTGAATGTTTTTCGATACTTTGTTTCTCCTCTGTTCTTCAGTTTGTACAGTTCTGTTGCTGTATCTTTAAATTCACTGATTTTCTTTTTATTCCGTAGTGTCTAGTCTACTGTTAATGCTATCCAGTGAAAATTTCATTTCAGATATTGTACTTTTTATCTCCCATTGAATGTTGTGTTTTTCTTTAAACTTTTGAGCATATTGAGCCATTCATCTTTGTTTCTATTAAATGATTTTTCTCCTGATTATGGGTTTTATATTTTCCTACTTCTGTGCTTGTCTAGTCATTTTTAACTGGATGTTGGACATTGTAAATGCTGTGATGTTAAGCATCGGGATAGTGTTGTCTTCCTTTAGAGAGTGTTAGACTTTGTTCTGGCAGCCTAACTTACTTTCAAATCAGTTTGATCCTTTGGAGCTTATTTTTAATCTTTACTAGATTAGGTCTGGGTGAGCCTTTTCTCTTGGGATAGGATTCCTGCTCCTAAGGTATAACCCTTCTTGGGTCTCTTGAATACCCTGGGTAATCAACAAGGACTCTCTACTCTAGCAGGTTGGAGCTTGAATGTCTCCCTAACATGGGTGAGCTCTGAGAATTTATCAGCCTGTTGTTCCTTTTCTGCCTGGTTTTGTTGAGTTTCACTCCACACATGTGAAGTTTAGTATTCAGCAAAGACTCAAAGGGACCATATGCAGATTTCTGGAGCTTTTTTTTTTTTTTTTTTTTTACATAGCTCACTTCTTCCTGGAACTCTGCCCTGCACCTTCTAGCTACCTCAGCCTCCCTGAACTCCCATCTCTCTCCTTAACTCCTCAGCAAGACTACCATGCTCTGCTGGGGATTCCCCTACCTGAACTGCTGTCTGGAATATTCCTCCAAGTAGAAACTTAGGCAATCATAGAGCCCACCTTGTTTGCTTCTCTTACTTCAGGGATCACAGTCCTGGACTAATTGTTGCCTAATGTCTGAAAACAATTATTTCATATATTTTGAAGCAATAGCTTTCTCTGTTTGGTGGGAGGGTAATTTCAGTTATCTCACCATATTGGAGTAGAAGCCTTTTCCTGGCATTTTAATCAAGTTTTGGGGAGGAGAAAAGGAGTTACATACATGTAGTCAGTTCACGTATTTAAGCAGAAGTCGTAGTTTCCTGAAATATATCTAAATATTTAACAAACATGTGCTTTTATCATGCAACAAAAATCTCATGTAATATAATCATGTTATTCACAAAACAATAATAGTATTTATAAAAAATGTTAATACATAGTGTCCCATAGGCATAGGACATGGGTTTGAAGTTGTACCATGAACATATTCTTTCATTCTTATCAATGTATTACTGCAACTGTTTGCTAAACCTCTCAGGGATAATGTCAATGATCTAAATTGGTGGCCCTTACTGAAGGTGTGGTCTTGGACCCCTAGGATAGGTCCTGTCTCAGGTGCCCTCCCTGGCCAAGGGTCTTTCTAGACCACACTTTGGCCCCAGGCTTACTCTTCACAGGCAGCCCGCTGGGCCTTGGAAGAGTGAACCCAGTCAGGGCACCTAGGTGGACAGGAAACGAAGTCCTTCCCTTTCTCAGAGTTACTTCCTGCCCTCTCCTGCAAGCCCCTTTCCCCTCACCTGACCCCAGCTCATTGTGTCTGTTTTTTCCATTGCCTTCTGAGATGGGCAAGACAGGACAGCTAGGTGGTTGCTGCCTGCCTAGCGGCTGTTAGGCTTAGATGGGCTACCTCAGAAGTGACCAGGGCAACCTCTTCACCTCTTCCAGGTGGACATCGAGCAGCTGGATCCCCGTGGGCGGACTCCCCTGCACTTGGCCACCACCCTGGGGCACCTCGAGTGTGCCCGCGTGCTCCTGGCACACGGCGCAGATGTGGGCAGGGAGAATCGCAGCGGCTGGACAGGTGGGCACCCCTACTCACCCCTACCCCACAGCCTGGGTCTCCCGGCATCATATCCTCACCTCTGATTGGCTGAAGGGAGCCCAAGGCAGGGTCCTGCCCTGTGACGTCGCCTCTTGCCCACACCCCGCCCCCAGTGCTTCAGGAAGCTGTGAGTACCCGGGACCTGGAGCTGGTGCAGCTGGTGCTGCGGTACCGGGACTACCAGCGGGTGGTGAAGCGGCTGGCAGGCATCCCTGTGCTCCTGGAGAAGCTGCGCAAGGTGAGGTCCAGCTTCTCAGCCTCCCCACCACGGTCTTTGAACACTATCTCTACCGCAGGCTTAGCCACTCTCCTCTTCATCCTCCAGGCCCAGGACTTCTACGTGGAGATGAAATGGGAGTTCACTAGCTGGGGTAAGAGGGGCTGACGGGGGCCTCTCCCACCTCAGGGCTTCTGCACTTGCTGCTTCCCTGTCTAGAGCACTCTTCCCATCGCTCTCCCATGGCTCCTTCTCACCTCTTAGCTCTCAGCTCATTGCTACCTGTTCCTGAGGCCTTTCCACAATGCCTCTATTGATTCCATTATTTCCTTCACTTTGTAATGACTGGCTCATTTGTTTGTCACCTGTCACCCCTTACTAGAAGGTGAGCTCCAAGAGGGCAGGGGTCCTGTCTTGTTCAATGTTGTATCCCCAGTGCCTGGCACATAGCAGGTGTTTAATAAATATTTGTTGGAAGACTAGATGAAAGGTTGAGTGAGTGAATTACATGGTGGATACTAGGGACTTGGTGGTGGCTGAGTCATGCCTGTCCCCAGCCTCAGGCGGTCCATTTCTGAGTGCCTGTGGTCTACATTTGCAGGGGGGACTGGGGCAGGGGCTGCTTTCCCACCGGTTCCCTTACCCTTTTCCAGCCACACTCCTGACCCTGACCCCCATGCTCTGAGGCGGCCGAGGGTGGTGGGCCAGACAAACTGAAGCCACCTCTGACCTTCTCTTCCACCTAGTGCCCCTGGTGTCCAAGATCTGCCCCAGTGACACCTACAAAGTGTGGAAGAGTGGGCAGAACCTTCGGGTAGACACCACACTTCTGGGCTTTGACCACATGACGTGGCAGCGAGGGAACCGCAGCTTTGTCTTCAGGGGCCAAGGTCAGGCAGGCGGGCAATGGGGCAGGGTGGGGAGGCTGGGGACAGCCCCCCGAGACCCCTGACCCCCTGTGCTATTCTGCGGCTGGCAGACACGAGCGCCGTGGTTATGGAGATTGACCACGACCGCCGGGTGGTGTACACAGAGACCCTGGCTCTGGCTGGGCAGGACCGTGAGCTACTGCTGGCTGCTGCCCAGCCCACCGAGGAGCAGGTGCTGAGCCGGCTCACCGCACCCGTCGTCACCACGCAGCTCGACACCAAGAACATCTCCTTTGAGAGGTGAGTGGGCATGGCCTTGGAAGCCTGGAGCCAGCCCGGTGGATGCCCCCTCACCGAGACCACGCTGCTTCCCTAGGAACAAGACCGGCATCCTGGGCTGGCGCAGCGAGAAGACCGAGATGGTGAATGGGTATGAAGCCAAGGTGAGGTCATAGCTCCCAGGTGCCAGCCCCACCACACTCTTGCCTATAGCGAGCTGGGCAGGGGTTTCCTGACCATGCTTTCTCGGCCTTGGAGGTGCAGAGGCAATGCAGCGTGGAGGCAAGGTCATGAGACTAAGAGGCAACTGATGAGAATGGCCGGCATTTATTGAGCACCAAATATTATGTTCATGCTCAAGGCTCTGTTCTGACATTTTAAATGTATGTACTTATATGTATGTATGTGTGTCTATGTACACATGCACACACGTCTATGTATATATGTGTGTATGTCTCTCACACACACACACACACACACACACACACTCATTTAATCCTCACGACAACCCTTTCGGGTAGATGCTATTATTATTCCCATTTTACAGAGGTTTATCGAGCCCTTTCCACCATTTCCCATTTAATCTTCACAACTCTATGAAGTAGGGTACTGGCCCATTTTATGATGAAGCAGGGGCTTGGAGTGACTAAGTGGCCAGTACAAGGTTGCCCAGAGCTAAACTTCAGACCCAGCTGGCTGACTCCAAAGCCAGGCCTTTACCCCCAAGAAGACTGTTGTGGGGGACGCCCAGCAGTCACTCTGGGACCCCTGTATCACCCATGTGGGGCCATGTGGTGAAGGGTCTAACCAATGCAAGTTTCTGTGTCATTGTCGTCTCCTCCTGGAAGCCTTCCCTGGTTCACAGGCTGGGCTGTGGCCTCTGGTTTTTGGTCCCACAGTCCTGTGCTCTCCCCATTAGAGCATGTATCACACTGTGTTATTACTGTCCATTGTCTTCTTGATTGTGAGCCTCAAGAGGGCAAGGATCATGTCTGGCCATGCTTGTTCACCACTGTATCCCTGACGGCTGCCTCAGTGCCTGGCTTATAAAGACTCCTCACAAAATGTTTGTTGAATGAATAAGAGAACTGAATGAATAACTTCATATAATTACTTGCCCAAAGACCTGGAGATTGGAACTGACAGCACCCCCCTCCCCTGACCGTTCTTTGTAGGAAGTGTTCATAACGCCCTTAGGGGCAGGGTAGGGGTACCAAAGCTGTCTGTGAGTCCTTTCCTCATCTGTCCCCAGGTATATGGGGCATCCAATGTGGAGCTCATCACCCGGACACGGACAGAGCATCTTTCAGAACAGCACAAGGGCAAGGTCAAAGGTAATGAGGCAGAGGTGGATGGGGGAGTGGGGGGGAGGAACCAGCCCCACTCAAGCACCTCCATCGGTATTTCCTCTGACATCCTAGCAAGAGCCAGGATAGCTTATTCAGGCAAATAGGTTTCAATTCAAGTGCCAAATCCTAGTGATTGGTAGTTGTTGCCTAGAGTGCTGTTAAGATTCTAAGGCAACACTTGGGCTCAATGGGAAGGAATGCTACAATCGATTACTAATATCTGCATTGGATTTGGGGCAGGGGGGAATGTCATGTACACTGTTTGTTGGCCATTCTAGTCTAGTGGGACATACCCTAGGCAGAAGGACAGGGGCCCTGCCACTGATTCTCTGTGCCCACTGATACTACAACTGACTCCTGGGCACCAGTTAGTCTGTCTAAAGTGGACAGACATAATTCCCACCTCACAAGAGAACAAAATGAAGTTAACATGAATGCACCTGAAGGAAAACACATACACATGCATACCCCAAAATACTTTTGGAAGTTTCTCTTGAGCCCCAGGCCTACTTTTATTCCAGCTGTGCTTATGGTGGTCCTGCCCCTGCCCCTTGGAGTCCTCAATCACCTTCAGGTGAAGGTGCCTGGGTGTGTGGTGTGGGCGAGCAATCCTCCCTCCCCCCAGGGACCAGCCTCCTCCCTGGGTCTTGGGTGCTGTCACTTCTGAGGACTGCAGTGTCCTCTGAAATGCCATATTTCTTGCAGGCTGTAAGACACCTCTGCAGTCCTTCCTGGGAATTGCTGAGCAGCATGGGGGCCCCCAAAATGGGGTGAGTGTGTTCAAGGGGTACCCCTCTGTGGAAGGATGTGGGTGGGGATCAGGAGGAAGTCTGGGAGGCACCCTGTGGGGACTTCCTTTCTTTCCACAATGCCCAAGGCCCTGTCAGCTCCACAGTGGCGGGGGGACAGATCCGGGGCTTATAATACCAAGTGGCTGGCCTGGCCTCGGGGACTGAGAAGGGCTCATAAGCCCCTCCCTGTGTGGTACAGACCCTGATCACTCAGACTCTGAGCCAAGCCAACCCCACTGCCATCACCGCAGAAGAGTACTTCAATCCCAACTTTGAGCTTGGCAACCGTGACATGGGCCGACCCATGGAACTGACCACCAAGACACAGAAGTGAGGCCCCATGGTGGTGCTGGGGAGGGTGGGCAGGGCTGGGAGGCCATGGCTTCTACAATGTCCCTCACCCCTTGGGATCTGGGGTGCAGGTTCAAGGCCAAGCTGTGGCTGTGTGAGGAGCATCCCCTGTCCCTGTGTGAGCAGGTGGCCCCCATCATTGACCTCATGGCCGTCAGCAATGCACTTTTTGCCAAGCTCCGGGATTTCATTACCCTGCGCCTGCCTCCAGGATTCCCTGTCAAGATTGGTGAGGCTCCACCCCCATTTCCCTTGAGCAGCTATTGGGAGGATGGGGCTTAGAGGAGGTAAAGAGTGGGTACCTAAGGTGTGAGGGAGTGGGTGGTGGTGCCTGATGGTTTCTGCATCCTCAGAAATCCCGATTTTCCACATCCTCAACGCCCGTATCACCTTCGGGAACCTCAATGGCTGCGATGAGCCGGTGCCGTTGGTGCGAGGCAGCCCCAGCAGCGAGACCCCTTCCCCAGGCAGTGACTCCTCCAGTGTCAGCAGCTCCAGTTCCACGAGTGAGACCCTGTCCCGCCCTGAGCCCGCCCTCACTTCCCCTCCCCACCGAGCACTTCCCCGGGAGTGGCCGGGAGGGGAGGTCTGGTCCACTCTGACCCACAGCCCGGCGCCCCCAGCCTCGTGCCGCGGCTGCGAGATCTCCCCCGCGTTGTTCGAGGCCCCACGCGGCTACAGTGTGCTGGGCGGCCAGCGAGAGGCCGCCACCCGCGACGACGATGACGACCTGCTGCAGTTCGCCATCCAGCAGAGCCTGCTTGAGGCGGGCAGTGAGTATGACCAGGTGCGTCCCCGCGGCCGCATGGGGCCACCGGACTGCGGTGCCGCCACAGCTAACTGGCTTACCCCTGCCTCCACCCAGGTCACCATCTGGGAGGCGCTAACCAACAGCAAACCGGGCACTCACCCCATGTCCTACGAGGGTCGCCGACAGGACAGGTCAGTGCCCGCCCGTCCGGAGAGGGTTTGGAGACGCCTATTCCCCCACCTCCCATACACATGCACAGAGAACACCAGGGCCCTGTCACGGTGCGTATGGACACTGCCGCATGAGCACCCCTCCTGGCCCAGAGGAACCGTGGTACCGCCATCAGGGATCCTACTGGTTTCAAGATGGCGTCTACCACCACCACCCGTTCCTGACTCAGGGGTGGGTGAGCGGCCTTAGAGCCTTCACAGACCCTCGCCAGACAGAATGTCGGGGCTGGGGTTCTAGAAGACTGGGAGGATGGGCTTTGTAGGAGCTGGCGTCAGCTCCTACCGGGTGGGAGGGAGCCAGGGAGGTGACGCGGGACTCATCGCTTCCACTGGAGAGTGTTGAGGCCTGCGCTGTCCCGGGGCCTCCACACCGTCTCCCGCCCCGCATACGGGCGCCCGGAGCCCTCGACGTATCTTACCTGCCTCCAGGAGCGCTCCGCCCACGCCGCAGCGCCAGTCCACAACCCCCGCGGGCCTGGCGTCGGTCCCCAGCCCTCGGCCGAGCCCGCGCCCAGGCCAAGGCGGCCACGTGTTCCGGAGCTACGATGAGCAGCTGCGGCTGGCAATGGAGCTGTCTGCGCAGGAGCAGGAGGAGCGACGGCGGCGCGCGCGCCAGGAGGAGGAGGAGCTGGAGCGCATCCTGCGGCTTTCTTTGACTGAGCAGTAGCGCCCACTGCCGGGCCCCTTGGCCACGCCCCGCGGGACCCGCCCCGGAGCGAGAGTCGCCCCTCCTGCGCGCTCTCCGAGCTGACTCCGGAGACCCGAACCGCCGCCTCGGGGGCGTAGCGGCGCACCCGGCACCAGATGGGGAGGGGTTCGGCCCGGCCGTGGGGTACCTTCCTGGAGGCAGCTGGCACGGCTCCCCTGCTTTGCTGTATCCTGACCCCACCCCACTCTCCTGGGCTCGGACCGGTCCAAGGGCGGAGCCAGGCCGTTTGAGGGGGAGACGGTCCTTAGAGGAGCACTGTCTCCATCCCTTGCTCCTTCTGGCCGGTCCTCCTTTCTGCTCACTGACCCCACTCCAGGACACTGCCCGTGAAGCCTTTGCATCTCCGCTCTTCACCCCTGGGGGGCAGCTGAGCTCCCCACGTGCTGTGTGGCTGCTTCGTCCTAGACACAAACCAGCACGTCAAGGGCCCAGCTCCTCCCCCACCCCGGCATTTCAGCGTCAAGTGCACTTAGCGGGGTGCCCGGCTCCCCCAGCCCCCACACCCCTCCCGGGTCTCAGGGTGGTCCCAGCTTCTCTTTGGGTGACCAGAGGTTGGAGTCCCCATCCCCAAGGCACGTTTTTGTGATCAGGGAGGGTGCCCAAGGTGGCCCCAAGTCTGGGCAAGGCCTGGCTCCCTCGTGGTGTCTTGGCGAATGGGGAGGCATAGTGGGCGTGGGGCAAACACCAGACTGGACACAGGGGTCGCCCAGGGCCCTGGCACCACCATCCATCCCTTCCCACCAGCTGCTGCTAGCCCTCTGTGGTTGTGCATCCTACTTTCCCTCCACCCAGGGGCTGACTCCGAAACCCTTCATCCAATGGTGCTAACCCCCGGCTCTCCCCTGCCCCACCCCACCACCCAGAGAAGCACAGACCCCGCCAGGGGCAGGGGCCCACTGCACACCCTCGTCTGGGTTCTCTCGGACTGGCCTTCCTGGCTCAGCCAGTGAGGCTTGGAAGGGACACGAAAGCGATGGAAGAAAACAACAAAGGGAAGCTGTTCCTCTCACCCTCTTCCCTGATGCCAGGGGCACCAGACTGATTCTGAGGCACAAATAAAAGAGGCTTCAAACCCGAGGCTTTTCCTACCTGCCTTTACTGGGGAAGAACGCCCATCTGCGGGTTGAGGGTTCCTTCTGAACCTCAGTGTGGGGAGGGCTCTGAAGTAAGAGGATGTCTGGTGGGTCCTGAGCCGAGTGTTGCATTTGTCAGGGCCCCCAGGAGTCTGGTGGTGGCATTTACAGAGGCTGGGGGTCTAGCATCCCCACCCATGCAGGAGGCACAGACTGAGCACTTGGTAAAATGTTTCATTCAGTACGTCTTGTTTTCCTCCTAGAGTCAAGGCCGCAACACAGGGCTGGGGTGTGTGTGTGCGCGCGCGTGTGTGTGTGTGTGTGTGTGTGTGTGTGTGTGTGTGTGTGTCTGGGAGGGGGGAGGTGTGAACCTGCTTCCTCATGCCAGTTCTCTGGTTGGTTCTCCTGCGGGAGTGCCGCGAGGAAGCCGTCCTCTCCCCTGCAGATGGAGAGAAGGAAGAGAGCCCTCTGCCGTAGACTGCTGGGTGTAGCCCGTGGGTCCGGCTGTACAGCCAACGTTTGTGTATGTCCGTAGAACTCGGGTGACGCCCGTTGAGTTTACCACTCAGGGTGGTGGAGTCAAGTGAGCTGATTACAGGGAGAAGCGTTGTAATTTTCCCCAGCCAGTCTGGGGAGACCCGTCAAATCGCTACCCCTTTGAGGTCAAGCCCAAGCTCCCCAACATCCCCAAGCATTGCGCTAATACTAAGCACTTTCCCTGCCCTGGGCGGGAAGGGAAACAAAGGGGACACTGCCTGCCGTGCAGCACCATTGTTGAGGCCCCCGTCACCCTGGGCCTTCCAAGGCCAGCTCCTGCTGAGTCCTGTACGAGGCACACAGCCCGGTAGGCGCCAGACGGACGCGAGTGTCCGCAACGCTTCATTTGTCCAGGACTCCCGCGAGGGGCGGAGTTCCCTCCCTAGTCCCGGCCCAGGCCCAGAGAGGCGGGGTCCAGAGGACCCAAAGCCGGGGCGGCGCGGGAGTGCTTGCGTTCCGCCCCACTTTGCCCTCCCGGCTTGGAGCTTCCCCGGCGCGATGCGCTAGTCCGTGCCGTCCACCAGCTCGCACAGCATGTTCTCCAAAGACGTAATGCGCTGCTCCTGGGCCTGCACCTGCTCGCGCAGGGCCTTGATCTCCTCCAGCAGCGTCTCCAGGGTGTGCTGCTGTTGGACGCAGAGGACGGAAGAGGCGGCGTTGGGCGGGGTGCGGTAGGGGGATGTGAAGATTGGGCCTGGGTGGAGCAGGGCGGGGCCTTACCGACAAGGGGGCGTCGCTGGCTGACTGGCTGCGGCGGGGGCCGGGTGGCGGGCGCACGTCCAGGATGTTGCGCTTGGTGACCCGCAGCTCGCGGTGCTTGGGGGGCATGTAACCGTCCCTCAACGAGATGAGCACGGGTTCGGCGTCCTGGCCGGATAGCCATTCATCCGCTTCTAGGGCCGGTTCGGGGCCCGGCGTATCTGGGTAAAGGTCGTCTTGGAACAGGTCTGACTGCAGGTGTAGGGGAACACGAGAACGAGCAGGGTGCCAGGCCTGCTCCGCTCCTTTCCGCCTCGGAGCCCTGCCCAACCCCTCTCCCAGCCACTCACCTTGCGGGGCACAGTCATGATGATGGGTTCACACTTTCTTTCGTGCAACTTGTAGAACCTATAAGGGAGCGGGGATCGGCACACGCTCAGGCTCCGACTCCCTTAACTTTTGCCCGGGACCAAGGGGTTAGAGGCCAACACTTGCTGAGCGCCTACAATGCATTGCACTTTAAACACCCTCTGATGGGGTGTTTATCATCATTAAGAAACTGAAGTTCAGAGAATGTCAAGCCTGTAGCATTGGGTCTGGCACTGGAAACAAGCCCGTATGACACCCCCCACCCCCGAAAACCCACTATTTTCCAGAGACTACACTATTGGGGAAGCCCCCGAGTCTTCCCGGATGGGACCTGGGAACAGAAGCAGGTGAGCGGGAAGGGCAAGGCTGCTGACCGTGCAATCTCGCACTTGCTGACATCCAGTCCCCGCTTGGGCATGAAGCCCATGCCCCTCTGCGGCTCCTTGCTGCTGAACGTGTTCAGGTAATGCACGAACGGTGGTTCCTCGGTAATCTCAAAGTACCGAATGCTGCTGTCGCCCTGCAAAACCAGTCGGTTCGGAGATGCTGGGCGGGCCCCCGATATCTCGGTCCAGCCCCCTCTTCTCCCCTCCCGGCTGCGAGCACCTTGCCACACAGGTAGACGATGCTGGAGTCGGGATCGTAGAAGGGCAGTAGGACCCCGTTGCTTGTGTCCATCTCCTGCAGTGCCACTGGCTCCTCGAAGTTGTTCTGCCCGAGCACAGGAGGCGTGACCAGCCCTGTCCCGCTCGCCGTGCCGCTCTGGATCCCCTGAAGCTCCTTTACGCTTCGTGCCCTCCCCAAAACCCACGCATTCCCAAGGCAACTCTGGTGAAGAGAGCTGCAGACCCCACACCTGTACACCACTCTCGGTCCCCCGCACCTATATCCCCTGCACCGCCGCATGCAGTCACCGCAAACCACCCCCAGGGACTCGGCATCACCAGGCGGGGGCGCCAGCGTGGGCTCCTTCAGGCGACGCAGCAAAACTGGGCAGAGGGGTGGGTGTGAGGATGGCAGGCGCTGCAAAGAGGGCAGCAGCCTCCAGCCCTGTCCAGGTGGGCATGCCCTGCGGGTGGGGGGCGCCTGGCCCCTCTCCCGTGATGCCAGTCCCCGGGGCACACACCCCAAGCGTCCAGCTGCGTTACCGGGTCCCACAGGCCCAGCTCTCGCTGGCTCATGCGGGTGAAGCCCGTGGTGAAGATATGACCCTGGCGCGTGAAGACGGCCCTCATGGGCCTCATTCCCTCGTGGGCCGCAAACCTCTCCTGGGGGGAGGGGGAGACAGGGAGAGGCGTCACCCAGCTGCCTGCCCTGGGGAGCCTGGAGGGCCGGGCAACCAACTTGCTGACTTGGGTGTGGGGGGCGGAGACAAAAGGGGTCTTAAATATTCAGTTTCCTGGCGTCTCCTGGCTGGCCCCAGGCCTGGAGAGCGCGGGCCTCTCTCTGCAGATTCTGAGCCCTTAAGCGCCCTCAGAGCAGGGGATGCCTGCGGGCTTCCCAGGGGAGCAGAGAGGCGCTTCCCAGACGGGAGCTCCCCGCTCCGCTTCAGCTGTCTTGGGCGCGGGCCACGGCCTGAGAGAGCGCTCCCGGCTGACCCAGCGAAGGAGCGAGCGCGTGCGCCCGGCGCGGCCTGGCCTACCGGGTCCCAGAGCGCGAGTTGCCGCTCACTCATCCTGCTGAAGCCGGTGCTGAGTAGCTTCCCGTCTGCGGTGAAGACGGCCCGCAGCGGGCGGGCGCCCTCGTGAGGCCGGGCTCGCTCCTGCTCGCGGGGTTAGTGGGTTAGAGTGCCCGCCGCGCCGCCCCGCCCCGCTCCGCTCCCGCCGCGCCCGCCGCGCGCACTCCGCGCAGACGTGCACGTGCCCCGCGCATCCAGCGCCCCGCCTTAGGTTGAGGCTGGTGAGGCAGGTGCCGCCGCCCTCCCTGGACACCCAGCTGGAGCAAACAACGCGCGAGGGTTGCCTCCAATCTCCCGCCCAGCGGGTCAGCTAGGTTGGAAAGGGGCCTGCCCGCGAGCCAGTGTCAGGCTCAGGCGCCGGAAGATGGCGCTGGGTGCCGGCTGGGAGGAGAGGGGTCCGGGGGCGCAGGTTCGGTTCATGCAGGTCTGGTGGGAGGGTAGAGTTTGCAGCTTCTCCCCTCCTCAGTCACAAATCGAGCAGCCCTCCTCTGAGCTTCTGAGATGCAGGGGAGGGGAGGGAACAGGAGCGGGGCTGAGAATTGCGGGCTGGGGGCTTACTTAGGGCAGGGGCTGTGGTTGCAGACACGGCGGGGCAGGGCTGGTGTCTGGGGTTGAGGTGGAGGAGGTGAGAGCTGGGACGAGGGGCTCAGGGGGTTGTGGGTACAGAGGCCTGACAGCTGCTTCCTGGGGCAGGGGTCGGGACGTAGCCAGGCTAGACACTCACCGCCACCACCTGGCCCTTGCGGGGGTCGATGATGCGCAGGGTCTTGTCCTTGCAGGTGGTGGCTAGCAGCCTCCCGTTGCTGTTCCAGCACACGCTGTGGATGACGTCCGGGTGTATGTCGTCTAGACTCAGAAGCACCTCCCCAGTGCCCACGTTCCAGATGATGATCACATTGTCACCACCTGCCCAGAATGGCCAGGCACCGTCACCTGGCCCAGCCTTTGCCACTCCCCACACCCCCCAATCTACGGTAGGGACCCCTCCCTAGGCCCCCAGACCTGCACTGAGCAGGACATTCCGGGCAGTGGGGTGCCAGGAGAGGATGCCCACACGTTTGGAGTGGCCCTCGAGTGTGAGGATGGGTTCTGTAATGTTGCGCATAGGGGTATAGTCTGGAATCTGCCACACCTAGATAGAAGGAAAAGGCATACGGTAGGTGGGATGAGGAGCCCACTTTGTCACTCTGCTCTTCCCTTACTTCCCCCACCCCCCTTCCCCAGGGTCAAGTGCAGGACAAGATGTGATGCTGCCCACATGGGGCAGAAGCAGCTGGGAGCCAGGAGGTGGCACTGTCAGCTTTCCAGAGACCTGCCTACTCACACGAGCAGGGAGACTTCAAAGCACTGCCCCCCTGCTCTTCAGGCCCCAAGGTAGCCATGGCTAAAATTAGTCCTAAGCTCATCCTGGGAGGGGGCGGACACGTAGCTAAAAATAGCCTGGGAGCTGGACAGGGCAGGGCCCTGGAACTCAGCATCTCCCTCACCACCTTCTGCAACACAAGTGAGGCAGCCCTCCCTGCTTCCCCTGCCCAACAGCCCAGCAGCATCCACCTGGCTCCTACCATGATGGTGGTGTCATCTGAGGCACTGGCGATGACGTTGTCATTGTGTGGGCACCAGTCGATGTCCAGCACAGGGGCAGTGTGCCCAGTGACCAGTGGGTGGTTCTTATCCACTCGCCCTGTCTGCAGGGGTCAGAGAGGCAGATGTGGGGCCACTGTCCTGTGTGTTTTCAGGGGGTGGGGAGTGGATCTGTTTACATCTCAATTCTCTATTTTCTGTTTTCTCTTTGCAGAACCCACCCCCTTTCTGCTCTTCCAACCCCATCCGGCCTACTTCCTCTACTTCACGGAAGACAGAGTTGAAGTCATTTCACATCAAGGAATCAGACACAGAGAGGTAAGATAACTTAACCAAGGACACACAGCAAGATACTGGTAGAGCCAAGACTTGACTTCTTAGTCCAGTGCTCTTCTAAAAACATCTACTTGGAGGAGACTGTTCTTGGGCCTGTTCCCCCAACTGAAATGTCCATGGGAAGCCCCTGGTGGAATAGGTCAAGGTAAGATGCAATGCAGTGCTTGACAGTCCTTTCCTAGCCACAGTTGGCAGATCTCCCCCTTGTCAATGGCTTTACCTTGGAACCACAAGCAGCAGGCATTCCTTGTGCCTGCCGTCTCCCAACCTGAGCTGGGGCCCATCTATTTTTAATCTTTATGGTATGTTTGTGGGGGCTCTGAGGCCTTTGCAGGGGCTGGCATCAACCCAGACCAGGCGGTAGGGGAGAGGGGTGGCCGTGTGGCATTGGAATGGCACTTGTACTGGGGGAGGAGGTGGCTCCGGCTGAAATTTGAGCCCAGGGGATGATGTCCTTGGATGGTGTCTGCATTGTCCTGGAGTGAGTCACTGGCTATTGCCAGGCCTCATCCTGACCTCGCCACCTGTGGGGCCTCCCCTAACAAGGTGTAGGAGCCGGAATCCAGGTCAAGGTCATGCCTTGGGTGGCCATCCTGTGGGTAGAGATGGCTGAGGGGCTTGAGGCTACTCAGTAAAGGTGCTGGTCATTGCCTGGCCCCCATCCCTGGAGTAGAGGGGGCTCTGGCCTTATATGTCATGTCCCCTGGCCCTTTGCTCTCATTCTACCTCACTGCAAGAACCAGAATGGGGGAGATGGCCAAGAACTCCTTAGATAGAGCCTGACCCTGTCCTCAGTGTGCTGCTCCGGGGTGTGATTTAATCCAATGCTCACCCTGGGCTGCGTACAAAAATCCTGACACCAAAAACATAAGGGGTGTGGCATCAGGAGAGATAGGAACAGAATCTGGCCAGCTTCTGTCTCCACTGCTTCCCAACTATCCATCACCTGCTCCTGGTCCCTGCTGGGAACAGGGTGCTGCATGGAGAAGGGATGGGCTGTGAGTAGGTGGGGACCGATGTGATGCTGCTGTTCTAGGAGGGGTGACAGAGCCTCCCAATTGGTCCCTGAGTGATTGGGGAACAGGGAGCAGTCAGTCCACATAGACTGCCCTCCTGACTGAGGAATGGAACTAGGTGAGAACACAGGCGGCTATCAGGAGTCCCCAGGAGTCACAGCCAGTGTCCTCCACCTGCTTCCTTCCCCTCATCTCTCACCTTGGCCAGAGGCAGGACGATGAAGGCACCTCCACCTCCAGCCTCCACAATAATGGCCAGGAATTTGGGGTTGACGGCACAGAAGGAGCTGTCCCATGTGACCTTGGACACACGGATGTCCTCGTAGGCCTGGTCAGCCTTTGCCGCCTGTCCAAACACATGGCGGAACTTGCTCTGCCGAACCACGCGCCGGCTCATAGCTGGGGGCAGAGATGGAGGATCTCGGTGCCCAAATTTTGGTCCTTAGTCCCGTAGCTGTGGGAGGGAGGGAGGAAGAGTTGGGGGAGTGGCAAGTGAGAAGGGTTATCTGACCAAGAGTCAGCTATAAATTAATATAGAGTCTGGTCCTAGAAGCAGGGAGTTTTCTTCAAGGTGATGTATGGGAAAGTTCTTTGCTTAGTTCGAGGGGCTAGGATTTGGGGCCTGACTTCTCCTTAGAGAGCCAGGATGGGGGGACAGTGGAGCCTGACTGGGCCTGAAAGCTTCCTGGAAGTTGAAGTGGTTTGGGGAGGAGCCTCAATGCCAGGCTGCCCTCCCGCTGCCAGGCTTGTATGAGCATCTCTTCACGGAAGTGGTTTATCTCCCAGAGGCATCTCGTCCAGAATCAGAGGCTTTGGCTTAACGCCATTTGTGGGGCTAGGACTGCAGCCACTCAAGATCCTAAACTCAGCATCTGTGGCATAGTTTAGGTGGATGGGGTTTTGCCTTTTTCTAAAAATTTGCCAAGGAGAAGTTCCTCCTGTTAGCTCACCTGAGCTCTTCCTGCTACTGTTTTCATCAGTTTCCTCCCATGCTGTTGGTGGGGGGGACACAGTGTAAGGTGGATCTCTCCTCCTCCCACTTCTCTCTGCACTGGCTTCTCTAAGAGGCCCTCACCACTGTGTTCTGGCTTTTGCCGGCCATATTTCAGCCCCACTTCTCCTCTGGGTCCTCTCTCCTACTAAATTCTCTTGGGGGTGGGGTCCTCGACCCCCCTCCCCCCGGCTTAGAGCCAGATTTTCAGGCGTGGAGTGGGGAGGGCGAGGTGCCTTTTCTCCCGCTTGGGGCTTGAGCTAAGCTCTTCCCCAGGAGACACACCGAGCTCTTCCAAAGCCCCAGCGACTGACTCCAGCCCCTCCCCAGCCCCGGGCATCCTTGTGCCCTTCAAGACGCTTCTGCGGCTCCCGGCCTGAGGCCCGGCCTCCCCGCACCCTTCTCCGGCCTCCTGCCCTGGCGCTGCGTTCTTGCGAGACGAGGTGTCTGCGCCCTGCGGGCGCGCGGGCCGCTGTTCGGCCAAATATAGACACCAAGTCCGCCCAGCCCGGGACCGAATTTGGCGGCGGGTGGGGGGGAGGGGGCGCAGACCTCTGTCCCCTCCAGACACCCCGCCCGCTTCACTGGCTGCGGTGGCGGCGGTGGGGGGGGTGGGTACCTGGTCCTGAGCCGGCCGAGGGGCGCTCACGGTGCGACTTCTCTGCGGAGGGGGTTGGGGCTGCGCTGGGGACCAAGGGAGGCGTCAGGACACCGGAACTGCCTCTCGTGGTGTCCGCGGCGTCTGGGGCCCGGGCGTTCGGCTGCGCGCTCCGGCCGCTGCCTGCGACTCTCGGGGCCGGGCGTCGCTGCAGTCCCAGCTGCCGCTGCCATCAACCTGCGGAGGCGGACCTAGGGCAGGGGCGGGGTCACACAGGCCCCGCCCCCTCCAGCGGCGGGAAAGTCGAGTGCTGCAGACTCTGCGCGGCCAGTCCGCGGGCCTTCGAGAAGCGTCAAAAGTAATTCTGCGTGTGTGCGGCGGCTGTGCGCGCTCCTCCGCGCTCCGCGCCTAGCGGGTGGGCTGAGGAGGCCCAGGTTCCCAGACCCAGAGCTGGGCGCTGAGAGAGGGAGCCTACGAGGGGGCGCGCTCCCCTCAGAGCCGGCGGCCGAGCAAGATCAGATGCCTTCACGCTGCATTCCTGCTGCAATCACACTCCCAATTTAGACCATACCGGCGGGCCGGGGCTGTGGGACTGCACGTCCAGACACCCCTGAGGAGAGGTCCCGGAAGATGCTCTGGGGGCCCTTGGATGAGGGCCTAGGCTGGCCCAGGGCAGCTGTGAGGGTACCCGACAGGGGCCTGTGAATGTGACTGTTATTAATAGCAATAGCGACCACTGTCACTGTACTAGGCACTTCACCCCGTTAGAGAGGATTCCACGGAACAGGGCACAAAGCAGCCTAAAAACCGGTGATTTTTAGGGTGTGTGGGAGAAAAAAAAGTGAACACCAGGTTCAAGGGAAAGCGGCTGGCACGGGTCTTTTATTTTTTTTTAATAAATTTATTATTAATTTTATTTATTATTTTTGGCTGCGTTGGGTCTTCGTTGGGTGGGCTTTCTCTAGTGGACACGAGGCATGTGGGATCTTCCCGGACCAGGGCTCAAACGCATGTACCCTGCATTGGCAGGTGGATTCTTAACCACTGCACCACCAGGGGAGCCCTGGCACGGGTCTTTTAGACACTCAGCCTGACTCCTAAAGTCTTGAGGGCCTTGTTTGAATTGGTGCCCGACTGTGTTCCAGGGAAGCCCCTGCCCCCTCCCACTCCCTTCCAGACCCGCGGATCTGAGTATTGACCAGGGTTAAGGAGGAGACAAAAAGAAACCTGATCAGAATGCAGCCAGTGAAGAACTAGTCCCTGTAGCTGCTGTCTTTCCAGTGCTCACCCACTGCCTGGATTTCTTCCTTTGGATCATAAGGCCCTGGAGAGCAGCAGGGGACCGGTTATTACTTCTCACTCTCCAGGACACACCTGGAAATCAATGGAACACAGCCTTCCAGAGGGTAGAGATTAGCACTGGGGGTAAAGGGAGGGAAGGTGGTGGGAACCTCAAAGGCCCTCACAAGGCTTGTTTCTCAGGAAGAGTCCAAGTATTCAGTGGCTTGTGGGGATCAGAACCAGAAACTGTTACAGGTGCCCCAGAAATAATTATGGCATTGGTGGGGGTGGGGGGATGAGGGTAGATGAGGAATCTCCCTTTTACCTGAAGATTCCAGGCACATGATTAGGAGGAAAAGACCTGAGTGACTCAGTAGCTCCTTAATAACAATAGCTAGACACTGTACTAAGGGCTTTACACATATTAATTCCATTCTGATACTAGTCTTCTGAGATGGGTACCATTATTACCCCTATTTTACAGGTGAGGAAACTGAGGCACAAAGAGGTTAAATAGCTTTTGCATCACTCAACTGGTAGGTAGTACAGCTGAGATTCTTACCCAAGAGGTCTGGTGTCTGTGTCCAGCTTTTCAGCACCATGCATTTTTGTCTCTCCCTGAAGGCCACCTTATCTCACAAGTGCTGATATTGAGAGATACGCTTGTGGCACAGAGGAAAGGATGCCTATACTGATTACAAAGCTGGAGTTTCAGCCGTTGCTCAGTCACCCTATTTTTTCAGCTCTTCTGGGCTGTAAAGCGAAAAGGGCTGGGTCAGGTGCTTTTCAAGTCTGCACCACTTGTTGGCAGAGAAGGGATTTGACATGCTGTCTCCTACCCTGAAACGGCAGTTTTTCTTCTCCCATCTCCTTTTCTCCTCTTTAAAGAGAGCCAGGTACTCCATTCTAGAGGTAAGGGTCTGGGACTAGGAAGCAGGAATCCTTTCTTTCCCTCCCTCCCTCCCATCCATGTTTGGCTGCGTTGTGTCTTAGTTGCTGCACGCGTGTGGTACGTGAGCTTCTCATTGTGGTGGCTTCTCTTGTTGCAGAGCACGGGCTCTAGGCATGCGGGCTTCAATACTTGTGACACACGGGCTCAGTAGTTGTGGCTCGCAGGCTCTAGAGCGCAGGCTCAGTAGTTGTGGCGCATGGGCTTTGTTGCTCCACGGTATGTGGGATCTTCCCGGACCAGGGCTCGAACCCGTGTCCCCTGCATTGGCAGGCGGATTCTTAACCACTGCGCCACCAGGGAAGCCCAGAAGCAGGAATCCTTCAATCCATTCTGCCTTCAGTTCCATGACCTGGGTGGGGGGGGTGGTTGCTCTCCAGGTCCAAGAGCAGGAACTTACAGGTGTTGTTTAGAGCTGACATGGCTCAGCCCTGCCCTCTAGCCTTCTTCTGGCTGCCAAGGCCTGGCAGAGCTGGGGGTAGGTGGAGCCAAGGCACAAAGAGCCAATCAGTGGAAGAAGCTACTTGGACTTGGTGCTTTCCCTTGCTGTTATCCATTTGAACTGTTACCCATCTGAATAGCAATCCATAAAAGATAGGCATAGACTTCATCTTTCATAAAGCCGTTTTCTGGAAGAGGTGGCCTGGCAACTTAGACATGATTTGGTCCATTTGCTTTGGCTAGAAAGCCATGACCGATCAGGGTCAGGGACTCCAGGCACCCCTAGAATATTTTGTGAAATGACCTTGCCTTCACCATCATGCACTCTGGCACTCCAGCCAGAGACCAGTGGTGTACCCATCTCATTTGATATGGACGATCCAGACTGAAGCAGGCTGACTTAATTTTAGTTCAAGGCAGTGTTTTCTCTGGAAACTGAGCTTTCCCTAGATAGTAGGGCTGCTTTATATGTGATGAGTGGCACCACTAAATATCTCATGATGGGTCTGTGGAGGGGTGGGAGAAGTGGAGACCCCTCCCCCCAGCCTGTTTTTGTTTGTTTGTTTTTGTTTTTGGCCATGCCGCAGGGCTTGCGGGATCTTAGTTCCCTGACCAGGGATTGAACCCGCGCCCTCGGCAGTGAAAGCACGGAGTCCTAACCACTGGACCACCAGGGAATCCGCACCGCCCCGCCCCGCGCCCGTTTTAGGGAACTGCTCTTTGGCCCCATCTCTCTTCCTCTACCACTGACATCAAGTGCTTTTCTTCTCTTCTAATGATGGGAGAGGGTTAAGCTTTTACTTCTTTGGAAAGTCACGCCCTGTTTCTAGAAACCTTTCAGTGAACTGAGGTGCCTTGTGCCGAAAGCTTGTGAACTCTATCTTGTTAATGTCGAGAGTTCACCTACCCAAGAAATCCAGTCTCTGCTGGGGCGCGTCACGGCAGCTGTCCCAGAACACTTTGTACCACAGATGGTGGCGGAATTTTGGTCCCTTTGCTTATTCATTCTCCTAACGTTCAGGTGGTGGCTTTGGCAAGAGCCTCTTTGACCAGGCAAGTTCCCAGCGTGGTCACTTGATTGGAGCCACACTGTCTGAAATAATCTTTAGTGATCCCATTTCCCATTCAGTCTTCATTTTGTGAGAGGTAGAAAGTTATATTTTTTCCCAGAGCTCAGCTCTCTCCTAAGGGAGGGAGATCAATCAATGGGAATTGCATCATGTTTACCATCAGTGTTCTCTTCCAGTCCCTCCACCTTTAAGCAACCCCCTCTTTTGTTGCACTTGATCAAGTACACGTTTCATCTTCAAAATAAAAATTTATTCAATCTGTAACAAGAACATTGAATCTGCACATTTGCGCACAAGTTCACATTTAAAAACAGCGGAGCACATCAGTAATAAAAAAACCTATGATACAAGTGGAACATCCCAACCACCAGGAAGATTAAGGAAGGAGATGAGACCACTCTTTATATTCTGCTTCAAACGCCTCAAAAAGGTCCCAGAGGTTCCAGGGAGCACCTGCTTTATTTAATAAAATGTGAGCATAAAAGTTTGGGGTGGCCTGGGGCAAAGGTAACAGTCAGTGGGAGAGTCTTTTGGACTTGTTTTCTACATTTAGAACAAGTCCTACAAAATTAAAGTAGAAAGAAAGAAAAGGCACCTTAAGCTATGCCAAGCAAACCAAATTCCAATAAAACATAAAAACCAAACAGTTCCCTGTGGATTTACTGATTGGGAAACATTTCAGGGCCAGTTACCCAGCTTCCAGACTGGGTCATCAGCTTGAGTTAAGCCCTGGGTATTAGCTCTCCATGTGTGCACAGGATGCTGCCACCAGTGTTGCTGTGAGGACACAGATGGCAGCACTAGTCGTATACCCCTTGGGACATCTTCAAGCTGATGAGGGATGATTCCAGTTTAGAAATCCTGTCCCAGATCTCTGGGGCACTGAGAAAGTGAGGCTGGTTCTCTTTTCATAGCAGGAGCCAGGCGCAGGCACCCTCCACTTCCAGGCCAGAAAAGTACAGAAGCACCTTGCAATAGCTCTCCATGGCATCAAGGGACCCCAAGCCCTGGAGAAGGGTTAGGAGTGTGCAGCTTCCTGCTTTGGTAGCAGGAGGCTTTTTCCTGATATAGCCGTCGGATGAGTCACGGCAGCAAATACACTTATGCCTAATACATGCCTTAATCTTTTAGTTTGGAAGGGAAAACAAATCCAAGATGTTTTTAAGTTGGATTGGTGCTGAAATAGCTAAAATTTCATCTCATCTACCATCAAAAAGCAAAACAAAATTAGACAAAAACGACACTAGCCATTCACCATTACAACCATCACTATAAGACACACCATCACTGAGGAAATGATGAATATTTCCATACAGAGTGTTGGATGGGAGTGCAAGACACAGATGGAAGTCAGCTCCAGGTTTTCCCCACTTACCCATAAGGCTGACCTTGCTCAGTGTGAGGACTCACAGGATGGCCAGGGCTGGGTGCCTGGAGGAGGAATCTGAGCGGCCATCAAGAGGATGCACGTTTTAATATTCACAATGTAAACAAAATATCCACAAACAGTTCAAAAAAGCCAAAGAATGGCTTTATTTAAAAAATTTAAAATGCCCTTGAAAGAGACCCTTTTTGCATAATGCTTTCTTAAAAAAAAAAATAGAGAGAGAGAGAAACAGTTCCCACAAAAACATCTTTACCAAACATGGCTAGATCACTTCAGAACTGAAATCCTCAGATGGAACAAATGAAGATTTCTGTGAGCTGCTATGTCTCAGAAGCTTCAGGTCTATCCAAGAGCCATCTGTCTGGGGCCCTTTAGCAGGAGGGGACCTCAGAGCCTGGGCTGTCATCCTCAGGCTGTCCTTGGGGCTCTTGGTAGTTCCCAAAATGAGAAAGAGGAAATACCAGTTGGGATAAAGGTACAGAACCAGGAAAATGCTAGATAAAGAGCCTGAAATGTTAGGAATGATCCTAAACATTCGGAATCTGAAAGGCAACCAAAATGAGGAGAGATGAGTATTACTACACTACTGTACTGTGTATCTGCTATAGTACAAACTACTCCTAAGTGTTTCTAAAATCAAAAAAGGGGTTTCTCTCCTTCCTACTGACCAGGTAACCATCCAGATTACAGCTCAAAATCTGTGTGCTCCTGGGGCTTTTATCCCATGCACCACAGTGTTACTTTTTACACACACACACACACACACACACACACACAACCCCTCCAGAATAATTCTGAGTCAGACTATGATGGTTTTCAAAATAAAGAGAGGCACTGAGCGAGAGGTCCAAACTTTTCCTACTCATCTCTGTCAATCTACCAGAACTGCTGTTTCGGGTCTGGCTTTTCCATGAACAGAAAAGGGAAACAGGCCACCTGAGATTATCCATTTGAAGAGAATAAAGTGTAGAAAGTTCTTGATAGGCCGTCATGTACTTCCCCTGGACAGTGCTCAGCTACATAAATAGCACAAGAACACTCGGTTTTGGGAGTCTGAGGGCTGGCAAAACCCTATGGCATGGCTGAATTACAGACCTTGTGTAGAGAATGTTTATTTAGGCAGGTAAATTAAATGATAAAAAGTATAATTATTAAAAAAAAAAGGCAGAGCAAGACCTCCTCTACTCTTTAAAAAAAAAAAAAGGTTTTGTTTTTCTTCACAGCGTTTGAGGTTCCTCCACTCCCAATCTTTGTTGTTCTTTAATGCAGTGAGAGTGAGCATTAAACACAGTGGCCGGGAAAAGAAGAGAGAACAGTGCAGCACTGTCGACCCTGTGTGTACTTCTTAATGTGAGGGATGTCACCATCTCAAGGGATTAACTGAGTGGACGCTACTCTCTTAACCTCCATGCAAAGCCTCCTCTTCCCACCCCTGCCACAGTTTCCTCTCCTTTCGCCAACATATTGGTGATGGAACTGCCTCAACAAGAAAGGGCAGTTTAGATGGATGAGCCCTGGAAATTCATAACCCTGTCCTGCAAGCCTCCTCACACTGGAACATGCCACCAAGTAAAACATTTTACAACACATTAAATATCCTGGAGCCACAAAGCTGTGTGGATGACACATTTGAACATTTAAGGAAACTATTTAGGGACAGCACAGGTACATATCATTACTACACCATAAAAACACTTAAGAGCAGGAGGTTTCTGTCCAATCTGCCTCCTGGCAGTGATGTCAGACCCAACTACGGCCTCCACCCGGCAACTGGATTCACAGCTCCTCTTGAACACGTACAAGTGGCCTCAGTCCACCTTTTCTCTCTCCTTTGGGTCACCATACCACCTGTCCTCATCGAACTCTGGCCTCTGACATCACTTTGACAGTCTGTGCATCTTTTTCCTCTAAGTGCTGTGATGAACCCCAAACCTGAATCTTAGGTCTGTGCTCGGTCAACCTCTCAGCAATGGGGACAACCACCAAAGCAAACAGGAAGCAAATTTGCAAACCTCTTCAGTTTTGATGAGCTGCAGTGGTGTTCCATTCCAAGCTAAATATGTTTTCTGTAAGAAGCTGAAATAGGCTTGTTTACGGCAGGTGCTCCTGTGTTAAGGACCTCCACAATAGCAGCAAAGCAACAGCATCCTAAACGCGGTCATTTAAGGGTGCCTGCCCTTGGCCGAGGCCTCCCTGCAGCCCTTCAGCCTAATCCATTAGGAGCTTCCACCCTGGGCAGCGGTAACACTCACATATACTCCCTGGCTCTGGTTCAGCTAGTGGTGAACAACGTTCTGGGATTTCAGTCTCAAAGAGAAATCAGCCTTCAGTCAAACTGTGATCTAATGGGAGCCTTTAGGGGTTTCTCTGAGGAGGAAGTTACTAACGCATAATTTGGCAGGAGCTGGTGATTAGAAGTCTCCATTTTAAAAAAAACCACCATCAATATATACTCTGCAGATTCCTACCAACACCCATCAGTCTTATTTCTGTGGTGTCCGTATGTTTTCCAGTTGCAGCTTTACTATTTCTTAAAATGGATAAGTCAAAAAGACCCTACAACATACAACATTAACAACAAAACAATGTAAGAAAGTGACAACATTATGTACATAAGTACTGTGTATAAACTAGAGAAATGACAAATCTTCCAGGAAAAGGAAAAAAAAAACTTATGTCAAGTGTTAACAGTGATAATATTAAAAAGAAAACTTTGCATTCAATGGAGGTTATACATACGTAATGTAACAATTCAAATACCTACAAAATTAAAAAAAATAGGCAGCACTGGGAGAAACAGCATGAGGGAGGAAAATAAATCGGAAAAAATATGGCCATTAAACTTAGAAGGCCCACAGAATTATTCAAGTAACGAAAGGGTTAAAACCCTACATATGTATTCATTTTACAAGAACACACTGACTTTTAATTGCTGTTTTTCAAACTTGTCCCTATTGTGTTTTAGTTGGGAGAATGCTGCAGGGCACATTTCCAGGGGATGCGGGGTGGGGTGGGGTAGGATGACCACCTGTGTGGAGCCCGTCCACCTGGAAGATACTGGGCAGTGGTGGCCTCTCCACCCCCAATTTCACCTCCTTCTCTTCTTCTGCTTTCCTCTAGAGAGGACCTCTCAGAAATCCTTTGGAGTTCATTTTAAATTTAATAAAATTCTTTGCTTGGGGTAAAAAAGTATTTGCTTGATAAGTTTACAAAGCCAGCCAATTATCATGCCTTTTTGTAATGATACACTCTGGAGACCAGGAAAATGAATTCTGGAAGACCCTCTTTGAGAGCAAAGCAGAACCTGCCCATTTCGGCAACTCCAAGGGGCTGGGGCTGGGGCTGGGGCCCAAGTCTGAGAGCATGCTGATGTTGGGCTGCCCCCTTCAGTGAATCCAATGCATCAGGTCTGGAGACCTAACCATCATCACACAGGCCTGGGGCAGCATTTCCAATTCCCAGCTTCAACCCCACCTTCCCCATCTGCTTCCTTCCTCAATCAAGCAAGCATGCCTTCCCTCAGGGAGCAAAATGAGGAGCAGGTGGCAGTAGACTGAAAAACAGCAATTTGCCTTTGATAAAGGTGTTCTTTGAAAATGAGTATTCTTTGAGGTTTGCATTTTCCAAAAATAAAAAATGATAAAATGGTCTTGCCGTCCAAATCAAACTCTCTCTCTCTCTCACACACACAGAGGAAAAAAACCAAACCCTGCATGCGCCAGGAACAGTAAAATGACCAAAGTATTATAAAATTAACCAATAAAGTGCATGTTCCTTACATATTACACCTGCCCCTTTTACAAACATTTCTTTCAGAAAGTCACATGTAGAGGCTCAGAATCACATGGTATTATAGAAGGGGTTGGTTGTCCGTTTTTTATCATTTGCTTTTTTCAGTCTCCTTAGGGGGTGAGTTCTGCCGTGCTGCTGACGGGGCACTACAGCCAGCCCTGGAGCTGGGCCTGCACCCTGCAGTCCCTGGGTCTGTACCAAAGGAAGGCCTCCTTCAGAACTAGTCAATTCAGGTCCTGCCCTGGGGAGCAAACACTGCTGACTGGAACCAAATTCTTTGGCATACTGTACAAGGGGCCTCTCCACCGGCTTGCTCTGTGCGATACACTCTGTTGTTTTGAGTTGCTCTATGAACCACTTGGTGGGCTCTAGGTTCTGGGGAGCATCTGGGTTTTCTGGGGGCTCCTGGGCCTCCATTCCCGAGCCCATTCTGAGGAAGGGCTGAAGCAGTTTGAGATGAGGGGACTCAGAGCAGATAGGCCCCCTCTCCGGTAAACAGTCTTTACAGAGGTCCAGGTAACCTAACTTGGCGAGGGAAGCTGAACGCCTCATTTGCGATGGTTTGGGGAGCCCTACCTGGGAAATCTCTCGGGACTCGATTTCTTTAGCGCGTTCCTTCACCCCACTGGGGCTGTGACTGAGACCCTTTATACCATCACTACTAGGGCTGTGTGGGAGCTGACAGGCTACAGGTGATGGGTCCAGTTTTTCTTGCTGCTCCCCAACACTGTCACCGAGTCTGCTAATTAAACACAGGTCTTCACTACTTACCTGGGAGCCCTGATATGGCACTCCACTGCCCCTGGAGAGGGGGCCCTCCTGACTTTCCTCCCAGCTGCCCTTCTCCACAGAGGGCTCATTGTCTGTGGTGCTGCTTTGCTCTGTGAAGCCTTCCAGGTGAACCACCGTCTGGGGATGCAGGTAAGCCAAGCTGGCACCAAGTACGTGGGCTGAGTGACTGACAGAAGGCGCTGCCGTCTCCAGGGCAGCTGCTGGGCTGTTGCCCCCGTCTCCAGGGCTGCTCAGGGTGGGGGCTGGGTGGGCGGGCCTGCCGTGCTCAGGCTCGGGAGAGGAAGAGTGAGGCAGAGGTAGCGCTCTGGGGTGCAGAGAAGCCTGGTCGGGGCTCAGTGTCCGGTTCAGATTTTCATCCAGTGCACAGAGGACAGTAACGGACTCCTCCACTTTCACTTTCCTCAGTCCCTGCTCCCCACTCTTTTCGCTGGTGGCTGTTTCCCCCTCTGGCCCGTGATCAGGTGTCGTGACTGTGTGGGTGTATTCAATGATTTCTATCTTCTTGGGAAGAGGCAGAGGGACTGCTGGTGTCTCAGGTCCCTGGCATGAGACCGAAGTCCTCTGCTCCTTCAGGACTCCTTCCTGCTGTGTTCTGGGACCTGACCCTGGGCACTTCTGAGGAGCTGGCAACGGGAGAGACTCCGGCAGCTCGGGTGCTGGAACGATGGCATGCTGCTCAGAATGGGGTAGGGAGCCAGCCTCAGACCCACTGCATTTCCCTTTGCCCTTGCTCGTCTCTGGTTCCCTGGGGACAAATGCATGTTCTAGGGTGGCTTCATCACTCCTCCCTTTTGATGCCAGATCTGCCATAGAAGAATCATTCTTGGAATTCTTACGAGTGGACAACGAGGCACAAGCAGGGGCAGCACCGTACTGCTCCTGCTCCTGCCGCAAGCGCTCCTCAAACTCCAAGGTGGCTCGCCTCACGGACCCGGGGCACCACTTGGCACCTGGGGGCATCCCTGGGCCCCAGAGCTCTGGTTCCCCCTCAGCTGGTTCCTCTTCTTCCAACTCTGTGGTGGATGAGTGTGCCACTGGGCACCCTTCTGGCTCCCACTTCCCTGAGTCTTTGGCTAGTTCAGGCTGGGCTGTGCAGGAACCTCCACTCTGCTCCAGATTTCCAGGTTTGTTCTCTGCGGCTTGGGCCCTCTCAAGGGGCAGCTCATGGACGATGTGCTTCTTTGGTGTATGGCATGGAATGGCTAGGATGTCGCCTTTCACTTGAATCTGTCCAACTCCTTGACTGATGGATTCAATCTCAGTGACGATTTCTTTGACTGAAATTGCATTTTCTGAGTGAGACTGCATGAAGATGTCTGGACTGACCAGTTCTGAGATTGCCTAAGAAGAGAAAACCGTGAGATGGTTATGGCAAACTGTAATCTAATTGAAAATGCCAGATTTTTTGCTTACTAATCCTCTGATCCAGGAGAACCTTCTGGCTCTCTGAGGACACAAATCATGGAGTGCCTGGGACTGTCCTCTGCCTGGGGTTGTATTCTGTTCTGTCGTACAAGAAAAAACCGGATTCATCAAAGGCAGAGATACAAAATTAGTCATAGGTTGTGTCACTGTCTAGTAAACTTGTGTTCTGTTGACTCAAATAGGATTCTAATCCAGTATCTTGCTCCAAAAGTAAACAGCAAGTAGCCTTGGAGGCTCCTATAATCCTTATTTTCCTAAGACCATGAGCCTTCAGGATTTAGGCCATACTGGGGTAAATGAAACCTTTCCTCTCTAGCCTATCCCCTTCCAGTTTGATCCTAACTTGGTTCAAGGGGAAGAGTTCCACTGAAGGGCTCAGTGGCCACCTTAAATATGCCCAGTGTTAGAGGAAGCTGGATGTCTGATTTGGAGACTCCCTGCTCTCTTCTGTCCTTTGTCTTGCCAGCTTTCGTCCACATCCTCCCACTGCTTCTCCCAGCAGCCGCATCCCAGCACATGGGGGCACTCTATACCTGACTGCATGGTTCCTAGGTTTCACATGGCTTCTTCCTTGGCTTATGCAGCCACGTGCCCGAGCAAACTTAGAAACTGCGAATCTGACATTTTAGTGTTCCACCAGTTACATATTCCCAGATGGGTTTAGAACAAGGCCAAAGAAAACTGGCCAATGCAAAATCAAGTCCTACTGTAAAAAAATAAGAATTTCAAAATTTAGAAATGGCCCTTGGACATCTCTTAAAGCAACATCATTATGACCATCAATCTACTTTGTTAACATTTTTATAAACCTTCAAGGTACAGTATTTCCCTAGGAATTGTTCTTGTCTTTCTCCTTCAAAAAGAGTCAGAGCTAGTACAAACTAACAAGATCAGTTATGCCTTTGGGAGAAATCTGCTGGGACATCAGGCAGAGGCAAACTTGCCAAGGCTGGGAGAGAAGCCACAGCGGGCCCAGTGTATGCATGGGCTGTGGAGAGAGTGCTCATATGACCAGAACTTTGCAGAAAAGCTATTTCTGTCAGAGCCACTACATCCATTAGTCCAAAGGAGAGCTCAGGCATTCTGATTTTCCCGGTAGAAACGAAATAGAGGCATAGCTTTTGGGGAGAGGAGAAGACAGAAACAGAGGCAACAACTGCCCTGGGGTAGTTAAGAAGAGAGAGAACAGATGAGTGAACGAGGTGGTAAATATAAGTAGACAGCAATCAGGAGATGTCAAGAATCTAGTCAGATCCACTGAAATCGTGAAATGACTTCATTTATGTTAGAGTAAATCTGTCCCCACTTGCTTCCCAATTACTGTATTATACTGACATAAGATACCATTGTTTTTTAAGATGCAACCCAATTTCAAAAGTCAAAATGAGAATAAGTGTGAGTCTTAGAGTTGATGATATATAGTAATTCTTTCCCTGGTCTGAGACGGCTCATAAGAACTCATGCCACTGAGACGAATCTTGGGATTCTGTCTGCTCCCAAATCATTTCCCCAAACCATCCCTCAATTCTTGAATACCACAGCGTCTGCAATGAGGAACAATTCAGAGATGTTATTAATAGCAAGAACTCAGCATGGGAATCAGTTGCTACTCCAACAACTATTAACACACGTCTAGTCTTTGAATTTTCTGAGGCAGAAAGAATTTCCCAAACAAATCCATCCTCTCAGAGAGACACACGTCTCACTCAGGCAACAGATCAGTCCCTGGCACCTCACTGTTGGTGAGATTTGATCTGAACTGCGGAGGTCCACAGGGGACCTTCTCCTTGGTCAGGCAGGACATTTGTTTTGGCTAATCCCTTCTTCCCTCATCCCCTCTCAGAAGTGCTTCCAATGACACCAAAAGCCTGGAAAGATAAATTCCTTGAAAGGCAACTGATTTAGAAAAATATTTAAACCCTAAATTTTCACGCCAGACTGTCTCTCTCACATCGCCTTCCTAAATCTTTAGCAACATCAAAAATACAGTGAACATAGCAGAGTCCCAAATATTTTGTCATTAAAGAGAACTTCACTAGGCATAGAACTATAAAGACAGTTTTTACCTTTGACTGTTCCTCATCTATTGAAGATTCTTCAGATGCATGGGGAGTATTACTCAGAGAGCTGCTTCTCTGGTCATCAGCGGTCGCTTCGGAAGGGGCTACTTCGACCACTGACAGTCGACAGCTCTCGCTCCTTCCTCCACCCAGTTCCTCCATCCTTGAGTGAGAAAAAGATCGGGCCCGGGTTTCTTGGGAAAGCTCTACAAACTTCTCTAGCGCGCTAAAAAAGTCAATGCGATCTGTACTGAAATCTGAGACTTCAGCCTGGCAACTGGGTTGGGGGCTCGGTGAGTCAGGATCAGGGGACATGGGGAGATCTTTCAGGCGGGATGTCAGTTCTTCCATGGGCAGTAAGTGGACGTTCATGTCTGCTTTCAGTGCGTCTGTCTCCAAATCTTCCACTGTTAAGTCTGGGAACTTGTTGGCCATTTCTGGGTCCTGTCCAGGTTGGATTAAGGCTTTGGATGCATGGCAGTTGTCAAGAGGGAATTTTGATTCATTGAGACAACACCCTGATGAGCATCCATTGATGTCATTTAGGTTTAATTCATCTTCAATCTGTCCGGCATGAAATTCCCTAGAAGTAAACTCCAAGCAGATCATTCTTTCTTTGGTACACAGGCCTTTCTGATTTTCATCCTGTGGGACGACATGTTCCACGAAGACGGGAGGTATGGGTGGGTGACTCTCCATGGTCTTGACCTCGGCAATCTGGTCTGCTGAGGTGGTGATCTCCTTCTTGTTGAGTTCTAGTCCTGCTTTGCAGATGGGTTCGTGGTGGTCCGAGAGGTCACTATCTGAATGAGATCGCCAGAGCTTGTTATGCCGCTGTTTGCTGTGGAGGACATACATAGGAAACGCCTTACTCTGGTTTGTGAAAACAATCAATACCCTCCCAGGAAACCACTCCCAGATAAACTTAACCTGCAAGATGCTTTGTTAATGCCCAGTGGAAGTAGGTAATCAACAGCTGAAAAGAGGCTCAATTTCACTAACAGCAAACAACAAAAACAAATGAATATGAGATCTGATTTTTCACTATCAGACTTATAAGAGCTAAGATAGTTGTTAACAGCCAGTGTTGATGATGGTTTGGTCAAACTAGCCCTCTCATAATACACAGTTGATAGGAGTGTGAACTGTAGAATTTTAAAGAATGAAACCTGGCAATAGCTCTCAAAATCTAACCCTTTAAACAGCAACTCTCCCTTTAAAATTTTTACTTGGAGAAATACTACTACGTAAGTGGCACAAAGCTATACATATAAGGATGTTTACTGTAATACTGCAACACCAAAAAAAATTTATTTAAATTATAGTCCATACACTTATATGAGGCTATTAAAAACAGTCAAGGGGACTTCCCTGGTGATCCAGCAGGTAAGACTCCGCTCTCCCAATGCAGGCGGCCCGGGTTCGATCCCTGGTCGGGGAATTAGATCCCACATGCCGCAACTAAGAGTGTCCTCATGCCGCAACTAAAAGATCCCATGTGCCACAACTAAGACCCAGTGCAGACAAAATAAATAAATAAATACTTTTTTTAAAGTTAAAAAAAAAAACAGCCAAATATTTTAGTGGAATGATGTTCAAGGTACACTATTAAGTGAAAAGCATGTTGAACACACTTGGAATAGTCAGTTCCCATATTAGAATAAGTATAGTGAAATATCTACAGAACATCACCAAACTGGTAACAGTGTTTCTTTCAAGGAAGGCAGGGCTTTTACTTTTGGGGAGGACTTTACAATTCTACACCCTGTAGTATGTCTACAACTTTTGAATTAAAAAAATGAGCCTGATTAATATTAATAACTGGGGGGAAAAACATAAAACATTATCCAAGTAATACAAGGAGAAATAATCAATTGGAGCCCATTATAAGTTCTCATAATTGGGATAAAGAGCTGATATAGGATTAATCACTGATGTGGAAGTGTGAGGAGGGTGGTAATCTTTCTTGAATTAGAAAGCAAAGAACAGGGAGTTCCCTGGCGTTCCAGTGGTTAGGGCTTAGTGCTTTCACCGCCATGGCCCCGGGTTCAATCCCTGGTTTGGGAACTAAGATCCTGCAAGACATGCGGCGCAGCCAAAAAAAAAGACAAAGCAAAGATGAGGCTAGTAAATCTGGAGAAAAAGGTTGGTAACAGAACGGAAGAGGATAAGCGTAAAGTACAGGCCCTTTCATGAGGATCTGTGGATAAAAACCATCAAGCTAAAGTGACCCCTGGAAAAGGAGGTGGGCCAAAGAGACTATATGCACACATCCATCCTTTGGTTGATTTTATGAGAGAAGGTCTGATGAGATCTCATTTCAAACCACACTCTAACAAGGAAGCACAGTTTCTCAAAGCTCCAATGAAAAAGAGAAAGGTGGCCCTGTGGCTGGGCAGGGAACAGGTCGCTAAATGTGGCATTTGGGGGTATGGTTTCCATGACTTACAAGCTGATGAAGAGCTACCTCGCCGCAGGGTGGAATGGAAACAGCCCAGAACAACTAACCCTGGGCTCAGGGCCATACCTGCCTTGGCTGCCTGTGAATCTCTGCCGAGTCACACGCCTGCACTAATGTGAACCCCTGTTTGTGCTCAACTCTGCACCTGCTCTCAGCTCCCCCGCCTGCCTGCTGCTTGGGTGGGGCTCTCTCTGACTTAGGCCTGCCCAGCAGAAGCGTGCTTTTCTGGGTAGGGCGCAGGTCAATTTGTTTATGAAGACAAGCTATAATCAAGTAGCTGGGTGTAAGGTGGGGTTTTCCCCCTTTCCAAGCTGCACGAACTCCAGCCACCCCTAGGAGGAGACAACGTATCACACACCCCAAACGAGTGAGTGGCTGTGGGGAGGGGCAAGCTGACTGGTTGGATAGGTGGGCCCAAACTGTACTTTGTGACCCGCGGGTGCCAATGTGCTCCCCTTAAAGCTTCTTCTTTTTCGTCTGACACCCTCCCTGTTCCCTGACCTAAATAGGACTGTGTTCTCCAGTTTCCATCCCTCACCTATCATGAGGATGTTCAAACTTGCACCAAGTCCTCTCAGCCACCCACCAAGGCAGGACAAGTCCTGTGATGCAAATCACTGGGAAGATATCTCAGGGAGTAGCTGTTCTCACCCTAATAGTAAAGAACAGCTTATCTCATCAGACAACAGGCAAACGGGAAATTTTCATGATCCCGAGAACCCTCCAAAGTATGTTTTAAAAAAACTGCCTGTAAATCACTAATAAATTGAGAGGGAACGAGAGACTGATGTTATGCTAATAGGCACCAACAGTGCAAGTCTCAGAGAAAGTAGCTGACGTCATAGCTGCTTTACCCAGCAGGGATTTCCTTCTCTTCTTGGGGAAGATATTCATCAGAAAGTATTGGGTCAGGGCTCTGGAATTAAACTGACACCTCTTGTAAAGGAGAAAGAAAAATCCCAATCCAAAAATAAGTCTGATTCTGCTGCCTTTTTCATTTTTGCAGTAAAACCTGCAGGGAGAGTGGCAGGCGGCTCTCTGACATAGTCATGATACTCATTACCACAGCCTGTGAAGCACTGCTATTCCATGTGGCCCTTCCTGATTCCCCCTTCTCCTCCCAGTGCAGGGGTTAGTAACCAATCACCTGAATTTTGTGCTTATCATTCCCTCCCTTTTCCTTATTGTGTCATCGCATGTTTTGTTCTAACAATATATAGCTTAGTTTGTATGTTTTGAATTTTACATAAATGAAATCATACTGTATGTATTCTTCTACAACTTTTTATGCCTAACATGTTTTAAGACTCATCGATGTGTGTAGCTGTAATTTCACAGAGTGTAGTGAATATGCCACAATTTATTATTCATCCACCCTGCTGATAAGCAGTTTTAGCTATTCCGAACAACACTGCCATGGACATTCTTGTGCCTGGTGCACACTTTGGTTTCACAAAGGTGTTAAATATAGGAGGGGAAAAAAGGTGGGTCACAAGGCGTATGTGCATCATGAGTATTACTTGGTCTCACCAAACTGTCTCCCAATGAAGCCCTTTCTCAAGCCAGTTTATTCTAATGCTCCGTCACTGGTAGGAATAGGTGTAAGACATTAGATCATATCTGTTATTTTAAACTGTTAATGTTTATATTCAGCTGACTCCCGCGACCTATTCCAGGTAGGCAGCAAGTGCCAGAAAGAACTTCAGAGCTGGTTTGTGGCCTGGATGATGCAAACAAGTCTCAGGTTCTTGTCCTCCTTGAGTGGCCTCTGACCTGAATTTGGATTCACATAAACACACTGACACACGTGAGATGACTGGGCCATTCTGGGTAAGAATTTGCCCTTTTACTTAGTAAATGAGCAAGAAGGAAAGCTAAATGACAGGATGCACATGATGTCCCATTCTCTTGCCTCCACTTTCTTTCTTATTGTTGTATGTTTGGTAAAGTACCAACTCTGAGAAAATTACATAGAGGAAAATACTGCTAAAGATGGAGTATCAGTTGCAGTAAAATTAGACTATTTATGGTTACTTCTTAGGGCATTAGGCAGCCTGTAGAGAAGAGGAGAAGGAAGAGAAGAAGCATCAACAATTGAGCATTTTCATGCACTGTGCATGGTCCTAAATACTTGATTATTTCACTGAAAAGCTGTTAAGAAAATCCTTTAAACCTTACTTGTGATTGGCTGTCACCTGACCAGGAATCCATGTCCTCTCATTCTCGGGTTCCCTCCTGCTGGCTGACCATTATGTACCAGCTAACTAGACTTCAATGTCTTCACCAGCAAAGCCAGGGTGAAAGACAGCTCTGTCACCTCTGGCCCTGGTGACAGGGACATTCAAACAATCAAAACTAACATCTATGAGGACATGTGTCACGAACTCTCCATGGCCACCACCCAGTTTTTCTTCCTTGCCCCTTATACACTGGAACCTAATATCTCAGACACATGGTCCACCTCGCAGATGCACGAAATCTGAACTTGTCTAATGGAACATAAATCTGCCAGATACCTAAACGATCCAACTCCAGAATAACAAACAGGGTTGCTGGTAGTTTAATGGAGGGTTTCAACACACACACATGCACACACACACACACACCCCTCCTCCTGCCCTCACTCCCATCCCCCGGCTATAAAAACAGAAAAAATAAAATTAGATATGAACAGTATCAGTTCATGAACAGTATCACTTTATGATACCCTCACTTTCAGGTCTAAAGGAGACTATTAAATATTAGTCTCCCTGAGGCTTAAAGACATACTAAAAGATGCAAAAAGTCTCTTGTATTTCAGAGGGACTGTCACTGTTTGGTCCACCCTCTCACATTCTGATTAAGAGACTGTAACCAATTCATAAATCACTACAGGGGCCTAGAGTCACTTTGTTAAACTTCTCTTCCACCAAGAGGTCAAAGTACCAAGCTAATACCCTCAAACAGAGGGCTGCCACCTCACGTTAAGCACCCAGTGCCACTCTGGACAACGAATGGTGCTTGACAATGCTAGGATCAGAGCTCTATCTCTTTGGGAAAACCACCATGTGCCTTCTGGGAGAAGATATGAAATACAAGATATCTAAGCACCTGGAGAGGAAATGGAATTTCTTTGCAAATACAATGAGTGGGATTTTCCCAAGGCCTTTCCTCTCTTGGTGACCTAAGCTGCAAGGCTTGACAGAGCTTCAGACCGTCACAGGAATCTGGGGCTTCTCCTTCTTTGCTATTCTAAGCAGACAGACCCTGGAGCAGTACTCTAGGGCTGGGCAAGAGTCTGAGAGGCCCAATCTACTCGGCAGTCAGCCTGGCAGGTAGCCTACAAGTGCTGTTTCTTGACAACACATCATAGATTGCAGACCCTAACAGCTATATACCCAAGAGGCATTCCTACTCTCTTTCCTTACTGGCAGAGGCCTGATTTGGTTTGACTGTTCACTGCCCCACAGTTTCAGGGAATGTGGCACTTCCCTAGCACCAGAGAGTGAATGTGAATTTGTTTTAACCAGTCCAGGAAATTCTATTTGCCTACCCAGTGCTTGGTTTTAAGAATATGACCCAGTCCTGGTCAGTGGTCCTGTGGGGGTGGGGTGGGTGGGTGGCAGTCTAGTGGGGAGCTTCTGGGAAAAGTCTTCTCCTCTAATTGAGATGCCCATTCTTTCAGCCAGACGTGGTGGAATTTACACGTAGATGCCTAGACATGTGGCAGATATCTGGCAATCATGAGGCAAATTCAAGGACCAAGCTATTAACTAAGCAAGGGAGAACACAAAGTAGAGCAGGAAGATGAGAGCACCAAAGTCCCTGATTACATCCCCGAGCCCATTACAGTCTTCTTCGGTGCTTCTTGCTACAAAAGAAGGTAAATGGTCCAACTTTTTAACTACCTACAGCTGGGTGCTGGTTCCTGCCGATGCACTCTTCAGCCTTTCTACCCTGCTCTCTGCCCTGGAGGCTGACGTATGAACCACCTCCACTGGTCCCCTTGTCTTCGGACTTCCACAGGGTTTGGCTAATGGGGAGCCCCAGCAGGAGACTGGAGGGAGGAGAGTGAAGGCAGGCCTCTAGTCCTGTAGCTCCTTCCCCGCAGGGCCACTCTGGCTGGCTGGGTCCCCTGACTGAAGGCTACTGCTCCTCTCTGAAGGCGCCTTTTCTCCAGGAGTCTCCGTCCAGGTTCTAGTAACTGCGCCATCCCTCTCTGGGCCCAGGAGCTATTACCAAACAGCCCTGCTGATATAAGTTCCTTGATTCCACTACAGTCCTACACCTTTGTAAACAGTCCCTTTATAAAGTCTTCCCCATATAATCTGCGTGTGCTGCTTCTTGCTGAAATCCCAGTTGATGAAGATATTCTATTACTTGCAGCTGAAAGCAGCCTAAGTGACACCCCCAGCACTAGATTTTAGTTTTTAAAATTCAGGAAACATCACAATACAGAAAATTCCAGGACACTTCCATTCCAGTTTCTAACACAGTTAGTGTGTCTGTTGGTGGCGGAAGGCAGTGGCTAGAGGAACTGAATGGCACATGCGTGTGTGTTCTCTGGGTAGCCTTGCAGGAAGGGCTTCATGAGAACCACTTCTGAATAACCCTTAAGGGTGCATAATATACATTATATACACTTTTATTTACAATAACCCTGTGAGCTAGGTCTCTTGATTTTCATTTTATAGATGGGGTCAGGTGAGGATCAGAACTGTGCAAACTTCTCAAAGTTGCAGCAAGGGGGTGAACCAGGAACGGAAACCACATCTACTGACTCAGATTCTGTGGTTTTCTCACTCCCCAGGGCTTGCCCCTCCCTCCGTGAATCAAGACCAGGAAGGCAGGATGGAACCAAAAGGGAAAGGGAAGAGGCAGGGTGACTTGTGGGTTTATGTTGCCCTTCTTATCCTCATCTAAGATTTTTCTGAAATACCTTTAACATCTAAGAAAAACTACATACGCTAAAAAAAAAACAAAAAAAAAACACCACCCCAACCCAACAGCTTGCCTGGGATTCCAGAAAAAATACTGAAATTGGCAGGACACACAGTATCCTTCCTCTCAACGGGTCACGTGAGGACACTGCCTAATATCCGTCATGTGTGCGTCTGGGAATATACAATATTTGTGTCTCATCCAACCCTCAGATGCTTCTTTCTTGTGCCAAAAAGAACTTCTCTGTCCTACCTTCTGATGTAATCTAAAAATGTCATCAAAATCTGGCCCCAAAGACCTACAAATTCTTTTTAAGTGGAGGAGACTTCAGTATCCTCCCAGCCTCCTAAGAGAATGGCTCAGATGAAATCATGCCAAGTACTGAGTAAATGGGAGGGGTTTTTTAGTGGAAACCGTAATGCTATGCTGTGGCCACATTTTCACAATACTTCGGCGGTGGGAGGGTGGTCACTCTGCCTGGTTAGGCTGGAAGGCTATTTACCATTTTGTTCAGGGGAAACACAGCCCAGATTCAAGAGTCGAGACCAAGTCATGAGACTCACTGGAGTCAAACTCTGGCATCAGCCCCGACTGCTTCTAGGCAGCAGTGCCTTCACCCTAACAAAACCACCTAGAATGTGCCTACATGGAAAAACAAAGCAAAATATGGTACTCCACAGCATGTGGCATCTCAGGAAGTTGATCCTTGAATTCAGTTTACTAAGAGAGTAAACTGAATCTTTTTCCTGAGATCAGCTGAAGGTGGCTTTCACCACCAAAGGGTAATAAAAATAATGTAGTGAAATTACTCATTTTATAACCAATTACCAAATTATTGTTGAAACAGCCAGTTCTTATTGATACAGGAAGATGTTCAAGACCTAGTACTGGGTAGACAGAGAAAGACAAATACTCTATGGTGGTATCTCTTATACATGGAATCTAAAAATGCCAAACTCGGAGAAACAGAGTAGAGTGGTGGTTACCAGGGCATGGGTGGGGTTGTTGAGGGAAATGGGGAGATGTTGGTCAAAGGGTACAAATTTCCAGTTATGAGATTATAAAGTTCTGGGGATTTAATGTACAGCATGGCAATTATAGCTAATAATACTGAATCATATACTTGAATGTTGCTAAGAGAGATCTTAGATAGTCTTACCACAAAAAAGAAACGGCAGTTATGTCAGGGGTTGGAGGTGTTAGCTAATGCTACAGTGTTAATCAGTTTGCAATATGTAAATGTATGACATCAATACACTGGACACCTTAAACTTATGCAATGTTGTACATCAACTGTATCTCAATAAAGCTAGGGGGAAAAAAGGAACAGTGGCAGTTAAGTGCAGTGTAAGTGTTCAATAAATGCTGCCACAGTTTAAAAAAAAAAAAAAAGACCTAATACTGGGTGAAGAAGTAAGGCTGAAGAACAGGTTTTGTGGGGAAAAAAAAAAATCCATCAATATATGTGATAAGAGGTAAGATAATGTCCACTGCTCTCTGTGGTTATTGAGTTTCTAAATGATTTCTCCCTTTGTAATTTTCTGCATTTCTGCAAAACATATATATATAAAATCAGATTAAAAGATCTTAAAAAAGAAAACAAGTGAGCTATTTCTGGGAAGCCCCTTCATACCTCAAATGGGTTATATATATCCCAATTCTACAGATTTGTCACATGACCAGAATTACTGTTGAAGGTTCAGTGAAACCAAGCACTGAAAAAAAAAAAAAAAAAAAAATGCCCAAAGCAGCAGCAGGTACTTGTTTTAAGAGAATGGGCCAGGGACTTCCCTGGCAGTCCAGTGGTTAAGACTCTGCACCTCCACTGCAGGGGGTGCAGGTTTGATCCCTGGTTGGGTAACTAAGATCCCACATGCCATGCGGCCCCCCCCAAAAAAAGGGCCAAAAATTTTCTAAGAATTTCAGCTAGCACTACCCTGGAAGCAATCAGTATCCATTTTGATAAGGCAGCTGCATCTGGCCTTAGAAGCTGTTGAGAAGTATTTATTAAAATCTGCACCTAGGGCTTCCCTGGTGGCGCAGTGTTTGAGAGTCCGCCTGCCGATGCAGGGGACACGGGTTCGTGCCCCGGTCCGGGAAGATCCCACATGCTGCGCAGCGGCTGGGCCCGTGAGCCATGGCCACTGAGCCTGCGCGTCCGGAGCCTGTGCTCCGCGACGGGAGAGGCCACAACAGTGAGAGGCCCGCGTACCGCAAAAAAAGAAAAAAAACCTGCACCTAATTGAGATCTGAGATAAGGGAACAGTATTTCCACCCTTTAGTTTAATGTCTTTAGTTTAGATTAAATGCCTAATCTTCCATGCTGATCTTAAATACTGGTACTTAATTTTTAAAAACTAGATGGATCGAGGTTTCAATTTTCAAATCCTATCACACACTTAAATTAGGTGAGAAGTAGCTGCAGAAGACATTTCACTGTGCCCTGGGGAGCATAAAGGAGGGAAAATCTGAGAAAGTCAATTAAGGACTCACCTTGCCAGCAAGATCCCCTGGTACTCTTCCAGCTGTCTCATGAAGCTGGGGTTGGGCTTGGTCACTGTTCGTCTTTCCTTCACGTAGTCATAGGCTCGGTCCAGATTCCAGCCATACTCCTTCATCGCATAGGCAATCACAGTGGAGGCTGAGCGACTCACCCCCATTTTGCAGTGCACAAGGCATTTAGATCCATGTTTCCTAGTTTGGGGGATTGAGGTAAGGAGGAAAACACAATAGTGAGTACACTTTAAGAGCTAGGTTCTAAATGTGTCCACGTCTCCTGTCTGGCCTTTCCATTGTCTTGCTTTGTAATCCACCCCACCTTAGTGCACTTGTGTGCACCTCTAATCAAATGTGTGGGGCAATTCTGGTGCACTCAAACGATATTCAGTGTTAATATTAAGCCTCTCTAGTTCATTCAGCAAACATTTATCAGGCATTTACCATGTTTAAGACAATGTGCAAGGTCTGGGATGCAAAAATAAGTAACAGTTTTTCCCTAAAGGGTAGGACTCATTGGGAGAAGTAGACAATTAAAATTCAAAAAGGTAATTGCAATGACAGTTGGTCACAGAGCACAGAAGGAAAATTTTCTATTTAGAGACTGGAGCCCATTTTGTGTGTGGCTGGAGGCCAGTCCTCTCAGCCCCAGGGGCACGTTGACGGCTGGCATGCTATTGAATTACAGGTGTGGCAGTGATTCATCTAATTTACCCAAATGTTGTGAGTTGCTTCCAGTTCCAGTTCCAGTAAGAGTTCTGTCCCGGGAGGAAAGTACAAACCAAATGAAACTAACTCTCCTCTTTACTCAGGTGTAGCCCTGGATATTACTTTTCACAACACTTTTCACAACCCGTGTTCTGTCTAGGGACTGGCTATATAACCCGTGGAGCTGGATGGGACCATGTGATGTACCACATGGCTTTCTCAGCAAGGAGGGTGGAATGAATAATTAGCTGTTTTTGTGTTTTTTTATGGGGTGGAAGAAAGAGAAAACAAAGTCACCATAAAGTGACACTAACAAATGAAACTCCTCAGTCTTATGCCAGAGCTCATTACCTTGTATCTGAGCATTACTCAGCTCTGCTAATTCTGCTAATAACACAGTGTCTGGCCCAGAGTAAGCCTTCAAATATTTGCTAAATGTATGAACAAACTTATGGATCTCCTGATTACACCTGTCAGTTGTAAGTAGGAACAACATTTTAAAATCTGGAAAAAAGAACATTTACTCTTATCACTAGTGTACGTGGGCTGGAATCCTTCCCAAGTGGTTATTCCAATAAATTAAAAAATGCACACGTCAGCCTAACAGGGGAAATCTATTCATCCACTCACTCACTCTACTACAGGAGACAAGCTTCCTTCCAGAAGCTTATAATCCTTCTGCGGGAGACAGACACACATGAATGAGTTAAGCACCAATGCAAGGAGGCATAAGGTTAAGTGCCAAAATGAGAGGGCCAGCCAGATAAGCTATGGGAATGGAGAGAAAGGTCTGGAATAAGTGAAACAGTCTCAAAGGAAAGGTACAATCTTAGTGTCCTATGGCTGGTGCGCATATGCGTCTCTGTAAGCTTAGGTGATTCCAAACGACTAGGACATGTTTGTTTTGCTTATGGCACCACAGAGTTTTCACTTAGACTCCAGCTGGGAAGCCGGGTCACAGTGACGCAGATGGAAGTTCAGACATGTGCTCTATATTTTCCCATCAAGCTCTGACTTTAGTACATCGAATTTCAGGTCTATGCTTGCAGGCACAGAAGGTGCTCAAACTTGGACAATCTTAAGAAAAATACAATTATGAAATCCACTCCTATGAAAACATTTCTTCATTTTGAACTGGGCTTTTTCAATGGATGGCTTCTAACTCAGGTAATGAAGGATCTGCAGTTAGTTCTCACCTAGCCCAATTTCACCTTTCAGGTTCATTGCCCACCCCACCCCCTCACTTCAAGGGCTAGATTGTCCAAATTAAGCCCAGCATCACATTAGGAATGCTAAACTAGAGTGGCCCTGAAAGTGTGGAGTCCTAACCACTGGACCGCCAGGGCCCTGATTAGGGTGAAACACATGAGGTGCCCAGGGTGCCACTTAACGGGAGGCACTCACTCTGAGACGCTGACCTATACTTGCAGGACATGGAGAGTGCATGCCTCTCAGTAAATGTAATGTGGGCGCCTCACGTTATCTCCCTCTAACCCCAGCCCTGCTGAAATCAAGTCTTTCTCTTCACTAGGACTGGGGCCTTGCCTTGATCTCTAGCCTCTTTGGCTGTAACCCTGACAACTTGCCTAGTCTTTTCCAGTCCCCTTTCCTTAAGGAACTAGACTATTCCCATATACTTGATGGACTGAAATGAGACATGATCTTAGGTTCAAGTCCTGTCTCAACCACTAGTTAATATCTCTGAAACTCATCTCTGCAGTCTGTCCTCTTCTGTACAGAAGGAAGACAGCATATGCCTCTCTGGGTTTTGGAACGTACAGGAGAGAATATGTGTAAAATACATGGCACATAGGAAGCATGCCATGAGTGGCAGAAGCTTCAACAGTATAAAACAGTCTCTCAGGTACTGGTTAGAGACTGAGAAAATGGGCTCAGAGCTGGAGTATGGGGATTCAGGACAACTAAGAGGAAGCATTTCCTGACCATGTAGGTCCTTAAGTGAAGTGTGGTATCATTCTTGAAGGAGGACTTTAAAAACAAAAGTGGGAATTCCCTGGCGGTCCAGTGGTTAGGACTCCACGCTTTCACTGCTGAGGGCCTGGGTCTTCTGAGTGTCACCCCACCTGCAGAGGGAATGTGGCCAACATGCTTACTGATGGTTTTTTCTACTGAAGGGACAAATAGGACTGGCACAAAAATCCCCAGGGACTTAAAAAATCAGTGTTGATATATTAATACTAATACTAAACACTAAATTAATACTATGGAATTGTTTCACTAAAAGGACCAATTAATTTAAGGAAGATAACAACAGAAGGGCCAGAGGAAAAATTTCACTATTTAGAGTAGCATAAAAGTAAAGTAAAAGAATGGGGAAAAATTTCCAAAGTGTACTGTTTCTCTCCTTGTCTTCAGAGAGCAGGATCAAGTGTTCCACCTGTCTGGAATAATTTCTATTCTGTAACTTTCAAGTGTCCCTATTGGTAACTTAAAATTCTTCCTTCTCTCATTCAGAATTTCTCCTCTATTTCAGAATTTCTTCCTTCTCTCATTTCTATTTCTTTCACTGCAGCTTGAGTTTATTTTCTCTAATTTTGTGCTCAACGGAAATAGCCAACATGAGATCATCTTCCAGGGGCTTCATCTACTTAAAGCAAAAGTACTAAGTCACTAGTCATCTTTTTCCTAGTATTGAGAGCTCAGTCTCCTTTTTTCTCTACTTCCTTTCCTCTGAGTATCATCAGTAAGTTATCTACAGCTTTCAGACCCCAACCATGTGTGGTGCACAAGGAAGAGGGGTCAGAACATGTGTGTGGGACCATTACTCACTTTGCTTTAGAGATGAATTTGTAAGTGTCATTCCAGTAAGCCAGGAGATCCGTTGCCTCTTCATCATATACCCGAATGTTGTGATACTCAAAGACTCCTGGGAAGAAGTTATCTATCTCTCGAGTGACATTCAAGATATATCGCACCCTGTGAGGAAACCAAGGGAGATTATGAGCCCTACTACTCAGGCGAAATCCAATTCCCAGCACTGGAATTTTTCTTATTTAAAACTTGCTTACTTCTGGGCTTCCCTGGTGGTGCAGTGGTTAAGAACCTGCCTGCCAATGCAGGGGACACGGGTTTGAGCCCTGGTCTGAGCCCGCATGCCGCGGAGCAACTAAGCCCATGCGCCACAACTACTGAGCCTGCGCTCTAGAGCCCACAAGCCACAACTACTGAGCCCGAGTGCTGCAACTACTGAAGCCCGCGTGCCTAGAGCCCGTGCTCCACAACAAGAGAAGCCACCGCAATGAGAAGCCCACGCACCGCAACCAAGAGTAGCCCCCGCTCACCACAACTAGAGAAAGCCCGTGCACAGCAACGAAGACCCAATGCAGCCAAAAATGAAAATAAATAAATAAAAAACAAACTTGTTTATTCCTGAGGCTGAAATTAAATACTAAAATATTGAAGAAAGCTAAAAAAAAAAAACCCTAAGAGGCTATCCTTATTTAATACAGAAATTGTATAACAGGGTCCTGCACATACCTGGGTATCAGGGAGTTACTGAGAGAAAAGCTGTCTACCAAGTTCAACATCTATATTCCATTTTCAGTTTGTGTTTAGTTATACAATCTCATCTTTCAGAGTCTTCTGAAAATATGCCTTGCATTTTACTCCAAAGAATCAACTTGAGGCCCATGATCTGACAATTTCTCTGCAGTCACTAAAATTACCAGCAACAAAATTTTTTGGAAGTCATCTGTATTAAATCAGACTATTAATATGTACCTTAAGAAAAAAAAATAGAAGGAAACATTCCCTCCTATCTTTCTAAATGCCAGGTTGTCAGTTTTTGCTCTATTACTCTCCTTAAACTACATGAAGGCAAGTGAGGCCAGGCTGGTAGGGTCAGAGGAAAGTTGGACTTAAAGCTCTCTTAACTCTCTAGGCTGCATTCCTGGCTGCTATGGCAGCAGATGTGTCTGAGAGTTCTCCCAGGCTTGCAGAAAATGGTTTCTGTATCAAAAATTTCTTTTGCTATCTCTCTTACTGTGCAATCTCAATAAATGCTTCGGTTTAATCTGCCAAAGGATTACCTTTTCTCAGTGCTGTATGGACTTAGACACCACTGTTGTCAACTCCAACAGCACAGCACAGACTCACTCATTTCCCTCTGCAGAAGCTGCTTCCTGGCTTCCCCGGTGGCGCAGTGGTTGAGGGTCTGCCTGCCGATGCAGGGGACGCGGGTTCGTGCCCCGGTCCGGGAGGATCCCGCGTGCCGCGGAGCGGCTGGGCCCATGGGCTGTGGCCGCTGGGCCTGCACGTCCGGAGCCTGTGCTCCGCGACGGGAGAGGCCACAGCGGTGGAAGGCCCGCGTGCCGAAAAAAAAAAAAAAAAAAAAAAAGAAGCTGCTTCCTTCTTAGAACCACACGTGGGGTTCTACAAACCCAATCACTGAAGTCAGAGAAATGACTACAAAAAGGGAGAGCCAAGCTAACCAATTCTGTGGTTAAGGTCAAGCAACCAAAATTTTTCTGGGACATGGTTTGAATCTGTTTTAACTTAGCATCAAAGTTCATTACTAGAAAGGATTTTTTCTTTTTAATTTAAAAAGCAAGCTGGGCTTCCCTGTCGGTCCAGTGGTTAAGACGCGGCGCTTCCACTGCAGGGGGTGAAGGGTTCGATTCCCTGGTCAGGGAACTAGGATCCCACATGCCGTGTGGTGCGGCCAAAAAAAAAAAAAAAAAAAAAATTAAGAAAAAGCAAGCAACATGCACCTGTAGAAAACACTCCAGCAGTTCCCCAAAAGGTTACCACCATATGACCCCGTAAGTCGTCTCCTAGGCATAAACTGAAGAGAAATGACAACATATGTCTACCCAAAGATTCATACATGAATGGTCGTAAGAGTATTCATAATAGCCAAAAAGTGGAAACAACCCAAAGGCCCATCAAATGATGAATGGGCAAATAAAATGTGGTGAGTATATATATCTCCATATAATGGAATACTATTTGGCAATAAAAAAGGAATGAAGTACTAATACATGGTACAACATTGATAAACCTTGAAAATACAATGTTAAGTGAAATAAACCATGCTTAAAGGACTACATATTGTATAATTTCATACAAATGAGATGTCCAGAATAGGCAAATCTATAGAGACAGAAAGTAGGCTAGTAGTTTCTAGGAGCTGAAGGGAGGAAGGGAAATGGGGGTGACTGCTAAAGGGTACAGGCTTTCCTTTTGGGTTGGAAAAAAATGTTCTGAACTGATTGTTGCACAACTCTGTGAATATACTAAAAACCACTGAAGTACACTTTTAAAAGGGTGAACGATATATGTGAATTATATCTCAAAACTGTCAGAAAAAAAAGGCAAGCACACTTCCTCTTATCTCATTTAAAATAAAAATGAACAACCTTCCCATCCCCAATCCCATACTTCAGTAATGGATTATAGCAGGACAGGGTTTCCCAATCTTTTTCATTACAGCAGTCTAGTCAGCCACTACCAATTGGAAATGGCACTCCTCGAAACTTCTTTGTCATTCTTACACTTCATTGTAAGCTATTCCTTACAATGCTTTGTAAGGAATAGCATTTTACTTGGAGTTCTAAAGTAAGTGGATTGGGAGAAAATGGCCTTATTGTCAAAATTACACTTGAAAAATCCCTTATATCATCCACAGGGGGCAATATACATGTTTTGTGTACAGATCTCTGAACTATAATTCTTGATCCATTGAAGTTTTTTTTAAAAAATAAATTTATTTAATTTTTATTTATTTATTTTTGGCTGTATTGGGTCTTCGTTGCTGCGCACGGGCTTTCTCTAGTTGCGGCGAGCGGGGGATACTCTTCGTTGCGGTGCAAGGGCTTCTCATTGCAGTGGCTTCTCGTTGTGGAGCATGGGCTCTAGGCGCACGGGTTTCAGTAGTTGTGGCATGCAGGCTCAGCAGTTGTGGCTTGTGGGCTCTAGAGCGCAGGCTCAGTAGTTGTGGTGCACGGGCTTAGTTTAGTTGCTCCACGGCAGGTGGGACCTTCCCGGACCAGGGCTCGAACCCATGTCCCCTGCATTGGCAGGTGGATTCTTAACCACTGTGCCACCTGGGAAATCCTTCTTCATCCGTTAAAGTTTAAGCACCAGTGAATTTAAGAAACAAGATCTAAGTAGATGTCTGAGCATCTAACCATACTTGTCTTTTTTCTGTGTTCTATAATTTAGCATTGTAAGTAGTAAATGAGATAAATAGGTCTCATCTCCAGCTGGGGATATAAGTCAAAAGTCAAAGTGAATATATGCATGAAGCGATTCTAATGCATTTGGCAGGCCGTGCTCTATCAAATCTCAGATTTCATATTAAACACTGTATCAGGTGCTAGTTTCCTGCAGGTCACATTCTGTCAATTTTTCTACCATTCCTTCACATTTACCGGGCACCCTTTTGATATAAGGCTCTGAGCTAGGTATGTTTCACACAAAACTAAGATATGGTCTCTGCTTTCAAGAACTTCTGATTCAATCCTTATCAACTTAAATTTTCCAAGTTCTATTTAATTTCATACCATAATATTAAGTAACCAGATTTCCATCCCCCCCGCCCTAAGAACTCTTTGTATAATCACTTAGCTTCCTTTCTTCTGAGGGAAAAGTAGGAAGTATGCATCTAATCACGTTAAAGACAACCAGAAGGCTGACTTGTAGCTGAGAAAACAGGCAGCCAGCAACCAGTCAGGGAGTCCTCACTGTCTCTTGAGTCTCAGTAGGTCTTATCTCTGTCCAAAATGAAGAGTTAGAATGGCCAATTTCCAGACATGATTTTCTCTTCTTATTGGAATGATCTGACCTCCTAAGGCTGAGTTCAATGAAAGATTTAGGCATTAGCTAAGAAGTGAAAAGGGAAGAATGGCAGCTTTTTGCTTGCTGAATGTTCACTGTGGTCTCAGTTGCTTCAATCAAACTCATAACCATGCCGCTTAGGAACACATTTCCTACTACAAGGTCAGTCTTCTTTCCAATTTTACACTGTCTCTTTTATATTTATAACCTACTTAGTCTTCATGCACCTTACTATAAAAGGATAGGAACTGAGTCTTATTTTTCTTTGGATCCCTAGCATCTAGCACCGTGCTTGGCCTACAGAAGTTGCTCAGTAAATGTTTAATACAGACCTGTGAACCCAGCATATGCAGTTCTGTATACTCCTACATAAAAATAGGAACCAAAGTCTAGAGAGACAGTAAAAAGATCAGTGGTTGCCAGGGGGTGGGGGTGGGGAATAAATGGACAGAGCACAGAGGATTTTTAGGGCACTGAAAATACTCTGTATGATGCCATCGTGATGGACACATGGTCATTATACATTTGTCCAAAGCCATAGAACGTACAGCATTAAGAGTGAACTGTAACGTGAACTATGGACTTCAGATGATTACCAGGTGTCAATGTAGGTTCATCAGTTGTAAAAAATGTACCTCTCTGGTGGGGATGTTGAGAACGGGGGAGACTATGCATGTGTGGGGCAGGGAGTATATGGGAACTCTGTACCCTCCCCTCAATTTTGCTGTGAACCTTAAACTGCTCTTAAAAAAAAAAAAAAAGGGAGTCAATAACTAGATTTGGTTTTAAACAGCATGAAAGGCTTGCACATTTGTTTTTGAAAGCCTTTCCGCTGAAACAGTTGATCTTTCTTCGGAGGTGGGGGGATGAAACAGTAGGAGAATAGCCATTTTAATTTTTATTAAATTATACCCAGTAAGAATCAACTGGAAACAACTCTTAAGCTTAAAGTTACTCACTGACACCTCTCTGACGGGAAAATGTAAAGATAAAACAGTGATTTCTGCGACATGGGGGTGTCAGCAATTGCTCTGTGTGCTTACCCTCGGTTCTGTAAATCCTCTAAGTTAGAGGCATTCCATTCCGAGCCCTGTGGAACCAAAAAGACAAGGTTAGAGAGTATTAGCCAATGAACCGAATACAATACTTGAAAAGGAGTCCTGTAAGGGAAGAAACCGTTTCTAAAAAGAAGGCCAATGACATCTACCAAGTTTCCTCTCTCAGTGCCAGGTACTTTATATGCTATCATATTCAGTTTCCACAAATGATAGAGTAAGAAAGTTACCTTCATTTTTTAGAGATATGAAAACCAACCCTTATAGAATTCAGATAATATCTGCTCAAGATCACATTGCTGGAAAGGTTTCTTTGACCATTCTCCAATCTAAGTTAAATGTAGTCTGTCACTCTTGTTTATAGTAGTCTATTTTAGCAATAGCATGCATCACTATTTTTACTTGTATATTTATTTACGTGCTTATTTACTACCTTTCTCCTCCACTATAATACAAGCTTCTTGAGGGCAGCAACCAGGTCTCTTGTTCTCTAAGGAAACTCCTGCACAGTGCCTGGCACCTCACAGGTACTCTTAAATGAACAAAGTGGCATTATTATGAATTAAAACTGGATTTCATTTTAAAACCCCCACTTTTTCTAGTGCATTATGTTGCATCTAAGAAATTGGGATGGTACGGTGTGTGTGTATGTCTGTGGGGGAGAGAGTGAAATAGTCAAACAAATGAGAGAAACATGATGTGCAAAATTTAAAGGAAAATGTCTCTATAGATTATCTGCAAGATACATCAATTGTTAATATTTTGCCATATTTGCTTTCTTGCTGTCCTTCCCTTTCTTTCAATATACATCATACTTGTTTTTACCCGAACCATTTAAGTAACTTCAGCATCATGACACTTCAATACTTGATCATGTGTCATTTAAGAACAAGAATATTCTCCTATATAATTCCATTTTTGCAACCAAGAAAGATAACATGAATACAATAATAATCTAACATATCATCTATATTTGAATTTTAAAAATTGCCCTCAAAATGTCCTTTATATTCATTCAATCAAGAATCATACTGTGCATTTAGTTGCCATGTCTTTAATCTAGAACAGTTCACCCCTGTGCCTTTAGTTATTTTGTCTTTCATGATACTGACATTTTTGTAGACTACAGGTCTGTAAGACGGGAGAGCTCCCCACAACCTGGATTTATCTGATTGTTTCCTGATGACTAGATTCAGGTCAAACATTCCTGGCAAGAATATGACAAAGGAGGGCTTCCCTGGCGGCGCAGTGGTTAAGAATCCTCCTGCCAATGCAGGGGACACGGGTTCAAGCCCTGGTCTGGGAAGATCCCACGTGCCGCGGAGCAACTAAGCCCGCGTGCCACAACTACTGAGCCTGCGCTCTAGAGCCTGTGTGCCACGACTGCTGAAGCCCATGTGCCCTAGAGCCCATGCTCCGTAACAAGAGAAGCCACTGCAATGAGAAGCCCGCGCACCACAACGAAGAGTAGCCCCCGCTCACTGCAACTAGAAAAAGCCCGCGCACAGCAACGAAGACCCAACACAGCCAAAAATAAATAAAATAAATAAGTTTATATAAAAAAAGAATATTACAAGGGAGATATTGTGTACTTCGTACTGCATCAAATCATGAGGCACATAATGTCAGTCTGTCCCATTATTTGTCAGGCTGAGTTTGAATTCTTGGTAGATACCTTTGTGTCTCTCACATCCCTCTATTGTAAAGGTTCCTTTGAAATTAATTAGTAGTCTATAGTAATCTTTGAAGCCGTGTGAAAGGCAAAGTAATCTTTTTGCCCTATGATTTCAGCATCAATTGCCGATCTTGCCCAAATGAATTATTCTACTGGAGGTTACAAAATGGTAATTTTCTAATTCCATCGTTCCTTCTGCAAGTTAGCTGACATTCTTCTGTAAAAGAGTCTCACCTAATCAATCATCACACCCTTTATTGAAGTGTCATTATGGACTCTTGAATTCTTTTTGTATTTAGAAAGTTATAATCCATTACCATCTTTTTTTTTGGACATGCAGATTGTCCGGAATTTGGCCAGTGGGAATCTCTTCAAACAGGTTCCTTTTGATATGATTCCATTAGTCTTTGAGCGCATCCATGCTTTGTGGTACAAAAAGTTGTTCCAGATTCACTTTGTGAGTAGAATCAGCCAGTTCCCCAAGAAGCCCTGGTTTCTTTTAGTGAAGAATGATATTTTGTAACCAAGATCTGGGCAGTAATTAGGTATGCTCCTAACTACTGGGTGTCATTGTTTCTAAAACTTTTCAGTGGTCAGATCTAGGAAATATTTCTAAAAAAATACTGAGTTTATATTTTTACCTTCAACTGAAATTAATTCAACACCACAAGGTTCTTTCTTGCCTCTCCCACACTGTTTATATATCTCCTTACTCCACGGTGAGAACTTTGGTTCCCAACAACTCATTTACTCTACTTACAAAATAGTTTTAACATTATTACACCAATACCAAAACCAATAACAAAAATATTAAGTTCAAATTTTCTTTGCATTTCTTTTTTTTCCCTTATTATATCCCACTAAGGGGTACAATTAGAGTATTATGCTTAAGTTATTTGAATTAATTTCTTTCTGTGAGGTTATCAATTTGACACATATTTGGGTTCATTTGCTCCTGTTTATATTCAATTTTAGGGTGTGTTTTTTCTTCCATGTTTTCCATTTTTTTGAATATACAAGATTTTTTTGGGGGGGGGCGGTTACGCGGGCCTCTCACTGTTGTGGCCTCTCCCGTTGTGGAACACAGGCTCCGGATGCGCAGGCTCAGCGACCATGGCTCACGGGCCCAGCCGCTCCGCGGCATGTGGGATCTTCCCGGACCGGGGCACGAGCCCGTGTCCCCTGCATCGGCAGGCAGACTCTCAACCACTGCGCCACCAGGGAAGCCCTATACAAGACTTTTATAATACTGAAAGTCAAAAGTTTATTAAAAGTAAACTTGAAGTCTCACTCCCACCCCCATCTCCTCAATCCCCATGGGTAATCGTTTTTATTAGTTTGTGGCTTATTCTACCTATGTTGTATTTTGAAAAAAATATAAGCAAATATATACTTACCACTTCTGAATTACACAAAAGTACTTTACTACACATGCTTTTATTGTTCTTTGCTTTCTTCACTTTGCAATATCTCCTCAGACCCACTCCACATCACCGTGCCACTTTCCCCATAGCCTTGCCAACAAAATGTGTGGTTAAGCTTTTGAATCTTTTCCCAACTGATAGGCGTGAAATGTTATCTCGGTGTAATTTTAATTTGCATTTCTGTTTAGCGTAAAAGTGAGCAACTCTTCAATGTTTCAGGTCTATTTTCTATCTTTGAGCTATATGTTCATGTCTTTTGAAAAGGCAAACATTTAAAAATAAGAATTTATCTATTTCAGAATAATGCATTAAGTGGAATTTAGCTTTATAAGACTCAGGTTCAAGTCCCAACTCCCCCTCTGACTGGGGGACCTTGGGCAAACTGCTTAACCTCTCTGTTTTCACTTTCCTTATCTGTAAAATGAAACACTCCTCCCACCCTAGTCCTAGGAATCTAATGGATAGCTTCCCCTCAAACTACAAATATAAAGTTTCTCCCCATTCCTTTTGCCATGTAAGAATACAAAGAGAAGTCTGTGACCTGGAAGAGGGCCCTCACCCGACCATGCAGGCACACTGGTCTCAAGACTTCCAGCCTCTCCAGAACTGTAATAAGTTTCTATTGTTTATAAGCCACACCTCCCGCCCCTCCCTCACGTTTCTTTCATATTAAAATGGAAAACCCTCTCTCCATCCTAAATCCTCCTCTGGACACTGTCCTTTTCCTTTTCCTGAAAGGAAATCTAATACTCACTTTCTAAAATTCCTCATCTAATACTTTCTAAAATTCCTCATTTCCCATGTATCTCAACCCACAGCACTGTGGCTTCTGCCCTCATCACTCTTGCTAATGACCTCTTCTAATTGTCTAATCCAGAGGTTACCTTTGTAACCTTATTCCACTGGCCTTCTATGAGTATCTATCTTGATATGGTCATCACTCCCTCCTTATGGAATTAGATCAGACTGCACAAATATCTAGCCTCATGCCTGGCACAACGAAGAGGATCAACAAATGCTTGCTGAATAAATCATCAAATGAGATAAGTAAATGAAGCACTCTGAAAACTGTCAAGTGTTATGTAAGCACTACCTTCGTATTACAAGTGATCTGTAATTTGGCCATCGAACTTGGAGATCTCAAGGATGCTATGTTGAAGTACATTTAGGAAAACTGTCAGTAAGTGACAGATGACTGATCTTTTCTACAGACCAGGGCTCACCTGACTTGCTTTAAAAAAAATATAAGAGGTTCTAAAGACTCTGTGCTCAAACTTAGAAAACTGGCTCCCATACCAAAGAAAGAGGCAAGAATTATTTTTTTAAAAAAAGGACTTTCAAGGAGACAGAAGCCAAGCAATAAGGGTTGAGTGGCTAAATTGGAGCCAGGGAAATGTGACCACCTCACTCCTTAATTTAGAAATCTAAATCCTCTGCGGAATTCTGTACAGCTAGATGGAAATAACCCTGATGCGATGGTAAAAGTCCATGGTTTTCATCTACCTGTCCAGAGAAACTTCAAACTGACAATCTGAAATGACACATATCCAGAAACAAAATAAATTAAACTCATCAGCTACTGACTCAGTGAAGCCCATGTAAAGTGACTTGGGCTCTGCTTAGGGCTGTTTCAGGTTCAACCTGAAAGAACTGGAATCAACATGGTGTAATTACTTTTCTGTCCTCAATACAAATGCCATGCATATTAGCCCCCTTGGGTCCTCAACAGACTCAATCTCTTTTTTTTTTCCTCCATGCTTCTCAGGCAGTGACATAATTCCATGGGGGTTTTCGATAAGTTCTATGTAATTATGCAGAGCATATTTTAATTGTATGGAAGTGTAAAATGAAATCTTGAAACTATACTGTAATACATTTAAAAAAAATTAATTTATTTCTTTTTGGCTGCGTTGGGTCTTTGTTGCTATGCGTGGGCTTCCTCTAGTTGCGGCAAGTGGGGGCTACTCTGCGTTGCAGTGTGCGGGCTTCTCATTGCAGTGGCTTCTCTTGTTGTGGAGCACGGGCTCTAGGCTTCAGTAGTTGTGGTGCATGGGCTTAGTTGCTCCGCGGCATGTGGGATCTTCCCAGACCAGGGATCGAATCCATGTCCCCTGCATTGGCAGGCAGATTCCTAACCACCCCGCTCCTACAGTTTTTAAATAAGTTCACTTCCACCTTTCACTCTGGTTCACCTACACTGTACTCTGGCCCAAAGACTGAAGTGACTGATTTCTTTTAAAATGTTATCCTTAGTACATGCACCCCAGTGTTCACTGCAGCACTGTTTACAATAGCCAAGACATGGAAGCAACCTAAATGTCCATCAACAGAGGAGTGGATAAAGAAGATGTGGCATATATACAATGGAAGATTATTCAGCCATTAAAAGGATGAAATAATGCCATTTGCAGCAACATGGATGGACCTAGAGATTGTCATACTGAGTGAAGTAAGTCAGAAAGAGAAAGAGAAATATATGATATCCCTTATAAGTGGAATCTAAAAAGAAATGATACAAATGAACTCATTTACAAAACAGAAACAGACTCACAGAGGACGAACTTATGGTTACCAGGGGGGAAGGGTGGGGGGAAAGGATAGTTAGGGAGTTTGGGATCAATATGTACGCACTGCTATATTTAAGATGGATACCCAACAAGGACCTACTATATAGCACAGGGGCCTAACTCTGCTCAAAGTTATGTAGGAGTCTGGGGGAGAATGGATACATGTATATGTATGGCTGAGTTGCTTTGCTGTGCACCTGAAACTATCACAACATTGTTAATCGGCTATACTCCACCCCCACCTCCCAAAAAAAGGGGAAGAATTCTGTAAGTTCCAAATTGGGATGAAAACTAAAATTGCCTGAAGTAAAAAAAAAAAAAAAAAAAAGTTATCCTTAGGAAATAACCTTGTTGGGGTCCAAAAGTTCCAAGCAAAAAGAGGAGAGCACATCTATGGCAAAGAAGGACGACTGTACTGGGGGTTCTGCAAAGATCATACAACTCGAGATAATCTTCAAGGATTGGTATCCCTCTCCAAATCTTTATGATACCATACCTACAGCCTCAATGCTGTGAGTCACTTTACTGTGGCAGCCAGGCACAGGATCAATAACTTTTTCTTCTAAAAAGTTAATGCTACACATCTCCAGTTGAGGGGCAAAAATCATGAATATGAGACAATTTTTCTTTGAAACCAAAACTCTACTTTAAAAGGATGTGTAATGTCAAATCTTGAAAAAGATACAATCAGCAGTAAAATTCTGACTTCTCTCTCATTCACAAACAACATTACCGGTTGCCTGTCCAATATTACTGTGTTTCCCTAATTTAACTAAGAATGCTGCCTGCCTTTCTGCAAAGGCTCTCTGTTCACATCTAGCATTTTCTCGGCCAAATCGGACAGCCTCCAGGAGAGCTGTTGATACGAGATTTGGTTGGCAAAGGCTTCCAGCTCAGAGAAGTAGTACACTCTTAAGGGTGTGGAAGAACTGCTTTTTCTGGAAATACCCTGGCTTCCAACCAATCAATCCTGGCTTCTCGCTGCAGATTTTCTTTAAACTACGCTCTATACTTTTCTTCTGCATATCGGCTGGACACCTTTCCAAATAAACATCTCTGTGCAGTGCACTACTAAGCCGAGCATTCTTCCAAAGGGAGGGGAGAAATCCTGCTGCATCCGTTCACACAATCTGCTTGCGCTCCAGGCATGGCAGCTACGCACAAGATGAAATGACTTTGCAGAAAATTAACAACACCACTTACAGTTTGGATAAAACCTCTTTTTCTGTGTCAACTGCTGGGAAAGCCAGCAGAGCACAGACTCACTGGAGAAGAGACAGGGGTTTGGACACAGGATATGGTGGTACAAACAAAGGGAAATACAATAAGATGTTTAGACAACCTGTTCATGCACTTATTTTGTTGGATAAGAGTTAAATTCCAGGATTCTCTAGTTTGAAAGTTTTTTTCCCAAATAAGAAAAATATTCACAATGCAAAGAACATGTCCATTCTCGAGAAAACAGAATTATATCTGAAGCTGAATACATTTTCCTTTTTTCAAAAATATGTACATAGATACATATTAAAAAAGTAAAAAAGAACTAGGAGGCAATATTATATAATGAAAGATAATAGTGCTTATCTCTCTTGGTGTTGATTAAATGTCATTTATTGTCTTCTGAAGTTGCCTAAATTTTCTATAACGAACATGAATTATTTTTGTAATAAGAGAAAAACCTCAGACAGAAGACTACACCAATAATCATGAAATAATAGGATGAATTTAGTGATACAAATACTCAAATGCATTTCTAGTTGATTAGTGACTAATCTGGGGAGAACTGGATTGTTTTTTCTGCTTAGAGTACTATTAAAATTTATTTATATGTCCTAAAATAGTACCATTTGAGGAAGGGGTAAGGAGAAGGTAGTTCTTGAGGGGGGTGGCATCAGAGACACAGGGAAGCATGTCTGAAATTAAACAAGTTAGTGACTGAATTTGATATTCATCATGTCTACCTCCTTTTAGGTATTAAGATCTAAGCTCAATGGGAAAGCAACTTCCAAGTTTATAGCTTTGGTCACTTTCAAACGAGTTATTTTTGGCTACAGGCACTTGCCCTTCATAAAAATTAGTCATGTTACATGGAGACAGTTGGGGGCAGGGTCCATTTGAATGAGTGACTCATAAGTTTTCTATGCACAACACAAAAATTATTTCCAAGAATACAAGAGCAGGGAATACATGAACCCTCATGGAATTACACACAAAAGACAACAAAGCCAGGTGCTACACAAACGGAAAGGTCCATGACAGTTCTGCCGAATGATCTACATTGAGAAATGGCAACACACATTGGTCAAGTTAAAGTAAAGAAAAGAAGCTCCCCTCCCAGCTCACAGCTTTTCATGGGTAATTTCACAGCTAAACACCACCATGAATCACTTGACAAGCATACGTACTCCAAAGTGTCAACAAGTTAATTCAGGGCACAAGTCTTCAATGGCATGAAGTCTGACTGCTTGGTGAAATAAACTCTTATATTCAGGGTAAGATGATGCAGTTTAGTCAGTTCCTGTGCATATTTATTCCTCTTCTCTCCTGTTTCCCACCTTCTAATCACTTCACAAATGTCCTTACCAGAGAAACGAAGTGAAATTAAAACCAATCGATTTAGTTCCTTGTTACAATTTTTAGTCAAAGTATGTGGGAATTGGAAATAACAGTGAGGTTTTGGTGTTCCCCACTGACTTCAATTATCCTTGTTATCCTTGTTCCCACTACCATGTACAGATGAAAACTAGAACTCTTTAACATTTGGGAGATAAATAGGTCTTAGGATTTTAGAAGCTTTCCTAATCCATCTGTCAGAGAGATCTTGGGCTAATTAGAAGCCACTGAATGTTCAGGTACCATGAAGAACAATTTTAAATCACTGAAGATCTGGTAATCAAAAAGTAACTGAGGGGGCTTCCTTGGTGGCGCAGTGGTTGAGAGTCTGCCTGCCGATGCAGGGGACACGGGTTCATACCCTGGTCTGGGAAGATCCCACATGCCGCGGAGCGGCTGGGCCTGTGAGCCATGGCCACTGAGCCTGCACGTCCGGAGCCTGTGCTCCGCAACGGGAGAGGCCACAACCGTGAGAGGCCCGTGTACCGCAAAAAAAAAAGTAATTGAGGGACTAAAAATGTAGCTACAAGGTTCCAAATGTTTTAAAAGTCCAATAGTCTTTGTTATAAGTAGTTTTCTGGGGGGGCTTCCCTGGTGGCGCAGTGGGTGGGAATCTGCCTGCCAATGCAGGGGACACGGGTTCGATCCCTGGCCCGGGAAGATTCCCACATGCCGCGGAGCAACTAAGCCCGTGTGCCACAAATACTGATCCTGTGCTCTAGAGCCTGTGCTCTGCAACAAGAGAAGCCACGACAATGAGAAGCCCGCGCACCACTCGCTGCAACTAGAGAAAGCCTGCGCACAGAACAAAGACCCAACACAGCCAAAAATAAAAACAAATAAATAAATACATCTAGTAAAAAAAAAAAAATAGAAAGTAGTTTTCTGCTCTCTTCAGATATATCAGATCTTAGACCCATTTGGCAGATTTAAAAGAGTGACCTCAAAAAGGATCATTCTTTTTTGGGGATACACTGTATAAAACTACGGTGGACTGATCTGCTTTGTGGCTCTATTATGTAGGACAGATGAGATCTTTAACAACCCATGGGCAAGAAAGGCCTGATCTGTAGCATTTGCCAATTTCCTCGGTGTAAATTTTCCCACCATAGTCAACTGATGTCACTGAGGAATTGGGGAAGAGATGAGCAGAAGCACACCATTATATAACATTTCCACCATACAATAGATGTAAATAACCTTAAGAGCACAGATAATTGTAAAATGTAGTAAAATACAGGAAGTGATGAGGTTTGAGTATTTATGACCTTTGTTTTTAATGTAAGTTACATTTTATCTAAATATAATAAAATTTGATAATTACCCCCGCCTCCATGAGTTGGTATGGACTAGCCCCAGCACACCCCTTTAAAGTGGCCCTAGGACTTACCAAGAACACGTGCTCAAATATCTGTGTAGGGCTATCCATCTGACCAAGGATCACTATCATTTCATTATCTATAAATTCCTTGAATTCTCGCAAGTTGCACACCATTTGCATTTCCAATTCAGTTCGTATCTGAAACAGAGATGACATTTTGTACTAATCTCTGAAGAGTCCCTCTGGACTTTCAATCACTCACCATTTCTAGCCCCGCTCCTATTATCTTTCTACCTCTAGCCTTGGAACAATGGGGACTCAAGGTCTCTTACCTCTTTGGATGTGATATTCTCCAAATCCTTCTGCATCATAATCTCCCTTAATTTGGTTTTAATTAGCCTTTCTGTTCGCTCACGTTCAGTTGGTCTGAGAAGAGAGAAATGGTGATTTTTCTTAGGCAGGAATTTGACCAAGTTAATGAATGTGCCACCTGATCATGCTTCCAAACTGGCAGGCCTTCCCTTTGTTACCCTTAAATTTATACTCTGGAGGCACAGGAAAAAGAAAATTATACTTTAAAAAGTTTCTTTTCAGAATGTATAGAATATAAACATGTAGAGATTATTACTTGAAGAGATTGTACATGTCTAAAAGCCCATAAATATATTCACGTATACAGATCCAAGAAGGAGTAAAAGACAAATAGGCTATACTGAGTGTAATACTTTAATGGAGGACCATTTCCCATCAAGTACCCCTGAGTACCACTTGCTGAGCTAGAATACCAAGCTGGGAAGACCAGTGGTGCGACCTACTATGGAACTGGATCTTCTGTAGCTTAAAAATGCCACCCAATGCTGACCATCTGTTGCTACGGTTCTAGAAAAATGCGAAAGAGAGAAGAGTGATTTCTGCCTTCTTCAATGAAGCAAATTCTCTTCCAAAATGGATTTTAAGGATTAGCTACCTGGAGTACTCCATCCAAAATGTTTTCTTTTTCACAAAAGCTCTCACCAATATCTCTGTGAAATTACTATCCCCATTTTACAGATAAAGGAAATAAACAGCTAAAAGGTTAAATGACATGCCAACCGTCACTTTCACTGGCAGGAGACCCAGAACTCTCCGTCCAGCCTAACACTCTACCTGCAAGATTATGCTGCTTCCCTTAGTCTTCTGACTCTCTTAAAAACAAAAATTTCCCTTGGAACCTTACTATGAAATCAAACTAGGAAGCTGATTCTCCAATTACTAGAAAGATACTGGTTCAACATAACTAGATGCTTCTCTCTAAAAGCATTATTTCATATTATGCAGAATTTGAGTGAGGCTAACAGAGAGTACTTTCTGTCTCATCTTTCCCTCCTACCAACTTGAGAAAGGTATCTGCCCTGTACTTCCTTATTTGGAGATGGAAATGGACTAAGCCTTCAGGCATCCTGCCTGCCCTTGCTGCCTACGGCCTTATCACTGGCTGCAAAAATAGCTTCAGTATAATCTCCAAAGATGGATGCTCTGACCCCACAACCTTGGGGCTCCCCACCACTCGTACTCTTAGTTTCTCACGAACCCTGCAGAGTATAGCTAACGCCTCTGCCATTTCCCTGTCAATCGGCCAAAGCATCCCTGTCTTGACTAGGATTAACATTCTTAACCATGCTCCCCACCATTTTTCCTAGACATAGCTAATGGTAGAAAGTTATACATTTCAGTCTTCTACTAAAAATAAATATCGGTAAAAAACAAATTTTAGCACCTGTGTGCATCGGTTCGATTCCCTAGTTTAGCAGACTTTCTCCCAATCCTTCACACTTGTTGGGCCAGAGTGGTTTGGAAGCAGACATACCTGGGTTTTAATCCCAGCCCTGCTACTTACTAGTGGTATGATCTTGAACAAATACCTTCCCTTTGCTGAACCTCTGTTTCCTTTTCTGTAAAATGTGAACAGTAATACTATTTGCCTCACAAGGTTTTTATGAGAATTAAATGAGATGCCATGTATGAAGTGCCTGGCATAACATCTGACGTACCCTGGAGGCACCACACACCTATGTTCCCTGCTCTACCTTCCCTGGATTTCAAAATATAAACTTTATTCACAGTAGAGCACTTAAGTCCATTTTGGCATACATTCTCCTCTGTAACCTCAGCATTATTTTTTAGGCTTTTCTAGTCAACTTAGGGAAGAAGAGGGAATGAAAAAGGCATTACAACACAAACATACTTTCTCCCTTGATTTCACTAGAGAAAAATCTGGAAAATACATATATACACAAAGAAAATAAAAATCACTGAAAATCCCCCTGTCATTATTAATACTCTCACCTACAGCTCTCAGTCTTTTTCTACAGACAGACATTTGTTTATTAAATATATCTTAAATTGTGGTTATATTGTACCTAGTAAGAATTAACATTTAATGAGCCTTTACCATGTGCCAGGGACTACATTTTACATTACTATTATTATTACTTTTTGCTCAGGGATACAGAGAGATTATGGGCAATTTTATTTTCTTTCCTTTTTGTGTTATAATTTCCAAATCTTCTCTAATAAAATCAGGAAAAATGAAAAGTCTGATTTAAAATGTCCATTTATGAACAAGATGAGACATCCATTTCTCCAATACCCATCAACCAGTCATAAAGCATGAAATCAATAACACTGCCCACGATTCTGAAAGCCATACATACTATCCTTATCTTTTTAGTTACTGTGGAATCTTATTTATATTTGTTTGTTTATTTATTTATTTATGGCTGTGCTGGGTCTTCGTTGCTGCGCGGGCCTTCTCTAGTTGCGGTGATTGGGGGCTACTCTTCGTTGTGGTGCGCGGGCTTCTCACTGCAGTGCCTTTTCACGGGCTCTAGGCGCACGGGCTTCAGTAGTTGTGGCTCACAAGTTCTAGAGCGCAGGTTCAGTAGTTGTGGCGAATGGGCCTAGCTGCTCCATGGCACGTGGGATCTTCCCGGACCAGGGCTTGAACCCGTGTCCCCTGCACTGGCAGGCATATTCTGAACTGCTGCGCCACCAGGGAAGCCCCAGTTACTGTGCAATCTTGAAAGGACTAGAGCTACTAGTACTAACTGGTTCTCGTACCAATAATACCCTATACAAAAAAGCCTTCACTGTTTTTTTTGACTATTCCATTCACACAATTCTTGGAAATTTCACCTTTCCTAGTAAAAAGCATTTCTTATCTAAATTAAGCCTTTAAAAAAAGAATCACGAATTGTTTTGGTATCACTTTAGGAATCTGAAGGTGAAGGTTTGTAAGACCATTTAGCAAGTAGCTACTCTTCTTTCCCAGATGTAGAACACCTTGGAAGTGCAGAAAGATCAATTCAGAGCAAAATAAACATCCTGATTAATTTCCAAAGCAGGAACTAAGTGTGAAAAAATTTCCAAAATAGTCACATAAGTTTCAACACATAGACCTAAAAAGGAAATAAACATCAGCTCCACCTTAGGCTATCCAATTTGCAGTACAGCAGGGAGATTTAATAAAAATGTTACAGACCTAACAAGGCAAATGTGGGGCTGAGTAAGACAGAAATTACAATATATATTTTAAAAAATTTGAACAGAAATCAGTTAAAAATTAGCATAACAACGTAGGTATTCTAAATTGACTGGAAACATCTTGTTTTCTTAAGTATTAGCAACATCCTCTAAAAGCTTCTCTATGTCATTAATTTGCTTAGGAAATGCTTCTTTTAAGATAATGGAAGGTCAGACTTCAGCCTAACTCCTTTAAACTCAAATTTCAAATTAGTGGAATCTGAATTAATGAGATTTTATGGTATTGCAGATCTTAACTATGGAGACTCCACTGTGCCCAGGAGTGAAACTCTTCAGGCCTTTGCACACAACAGAAAGGACAGGTTTCTTTGCGAGGCAGATGTGTAGTGCAGACAATGACTAAAATCACTTGTAAGGTTAATTCCCTAGGAGGAGAGATTAGGGAGGAACATGCTGGTTCTGACCCCCAAGAACGCAACAGAGAGGACTTCCGTGATCCTCAGCAAGATGACTTACATGTCTGTGAAAAGAGCTGGAGAGTCAGGCCGGTGGGACTGCACATCCTGCATAGCATTCCATTCATTGACTGAGGATTGATCTGAGTTGATATGGCTCTCGTAATAACTCACCCAGGTGAGAAACAGGCTGCCAGGGTAGTAGTTATGCATTCTGGCGACTTCACAAGCCTTGTGTAGACTCTGTAATGCAGACCTGAAAGATATGCCGGGAAGTGAGCACTGGAGAACTGTGGGGATACCAAAAGGCCAATAATCCATGTGCTCCCCAAACTCTTCCAATTTTTAAATCCTATAGAGTTGGGCCTCTGGAGAATCTATTCCTTGGAATTCAAGAATCTCTGATTCTGATCATACTACACTATCTCTTCATAGCAATCAACTAGACATTTCTTGCTGAAAGATATGATGCATTATTAAGGCAGGGGGTAGAGGGGAGCAGGAGAACTGACAAGCTACCAGTGAAAAATAGGTCTGAGTACCTATGGAGCTCACAATCCTGTAGTTGGAACCACGCTGTGGCTACTGCCACTAGAGAAGTAAAGATCTACTTCATTTACTACACAAACATTTGTTTCTCTTGGCACAGAGTCACGTTAGAACATGTATTCCCTATGACTCTTAGAGGTTCCACAAAGATCACATAGACAGATGTTCCTAAGCCTTGAGCACAAGTCCTTTAATGCCCAGGATGTACTGATCTAATGACATCTGTCATTCTTGCTACCTTAGTCTCCTAGTCTTTTTAAACCATTTATTCATACACTTGAGCTACTTTCTAAGAACAGCTCTGGTTATACTGAGACTAATTAAATCTCTGACTCTGAACTCAAGAAGGGTAAACAAAACTGAAAACTAACTTTTTGGTTATATACTTGGGAAAACTAAAGCCAGAAATGCTAGGAAGAGTTATACAAGAGCAGGCATCTTTCTATGTTTTTGTTTACTGATTTGTCTCAAGTGCCTAAAAGAATGCCTTCTTTTTTTTAAAAAAAAAAAAAAAGAAGAATGCCTTCTAGTTCAAAGTTGGAGCACAGTTAAAATTTGTTGAATGAAATGTCTTATTAGCTATAAACTAATGTCTCTCTCCTAAGGGAAAAGGATAGTATGCGAGTACTCTGTGGCCAATCTATACCCATCTTTTTCTTAAAAATGCCTTTTTGTTGTTTTTTTTCTTTCATAACAAATGTGATCATGCTCATTTTAGAAAATTTAGGGACCTCAGGTAAACGGCAGAAATATCCTTAATCTGACTGCCCAGAAATAACCACTGTTGGTCTCTGCAGAGATCAGCTGATCATGTTCTGCACACCATTTAACTTGTTCTTTTACTATACACCTTGCTGTCAACATCTTTCCACAATAAATATTCTTCAACTAGATAATTTTTAATGGTTGCATAATATTTAGAAACATGGATGTACCATAATTTAACTGATTCCTATTATTTTAGCCATTTAAATTGCTTTCCTTTTTATTTTTTTTTTGCGGTATGTAGGCCTCTCACTGTTGTGGCCTCTCCCGTTGCGGAGCACAGGCTCCAGACGCGCAGGCTCAGCGGCCATGGCTCACGGGCCCAGCCGCTCCGCGGCATGCGGGATCTTCCCGGACCGGGGCACAAACCCGTGTCCCCTGCATCGGCAGGCGGACTCTCAACCACTGCGCCACCAGGGAAGCCCCCTAAATTGCTTTCCATTTTTTGCTACTATTAGAACACTGACAAACATTCTTATAGTTAAAAATTTGCACACACCCTTATTACCTTAGGATAAATTCTTAGAAGCACAATTACTACGTCAAAGGGCATACAAAATGATACAGCAAGATGGCAAATCATTCTCCAGAAAGGTTGTTCCAGTTTATTTTCCCACAAGTAAGTCTATGACAATGTTGTTCCTTAAGTCCTTGTCAACCCCATAAAATGTAAATTAAAAAATAAAATCATGACCAATTTCATGAGAAAAACATGCCAGTCCATTTTTAGTAGGGAAACAGATTTTCCCGTAAGAACAAAGTTGCAGAATCTTTTAAAATGCCTCCTTTTACTTAACGTAAGCCAAATTCTCAGAATTCTCAGCAAATTTCAGTTTCTTACACAGATTCAAAGGTAAAAGCCAGCTTAGTGCAATGTACAGGATATTCAATGCATGTTTTCTTCATCCAGGAAACACATGCTTCAAAAGCATATGCCACAAGTGTCTGGTGCAAATGTCCTAAACACACTCAAGGCATAACCAGCTCATACATCAGCTGCAGAGGCTGCAGTAACTACTTTCCTGTGAAGGAAACACCTGGTCTAAATGCTGCTTTGATCCATACATCATCTTTTTCTTTTCTTTTCTTTTTTTTCTTTTGTGACTTTCAGTTCACTACTCCTCATGTGGTACACCAAAAAAAGTTTATTCTGCAATAAGCCAGCAGACCTAGGACTAGTCAGTCTACTTTAGAACATCAAAGCTTGAATTACTTGAATCCTTAAGAATTAAGACTGCTTTGTACTCCTCCCCAAAATATAACTGAAAACACTGCATTTATGGGACTTAGGACTTACGGGTTTTACCTGGTATAGGTCAGTTGCTTTTAATGGACCCTTAGTCAAAAGAGGTCGTAAGTTTTCTATGAGAAATTTATCTGTGAAATACGCCCTAAATCTAAAAATTGGTCTAAACACATAACCTGAAACTCTGTCCTACCTCAATTACTGCATGAAATAAGATTTAATTGTTCAGCTGACTCTCTTTTAGGACCGCACCCACTTCAAGCCTATCAATCCTGTTATTCAGGGGTAAGTTATCTCCCTGGAGTCTTTTTCAGGCTCCTTTATTTCTTGTTTGGCTTGCATTCTGCCCATTCTACTCCTCACGGGGACTTCCACTATAAAACAGGCAACTGAATGAGGAACTGAAATTCAAATCGCTGACTGGGGGATGACTCTGAATCTTAGAGTCACATCATTCCCTGTTTATACTGGATCATTTTTCTAGATAATCTAGAACAAGAGAATAAGAATCTATTCTGTCTAAACGTAAGAGATACTCTTAGGCCAGTTATATAACCTCTCCAAACTCTGGTTTTCTCACCCATAATAAGGAGCTAATAATACTATTTTGGGGAGTTGGTGTGATGATTAGATGTATTCCATGTAAAGCACTAGGCTCAATGCCTGACATATATAGTAAGTAACCCAGAAGTGTCAGTACACCAGCTGATGGTTATTAACAACTACAGTGTTTTTTCTAGGCTTTATTTGCATTATGTAAATAGTCTCACAAACAGTTGCCAGCAATTAAATGGAAACTTATCGATGTATAATATAACTCCATCAATGCTATCCCTGATTACCTGAAGAAAGGGGAAGTTAATGCATAGTTGTGAATGTTCTAGACTCGGCTCTAGACTGCTACTAACTTAGTCAATGTGTCCCTATAAAACTCAGTTCCAACTGGCTATCTGATCCATTGTCTTCCAGAGTCTAAGAGCACCTCTGAGTTTCACTTGTTCACCAACGCTGAAGGCCTTCCATTGTGATAATCTGAAAACTGAACTTCTAGGTCATCTTTAACTATGATGGCCACACAGACAGATCACACAAAATCCTATACACACAAACAGATCATACAGCATTTTCATAAAGAACTGTGCCATTTCAAATACTACTTCTCACAAAATATTGTTCCAATAACATTTAAAAAACTTTCATAGAGATATTAAAAGTCCTCTTACCACATTGCCTGCACAGACACAGGTTTGAATATGTGAACTCTGTTATCTGTTGATACGCTGAACCCACTAAGGAAAACAGAATGAGACAAAAATCCATAAATGAGAGTAGGTTATTTCAGTTGTGAGTTTCCAAGGCTGTTTCCCAGGCTAGCAATTGCTGGCGCAGTAGAAGGTATCATCAGGCACTTTGTGTACAAGTTAACTGGAGTATGGGACTTGACTGAAAAGCTTCAACGAATTGTCTGATTTTATCTACCAAGCAAAATGAATGGACTCCCACATTGGAGTCAGGGAATTGCATACTGTTTCCCAGCTGTAGCTATGGACAAACTGTTCTGCTGTATGTTTCTATTTGGAAGTCTTGTGGGTTCTTAGCAAACCTGACCCTGGTTTTATAAACTGGAGCAAACATCTTGGTCTCTTGGGGACACATTCTAAAAACACCAGTAGGTGGGGGTGGGGGGTCACTGGAAAGAACTGGCACAGGAATGGGTTATACTGTAGGCTGACAGCTGGCAGAGGCAGCAAGAGATTATGTGAAACAGAACGTATCATCCTCTGGGAGAGCACTGCAACAGTCCCACGTGCTCAGACTAAAGAGCGAGCCAACAAACTAGCTCTTCTTTGTGTGAATTCTTACCATAGTCGGTCTAGAGGAGTAGAAGCGAGAGGCTCTGGCAAGCTGTATTTTTACTCTACTTTACAAAACAGGAGTTTAAAAGGACTCACTGAGCTGCTGACATGACAGTTCAGCTGGGCATAATGGGCCTCCCATTCAGCTGAATGAATGGGCACTAAGATGGAACCCCACCCCTTGGCTTTCTGTAGGAGAATAAAAAGGGAAAGCTCTTACCCATCACCATCCAAATGAATTAGGGTGTCACTCCAGAGAGGCAGGACTAAACCCATGGTACAAGTGCTACTGCAAGACAAGAAATAGTCCATAAATTACTTCCTGTTACTCTAGGAAGCAGCTGTTTATTAACTCTTTCACTACAAAGGATAAGTCCCTAAGCTCTAAATTCTGACATAAGTGCAGAAATTTCTATCATATTACCAGTAACCCAACATATGTGTCCAGAAGCTGTTTTTAAACAGGTGTTAGTTAGGTCTCTAGGTATTAAACATAGAGAACTTATTGACTGAGCTTCCTTTACTGCTGTCTTGCAAATGGCCACTGTCTAAAAAGTCCAGGTGATCGCTGACTTGCAACTGGCAGGTCTCAGCCCAAGTTCACAGCACCCAATTCAACTCAGAATTATTTCCAATGCCAAGAACTATTGCTAGTTACTGAAGACCTCTGAATATGTGATTTGCTCAATTCTAATCCTGCGGTTTACATAGATTTCTTAAATACCAGAACGTACTCAATAGTCTAAAAGGGAAAAGTAATTGTTAATGGTTTGTAATCAAGTTAGAGAGACAAAACAGGCACATTACAACTTAAAAAAATAAAACAGTGCTTGGTGGCTGTGCACTGAAACAGCATTGCTGAAATGCAGAGTGAAGTGGAATGTCAACCACCAAAAAAAGAGTAGCTCTAGTATGGTATGTTAAAATATTATTTAAATCACACCCTATCCCAGGGAGGAAACTAGCTTTAAGTTAATGGAACAGGTTAGGATGGGAAGCCATGGACTCCCAATTGTGTCTCTATCACACCACTTCTCTGGACAACTATAATCCACCCTAGAACTCTGCCACTTTCTCTCCTTAAGGCTGCCATACACCATTTTCCCCTCCATCCAGTCTCCCAAAGGCTCCTACACCCTCTCCCTTCCAATATATCTTAGAAAAGCAGCATGGTATGGTAGAAAGAACACCAGATGTAGGAGGTGGAACAGCGAAGTATGGTTAAGAGCACAGGCTCTGGAGTCAGAGGGGCTTTGGAATCTGGATTCTGGCATTAACTGTATAATTTTAGGCAAATTATTTAATTGCGTTGTGCTCCAGTTTACTCATCTGTAAAACTGGGATAAAACCACCTCCTTTATTGGGCTGTTTTGAAGGTTAAATTAGATAACACACCAAAAACAAATGTGTACAACAGTGCCTAAAACACAATAACAACTACCACGTATTGAGCAGTTATACTATATCAAAAGCTCTGGATTCGATCTCCTTCAGTATTTCAATTCCTTTTGACAAGTTATTTAACCTCTCACAGCCTTAATTTCTTCATCTTAAAATATAGGTAATGAAACCTAAGCCTCACAGGATTATCATAAAAATTTAAAATATTTAAAGTGAAACAATACGTATGAATGTATTGTCATGTAAAACAAATGTTGAATATGAATCTGTGGTGGGTGCTCTAACACAATGGAAAGTGATTTTGGCAGGGCAGGGTGGGGGACATTATGAAAAGTGCATTAAAAACAACATGGGGGAGCTTCCCTGGTGGCGCAGTGGTTGGGAGTCTGCCTGCCGATGCAGGGGACACGGGTTCGTGCCCCGGTCCGGGAAGATCCCACATGCCGCGGAGCGGCTGGGCCCGTGAGCCATGGCCGCTGAGCCTGCGCATCCAGAGCCTGTGCTCCGCAACGGGAGAGGCCACAACAGTGAGAGGCCCACGTATCGCAAAAAAAAAAATAAAAAATAAAAAAATAAAAACAACATGGGGAATACTGAACTCCCACTGCTGCTGGAGTCACTGCAGGGCTAACAAAGGCCATTCCCTAGTTGGGCTGTATCTAAGGCTCTGCACTGCACTTGCTGCCCTGTGTTACTCACAACTCCACCAGTGATTCCAGAGTTCAGGAGATTCAAATCAAGATTGCAACAGCTTAGGCACATTGTAACCTTGGGCCTGAACTCCTGAACAGCTATCAAGCCAGGCCCTGGAGGGAGGAAGACTGCTCCACCACTGTTTCTGTTGACTGGATGAGGTGAGTACAAGGAAAACCTGTTTTGAAAATGGCTTCCCAAGGTTGAGCGAGTTATTTTTAGAGTAGGTTTTTTTTTTTCCTTAAGTGAATGCTTAGCTAGGTCCTAGCAGCAAGTATAATTTGGGTATAAACATGAAGGATTTATAGCTTAGTGACAAATCTAGAAATTAAGTAACTACAGAAGATATCAAAGGTCCAAAAGAGTGTGATCTATGAGCTTGTGACCAGACACCAGTTAAACTTTAGACAAGTGACAATGATATGCAGGAAGCAAACATCACATTTTCTGCTTGTATTCAGCTCAGAATGCTTTTTTACATTAAGAAGTAGCTTTTTCACATGACAGGAAAGAGAGGCCTGAATTAGGCACACCTAGTATTTTTATCTAGTTTATCTTGAGTCTCATGAAAGTTTCTCCATTAAAGTATAGTTACTTATTTTAATAGATACTCATCCCATTAAAAAATTATTTATTGAGTGCCGCTATGTACCAGACATTTCAAGGTGTTGGGGGTATGAAGAAAAATTATAAAATAATACCATAAAACTTTATTACTTTATAACTTGAAATATATACCAAATGCAATTTGGAAACCAAGGTTATACTTTTTATTTAAAAATTTATTACTTAAAATATAACACAATACTCAAAGAACTTATAAATAGGCTAAATAAATTGGCTGTCATATATCTTGAGAATTACTTGGGATGAGCATGTCATAAACAATCTGGGTTCCACTTTGGTTTAATACTGTTTTGAAACATTAACTTTTTATATTCTCAGATACAAAATGATACAGATTCCTTCAAACAGCAACTGAGATAGAAATGATACTAGATTACTTGAGCAACAGTATTCTGAAGTGGGCAGCAATTTTCTTACTGTCCAAGCTCATTCAAACAGAGGATGTAGGGGAATTCATAATACCAAATTTACCAAATAGAATGAAAACTAGTTTCTATAGCTTTTCTTATCACATTTTGTCTTCCATAAACGAAAATTGTCTTTTGTTAGTCAGATACGATTCAGGCAGGACTATTACCAAAGACAGATGCAGTTTACCGGGGATAAATTACTGGGCACCCACATTAATAAGCATTCTTTATGATTTCTGGGAACGTTTAGGACAAAGTGAAAGAGAGATAAGATTAGACATCTGATTTCCCAGACTCTGGGTCAGGAGAATCTGAAGTTGTCGCCTTCTCTCTCTAGGGCAAGACTCAAATGACATTTCCATGCAGCTCCAGTTCCTGTTTTATGGGATTTCCAAAGGAGGAGTCAGGGAGAACCAAACAAAGGAAATGAGATGGAGAGCAGCCCTGTCCACCTGATCTTTCTGCAATGATGGAAATGTTCTATAAGTGTACTGTCCGACAGGGAAGCCACAAGCCACATGTAGCTAGAGTACTTGAAATGTGGCTAGCTGTGGCTGAGGAACTGAAATTTTAATTTTATTTAATTTTAATTTATTTAAATAGTTACAATGTGATTAGTGGCTATTGTACTGGACAGTACAGATCTAGAGACATAAAAACCCAAATCAGAGGTCTTAAAGTACTAATGAATGTAGGCAAGGTAGGTATTCTTACAGGATAAATGCTTATTGAAAGATCTGTGTTGCTTAGGTAACACCAGAGGTTAAAACCATGCAGGAGAAAAAGCTTCCTAAATGTGGTTTACAAGCCTGTGTAATTTCAGAGCGTACAATTAAAGGCTGTAAGTGGTATACAAGGTAACAACTCTGGCCTTGTGATCCTGGTGAACCCACATATCATTTTCAGGTTGACTGCTATGTACAAGCTCAGGTAAACACTAGTTTGGGAATCTTTCTGGTGACAATGTGATTTTTTTTTTTTCCTTCCAACATCAGGACAATGAGAATCACTCTTAGTCTCCTCTTCTCTTTGCCACTAAATTCTCCCAGGCCTGGGTCACACCCCTAGCTACTCCACAATCGCATTCTAGTCCTGAACCAGGAAGTCAATGCTTTGAGATATCTGGCAGGATTTCCTGAGGCTTATTATCTACAGTGCAAAGATCTGCTTAGCAGCCACATTCCACAGTCTTCCCAAGGTTTCTCCAAAAAAAATGGGAAAATAAAATGGAAAGCAACAAACCTTAGAGGCACAAAAAAGCCAGGTGATACATGGTATCACCTTAGGTATCATCTTAGGATGTATAGTGCTGCTAAAGCCAAAGGTAAATGATTATAAAAGGTTCTGTTTTGAGTTTAAACAATCATCCCCCCTGCCTTTCTTTAACTCAGAAGAAGAAAAAAGGAAGTGTAACATTTGACAAAAGCAAGGTGCAAGGCCATGGATATAAGAGACTGGAATTAAAGTGGGCTCTCTTTGAACCCAGAACCCACTGGTACACTATCACAAAGGGTGTGTGCCCCAGAACCACCAAATGAATCGTTACTGCTTAAAATAAAGAGGACTGCAAAGAAAAGCCAGTTTTTCCCCCCCTTGGAGATAGAAATTTAAATCATTTGCTTTATATCATTACCATCTAAAGATGAGAGGAAGAAGGTAAGGAATAGTGGTAAATTAGGAACACACAACCAAAGACATTCACTAAACATTTTTGTCTTTCAAGATTGTGTGACTAAGATACTTTTGATGTTCTCTAGTTTTACGCACTGAACTTTTAGAGTAGAACTGCATAAGGTGTTTTTGTGATAACCCAAAAGGTAACTGGAGTGGGTTGTTTAAAAAGAGGTTTTCTCATTCTCCCCTCTGTGGTACCATACCTGTCATTAGAGGAGAAATCCATTCCTAGGACGATGCTTTCTTCAGTGTCTTGTCTACCGTTAGTTGAAACCACTACCATATAGCGTGTTCGATTCTGGTAAGTACTTTCTAGTCTTACAGCCTGGAGGTTAATAGACAATAAAGAAATTAAGAAATTTAGAAGATCAATTTTAGATCATTCAACCCTTTTTACATCACCATTTTAAAGCATACTCAAGGAGATAGCAGAGCCAGTAATTAGGAGACCTAAATTCAAATCCCAGTTCATGGATTAACTATGAAAACTTCAGTAAGTTAATTGGAGGGAAATATAATAATACCTATTCCATTGGGTTGTAAGAATCATATGAAATAATGCATGTAAAGTACAGTGCTTGGCATATACTAAATGCTCAATAAATATTTGCTATTAGGATAATTTATAACAATAACGATTACCAGGGCATGTTCTAATGATCTAAGAGTGGAATGTGAGGTATATGAATGTGAGCACCTGACTCACAGATCCATGTCCCGCAAACAATTATAATAGGAAGCAAGGTTTAATATCTAAGAGGAATATACTCTATTGCATTCTTACAGATTATACACTACAAGATTTTCTTTAGTTTCAAATATCAGAAGTTTATATTATTTTTATCAAAATTATGGTATTTTAAAAGGTCCTTCAGAAAATTCAAATATGCACATGGTCTCAGATGATATTAAGGATTTACTGTTAGTGTGATAATGGCATTGTGGTTATGCCTTTTTCTTAAATATCTGGAGTGAGATGACCTGAGGCCCAAGTTTTACTTTAAAATCTTCCAACAATGGGAAGCAACAAGATATTCTTCAGTAGGTGAATGGATAAACTGTGGTACATCCAGATAATGGACTAAAAAGAAATGAGCTATCAAGCCATGCAAAGACATGGAGGAATCTTACAGGCATATTACTAAGTGAAAGAAGCCAATGTGAAGAGGCTAGATAGATAGTATGATTCCAACTCTATGACATTCTGGAAAAGGCAAAACTATAGAGTCAGTAAAAAGATCAGTAGTTGCCAGGGGTAAGGGGAGCACCAAGGATTTTTAGGGCAGTGAAATTACTCTGTATGATACTCAAGTGGTAGATACGTGTCATTACACATTTGTCAAAACCCATAAAATGTATAGCACCCAAGAGTGAACCCTAATGTAACTATGGACTTTGAGTAATAATGATTTGTCAACGTAGGTCCATCAGTTGTGACAATCTCTCTTGTGGGAGATCGTGATAATGGGGGAGGCTATGCTTGAGTGGGAATAGAGGGTACGTGGCAAGTCTCTGTACCTTCTGCTCAATTTTACTGTGAACATAAAACTGTTCTAAAAAATGCAGTCTATTAAAAAAATTTGCTAAGAGGGTAGATCTTCTATTAAGTTCACCACCATCGTCATCATGCTAAGGAGGAGGAAGAGGAGGGAGGCAGGGCTGGAGGGAACTTCTGAGGTGATGAATATGTCGATGATATAGACTGTGGTAATGGTTTCACAGGTACATACTTATCCCCAAACTCATCAAGTTGTATATATAAATATGTACTTTTTGTATGTCAATCGTACCTCAAAATAAAGTGGTTTTTAAAAAGTTCCAGCAAAGAAAGAATAAAAGGGGGAGATAAATGAAAGAAATCTGGCAAAATGTTGATGGTTATTAAAGTTGGGTAACAGGTTCATGCAGACATATTTTCTACTTTATATGTTTGGGAATTTTCTTAATAAGAAGGCTCAAAAAGATACTTTATAAACCTTAAAAATAAAGTAAAATGGCTACTAGTCAACATTCATTCAATTATTTACTCTGTATCTACAGTGTATATCATCAGGGCAGCCATGAGGATTCAATGGTGGAAGAGAGAGATATGGTTCCTGCCCTCACAGACTGTACAGTCTAGACTACTCTTCTTTTTATCTGTTAATAAAAAGCCAGGAAGATGTGCCCTGGAGGCAATATCCTCTGTATAACATACTCTCCCACCCCCACTCCTTATCTCAGAAGAGAAACGGTTTCAATCCTATCACCTGGCTCAAGAAATCTGTCACAAATTTGTTAGAAATTTCTATCTGGAATTCTTTCAGCGCTACTCTTCTTGGAGTCTCCTCCTTCATTCTGTCACTATTCCAAAAGTGGCCAGGCAAAGAAAAAAAAGAGACATCACATGACCCACTTAAAAAGGCAGAGGTAAGTCAGTCTCTCCTGGCTATCTTTTCACCTCTATTCTGATACTCCTAGGAAAAGCTACTTGTAAGCACAATCACCTGAAGTAACTACATTAAGCTTGTCTCTAATAAAGAGCTGATACACCAAGAATGTAATTCCCACCATACTAACTCCATGTATCAGGTAGAGAGCTGTACTGCTGACTTTTATGTTCCATGAAATAATAGAACATTTCAAACCAAATTCACTTGTGAGAAGCTAAGAGGAACTACTAGTTAAACTGACGAAGGTCTAGCCCTATTTGGCTGGGACCAAGTGAGCATTATACACATAGAGCTATGAGTAGCAGTAAATGCACATGAGGAGGACTGACAGGCAGCACAGACTCTATGATTCTAGAAACATTCCACAAAATATTAAACTAACCAAAAACCTGGTGCAGGTAAACTAGAATTTCTTATAAATAAGATCTCAGATATTATTACATATCTAAACCTGGGCTTGCTTTGGCAAGCTCTGATCTAACTGTTCAGTTTCCTGAATATGTATGTTACAGGTCTTTTATCCTGTCAAAGCTCTGAGAATTTCTGGAAAGGCTCACATGCAAATGACATGAAAACAACTAAACTATGCTTCTGATCATTTATCTATAACTTCTACACCAACTAGTGGGGACTGATTGGCTAAGTTGAAGCTGATAAAGGTAAAAACAAAAACAAACAAAAGACCTCCATAAATATTACCTATTATGCAAGTTATCAGGCCAAGTTAGCAGGTGGGTAGCAAGTTTCTTTGTGATATTCAAATAAAACATTAGTTGTTTCTCTTTTAAAAGTGAGGTGTGTATCTGTTTATCTATGTATCTATTTAAAATATAAAGAGCATTTCAAATGTTTGGCCCTCCCTTGCTTAATCTAATCAGAACAGAAGATCCTAAACCTAATGGGAAAGGCCCCAGTCATCTCACACTGATTTAGGCTTGAGAAACTGGCACATCACGGATTCATTCCATTTTAAGCTTCTTAGATGGAAGAATAGCACTTAGAGGTCTTGGGATTTGATCATGGACCTCTAGATAGCACCTACAGTTATTACTAAACCTTTACTAAATGGAAGTGGAGCTTTAATCAGTGGGTGAGAAGCCATGACGTTAACTTAACACCTACATCCTAATGAGAAGGGCAAGATCAAAAATTTTTTTTTCATTAATTAATTTATTTTTGGCTGCGTTGGGTCTCCGTTGCTGCGTACGGGCTTTCTCTAGTTGCAGTGAGCGGGGGCTACTCTTTGTTGCTGTGCATGGGCTTCTTATTGCAGTGGTTTTTCTTATTGTGGAGCATGGACTCTAGGCACGCGGGCTTCAGTAGTTGTGGCATGTGGGCTCAGTAGTTGTGCCTCACAGGCTCTAGAGCGCAGGCTCAGTAGTTGTGGCGCATGGGCTTAGTTGCTCCACAGCATGTGGGATCTTCCCAGACCAGGACTCGAACCTGTGTCCCCTGCATTGGGAGGAGGATTATTAATCACTGTGCCACCAGGGAAGCCCAAAATCAAATTTTTTTATAAAAAAATTTTTTTTGCAATGCCAGGGGACAGACCTGAGGCTTCGAAATTCCCTTTAAGCTTCAAGATTCTAGATTAAGGAAATAAATAAAAATTTAAGAGCCACAGCATAGAGAAAATACTAATACCCACCCTGGTTTGAGGTCTATTTCACTCCTGTGTTGGGGAGATTAACAAAATCTAATAATCTAATTTGATTCATTAAGTCAATCAGAGAAATATAATTTAAAATGGCAGTTTGCACATACCCTAATATTAGAATTGGCAGGAATTCCAATGTTTCCTCAGTTTCCAGAACTCACATGGAATAGATGACAAATAAGGCAACAATTCAGATGCATCTGATTAAAGTTCTCATTGAAAAGGATACTACTGAAGTTTACTCTAATCGCCCAAATAAAATAACATTTTGTTTTTTTTAACGTCTTTATTGGAGTATAATTGCTTTACAATGGTGTGTTAGTTTCTGCTTTATAACAAAGTGAATCAGCTATACATAAACATATATCTCCATATCTCCTCAACATTTTGGACTTAAAAAGATATATTTTTCTTACCTATCAATCTATTTATCTATCTATCTATCTATCTATCTATGGTTGGGTCTTCCTTGCTTTCCCTAGTTGTGGAGGGTGGGGGCTACTCTTCGTTGTGGTGCACGGGCTCCTCATTGTGGTGGCTTCTCTTGTTGTGGAGAACTGGCTCAGTAGTTGTGGCTCTTGGGCTCTAGAGTGCAGGCTCAGTAGTTGTGGCACACGGGCTTAGCTGCTCCACGGCATGTGGGATCTTCCCAGACCAGGGTTCAAACCCGTGTTGCCTGAATTGTCAGGTAGATTCTTAACCACTGCGCCACCAGGGAAGTCCCAACGTTTTGGATTTTAAAACGTGGCAGCAATAGCAACTGAGAAAATTATTCCAAGAAAGTCCATTTATTGCTAAATTTGGAATAGTACAAGTTTCAGGAGAACTGGATCCAGCAATCCTAGGTCTGAGAAGTCATCTCATTTTCAAAGCTCATCTTATCAAAGAATGTTAAAAACTTCCCTTGTTTAAATGCTTAATCTGATTATAAGCAGTTCACAAACCGATACAACAACTTCTCTGCTCAGCATCATCCAGCATCAGGAAATACTCCTTAAGTTTACATTGCACCTTTGTCTTTAATCTATTTCCAACAAGAATCTTACATCATGCCCCTACATGCAATGTTTATCCTGAGGGAAGCCACATTATAAAGTCCCAACGTCAGAAGGCAGCTCACGCAATCCATCAAGAAAGAAAGGTTTCAAAAGTATGCCAATATTAAATTCTAGCCAAAAGAACAAAGTTAATACCTAAAATTAAAATAGACTTCAGATGTGACACTAATGAACTAAA